GTCTTAATTGTGGTGATGGTTAGACAACTCTGTGCATTTGCCAAAGCACATAGAACTGTATGCCACCAAGAGTGAATTTTCTGAATGGAAGAAAAAAAGAAGGTAGAAAAGGAGAGGAAAGGGGAACATAGAAGGAACATAGAAGAGGCAGGACAAATAGAAAGCAATTAGCAAGTTGGTGGGTTTAAACCATAATATAAGGTGTAAATTGACTAATGCAAATTAAAGACAGATTTTTAAAAAGTAAAACTGGAGTGTATGTTGCTTGTAAGAGAACAGATACCTTTAAATATAAGGATAAAGAAAGATTTAAAGCAAATTGATAGGAAAAGATAGCTACAATAAAATCAGGCCACGTAGATCCTTCCTTCCTTCCTTCCTTCCTTCCTTCCTTCCTTCCTTCCTTCCTTCCTTCCTTCCTTCCTCTTTCTTTTTTCTTTCCTTCTTTTTCTTTCTTTCTTTTCTTCTTTCTTTCCTTCTTTCTCTTTCTTTCTTTCTTTTCTTTCTTTCCTTCTGTCTCTCTCCCCCTCTCTCCCCCATCTCCCTCTCTCTCCACCCTCTCCCTCTTTCCCTCTCCTCTCTTTCTCTCTTTCTTTCTTTCCTTTTTTTTTTCCCAAGTCTTCCTCTGTCACCCAGGCTGGAGGGCAGTGGTGCAATCTCAGCTCGCTGCAACCTCTGCCTACCGGGTTCAAGCGATTCTCCTGCCTCAGCCTCCCAGATAGCTGGGATTACAGGTGTGCGCCACCATGCCCAACTAATTTTTGTATTTTTAGTAGAAACTGCGTTTCACCATGTCAGCCCGGCTGGTCTCAAACTCCTGGCCTCAAGTGATCTGCCCACCTGGGCCTCAAAAGGTGCTGGAATTACAGGCCTGAGACACTGTGCCCAGGCGGTCCAGGTAGATTTTAATGCCAAAAGTATTTTTAGTTATAAATAGAGACATTTCCAGGCTGGGCGTGGTGGCTCACTCCGGTAATCCCAGCACTTTCGGAGGCCAAGGTGGGCAGATCACTTGAGGTCAGGAGTTCGAGATCATCCCGGCCAAAATGGTGAAACCCCATCTCTACTAAAATACAAAAAATTATCCGGGCGTGGTGGTGCACACCTGTAGTCCCAGCTACTTGGGAGGCTGAGGCAGGGGAATCACTTGCACCCGGGAGGCGGAGGTTGCAGTGAGCCTAGATGGCACTACTGCACTCCAGCCTGGTGACAGAGCGAGACTCCGTCTCAAAAAAACAAAAGAGAGAGAGACATTTCCTAATAAAGACTAAGGTTCCAGGAGGAAATATATACTTAATAACGTAGCCTTAAATATGTAAATCAAATGGGACAGAATTAAAATGGGAACTAGATAAATGATCAACCCCAATGAGAGATTTAACACACCTGTCTCAGTGAATGATTAAACAACCAGACCAAAAAAGTCAGTGAAAATACAGAAGAGTTGAAAAACAACAAACTTGACCTAAATGATATAAATGGATACTGTGCCTGACAACTGCGGGTAGATACACATTCTTTTCAAGCGTACATGGAACATTTATAAAGTTAAACCTGAAATGGGGAGGAAAAATCAAAGAGCTTAGGGGAGAAATTAGAGCTGGAGACTGGAAATCTCCAGTTCCAAAGTCTGTACCTTCTTTTTCTCACAATTCATTGATTTTTCAGTGGGAGTGGGGTACTGGCCAAGAGGGAAGGTATCCTCCCCCAAGAATATTGATTTTTCTTTTTTCAACTGTATGTAGGCCATGACTAATGGGAATGGCTACCCATGTGTTTACCGTGGACAAGGACAAGAGGCTGCAAACCACCACTGTAGCTGATCCAGGCTCAGATCTTCATCCCAGTCCCTAGGCAATGCATTCTAATTGCTGTCAGTAAAGGGCTTTACTCAGTCTCCCAAAGTTGGCTTTGTGCTCCTCTTAGGTCCAACCCTGGCACCTGAGGTGTCAAGAAAATGCTGTCTTCATAACCTTCCGGAGCCTCTTCCTCTCTTGATTCTAAAGGCTACTCCCAAGTGTTCTAAAACTACACACATGAATTGGCTTTGCTGCTGGGTTCCTCTTTCTTAAAAGTATTTAATCAGCGATTTTCCCAGTGCCCCAGGCATTTCCTGTACGAGTGCTGCTGACTGTTTTACTTCCTACCAGGCTGCCCTCCTCCTCTTGGCATTCACACTCCCAACTTTCAGATGAGCTCTATTAACTCCTGTTCTTCCAGCCTCCTCCTGGCCCAGCCATCTGGGAGCCATACAGGCATTCTTCCCATCCCCCAGCTCCTAGATTTCCTTATTGTAGGAGGCCATATGTTTTCAAGTACCTTATCATTCTGGCTCTTTTTTCCCGCCTTCTCTCCCAGTTCCAAGCCATTGATTGCTTTTCCTCCTTCGTTCATTTTACAGCTGCTGAGAGATTTGTGCTCTCATGTTGCCTGTTTGCTTTTGTGTCTTTTGTCCCTTATGTCCTGGTCTACTCAAGGATACCCACAGTCACCTAGATAACATTTCTACTCTGTGCTTCTAGTGTCCTGCTTGGGAAATGGGGTGATCACTCATCTTAAGAATGATCTCAAGAAATGCTTTGGCATGAGAGATCAGGGCCTGAAGACATTACACCCCCACCCAAATCATTATCCAAAAGAGTGAAAGATGGAAATTTGCCAAGACAAAGATCACAGTGGTAGTTTAAGAAATGAAAGCTTAGATTTGATTGTCTGTTTTATTTTAAAGGATGTTGTTTTGATCTTATTTTCTTAGTATTAGGATAGGTCATTCAAAGAGATTGGAACAACCATGGAAGAACATTCAGATTGTTATAGGACTGTGTTTCAGACTGGGAGAGCAGAGGGCCTTTAGCCTCTTCCTGACCCCACCCTGAACTCCTCTGAACTCCCACCCTTGTCCCGAGTATGCCTGTCCCTGACAAGAGACTTTGGTCAAAGACCAAAGTGAGCTTTGTTAGTGAGCATTCACAGAGGATAGGAGCTGAGTCCATGGATTTCACGTCATGCCAAGGAATGGATTTTCTCCCAGGGCCACTAGCATTACTTGTGGGTTATCAAGTGTTATTGCTCACACATTCCAGAGCTTCTGGAAAAGACTTAAGGAAATGGCTTTCAGAAAGCCATTTCTGTCCTAGAGGAGAGGGGTCCTGGATTTCACTGAACCAGAACTTGAGGGGTGGTTTTGGTATTCTGTGACGTAGGTAGTGGGGAACTCCTACCTTTGGATGTTTCCTTTATGCCCACAGTCTAACCATTTCCTAGTTGTACAGCCAAGAAGGATCTTTTCTGTTTAATCGATCTGGAGGAATAGAAGGTAATTGTATCCTCCTTATTTTCATTCTGCCACCCCTACCTTCATCATTTCTTCCTTTCTGCTAAGCATTTTTTATCATCTTTCTTTGTTTTGTTTGGGGAGTTTTGTTTTTTTGTTTTCTTTCCTCAGGAAAGCTGAATTATTTCTTACAGAGTCATTTAGTTCTTACTGAAACTGGGGAGGAAAAAGATTATGCAACAGCAGGCGTAAGGAAAAACAGAGAACCTTCTTCCCTTCGGGCCCATAGAGCCCATTGGAGGGATTCAGCTACACTCCTGCCTGGGAAGTAGTTTCCAGGACCTTCACAATTCCACATAGCATCTTTAACGTGTTTGAGAGTACGTAAGGAGGCAGCATAGTGCTGTGGAAAGAACACTCAAGTGAGTGTTGAGGGGGCTGGACTCTAATATTAATGTTAGCCAACATTTATTGAACAGGCTAGGTGCTAGATTCTGTTTAAAGCACTTTATATGGATTATCTCACTACTCTTATTATCCTATTTTACACATGTGGAAGCTGAAGCACAGAGTATTTAAATGTAATTTACCCAAGGTCATCAGTTGGGGAGTAGAAGTAGGATTTAATTCCTGCTCCAGAGCCTACATGTTGAGCTCTCTTTTAATACTGCATATAGTCCCTGATAGGCTACTGACCCTGGAAAAGTTATTTCAACTTTTAGGGCTCATTGGTGAACCATAACCAAAGGGAGCTCATTGTGGCTAACCTCTGATGGAGTTTCCACTTTTAATAATTTATATGATGAGATGCAGCTATATTGTTTAGTTCTTGTCATTATGTGAAAGCATAGTGTTTAAATTTTGACCTCATTGATTCAGCAACTTACTATTTTATGGCCACTGTGCACAAAGCAGTGGGCTGGGTACCACAGAGGATTCAGAAAAATGCTTAAAAAGTTAAAACCTATCTCTTCCATTAGCTTTAGGTGGTTTCATATTGTAGTTGCTTTGAGGTTTTTTTAGACTAAGTTTTTCAGATAATTAAACAGGAATCAAATAAAAAAACTATTCATATTCCAGAAGAGGAATCCTGAAACAGGTATTGGACCTTAGACTATGTCAAGTTTCTGACATTTTCTTTTAAAATGTAACTTTTGTCACTAGGATGGTTTATATCCATTAACTCCTGAGTGAAGGAGCTTCTGGTGAGATTATTTTTTATGGTGCTTACAAGCTCAAGGGATTCTATAAAAATGGAATGTGACTGCTTTGGGAGTCACTAATACTGAAGCTGGATCATTATAACCTGAAATATCCATTAGTAACTTAGAAAGGCAAACTCAAAGAATTTACTATGTAATAGCTGGATTTTTTGATATCAGATTTTTTTTTTCTGGCAAGCTGGATTCAATATCTAGCTTTCTGTGGAGTTAGGTTATGGTGTGGAAACCTCTTGGCTGGGACAGGAAAAAAAATTGATCTTAAACTAAAAAACTAACTTAAGATATTCCATTTCTGGTAATACCTTTGAGATTGGAAGAATTGCATTCTGATGGGCCCAGACGTTAGATTAATGTCCATCTTTCTCAACAGATTGTAAACTTTTAAACTTTCTGTTTTGCATTCAGACCACAAGTGCCTGACACTTAATAGATGTTCTATGAATATTTGCTCATGGACTCTTTACTGCTCACTCCCTAAAATCCAGCCATTTCTCCCTTGCCAGCATTCAATAATTGAACCTGCTTTGAAACATCTGATCAGCCACTTCAAGAAGGCAAGTTATTTTAGCTCCTTTCTAAATAAGTTAGTGGACTCCAGTCCCTAAACCACTATTTTTTTTATTAATTCCTCAAGTACAGACTTTTGTATATATCCGGTCTTTTTAAACCTGTGTATAATGACTCATTAATGAGTTGTAAAATAAATTTAGTGAGTTATTACCAACATAACAAAAATAGAGAAGGCCAGGCACAGTCGCTTGAGAATATAATCCCAGCTACTCTAAGAAGTTGAGGTGGGAGGATCTTTAGGCCAGGAGTTTGAGACCAGCCTGGGCAACATCACGAGACCCCATCTCTAAAAACAAGTTTTTAAAAAATTAGCCAACCATGCCTTTACCAGCTACTTGGGAAGATGAGGCAGGAGGATTGTTTGAGGCCAGGAGTTTGAGACCAGCCTGAGCAAACTCAGTGAGACCCCATCTCTACAAAAATTTAAAAAATTAGCCAGTGTGGTGGTACACATCTGTCGTCCCAGCTGCATGGGAGGCTGAGGAAGGAGGATCACATGACATTTGAGCCCAAGAGTTCAAGGCTGCAGTGAGCTATGATCATGCCACTGCATTCTAGCCTAGGCAACAGAGGAAGACCTTGTATCTAAAAAGAAAGAAAGAGAAGAAAAAAAAAAGAAGATAAAAGAATAGGAAATATCATAATGGACAGCACATAAGTGAGAGGTGAAGCCAGTTGGACTTCCTGGGTCGAGTGGGGACTTGGAGAACTTTCCTGTCTAGCTAGAGGATTGTAAATGCACCAATCAGCACTCTGTAAAAACGCACCAATCAGTTCTCCGTGTCTAGCTAAAGGATTGTAAATGCACCAGTCAGCACTCTTAAGAGCTGTAACACTCACTGTGAAGGTCCACAGCTTAATTCTTGAAGTCAGCGAGACCAAGAACCCACCAGAGGGAACCAACTCTAGACACATAAGTACTTTTATTATAGACACATATTATGCTGTATTACAATAAAAAATGTTTTTGTTTTTTTTTTTTTAACCACCCTAGCCTAACCTGTCTTCAGAAGGCAAAAGTACCTCTGGTGTCCCTACTGTGGCATCTCCTAGCCTACCTCTCTATAAAAGTTTTGCAATTAAGTATATTTGTGTTTTATACATCCTTGGGCTTCACGTAGTTTAAGTTCCTAACTGGAGTTTGATCTTTCTCAGAGCCAACTCGTGGTATCCTAACCAATGAATGAATGCTGAGTAGAAAGAGCTCTGCTTGCATATATGCAGGTAGTGTGGTGGAGGGGAAATCTAGAAGTCATTTCTCAGCTCTGACCTGCGGGATCATCACCCCTTGAACCCCCAGAGCCTCGGCATACAGCCTCACACCGGCATACAGCCTCACACTGTACCACCTATTTTGGTGGTCCAAGTTAGGTGAGGGAGAGGACCAGACACAGTGCCCACCATCACCTAGCACTGGCCGTGCTACTAAACAGTCATTCCTTTTAGCGCTCTCCTCCCCACCAAAAGCATTTCAGGCAAAGCGCCAGCTCCTGAAATGTGGCCTCTTTGAAGTGGTGAGTGAATGCTTCTGAAACCACCACCTTATGTATGGTGGTGCGTCTGCTGCCAGAGCTTAATATAGGGTCGTGTTCCTTTCCTCTGAAATCTGTAACATAAATTCAGTTTTAAACTGGATTTTTTTTTAACAGTTGGTCTCTGAACAATCTTTAGGGTGGGGAGGGGATACTAGTGGTTGTAGGGGAGATATATGCCCTTGAAAACTAGATTCTTTTTTGGAAAACTGCTGATACAGGCTAAATGGCAGAGAACTAAATGACCCTACTGTTCCTACCTGCTGACAGGCTCAGCCTTGGGATGGGGCTGAAATGAGCTCTTGCCACATGGCAGAGACATGCCTTCCTCTTTTTCTTCTTCTTTCATACAAATAGGAGGTAATTTTGTGCCTGTCAAAAAATACAGCTTTGAGATGTAGATAACCAATAAACAACAGTCCCACCCCCAACTTGGAAAGCACATGAATGCTGATCTAAATAACTAGAGAATCGGTAACAAGTAACCTCCCTGTTGAGAACAGGTCTGAAATCTCTTTCATAGTTGGTGTTCTTTGGGAAACGCTGAAAGACAAACCCATCCAAGCTCAGGAAACGTGCTGATTTAAAGAGGTCCAAGGAAGAGTGACCAGCCCAGTGGCCAGGCATCCCAGATGCCTAGGATTCTCATGTTTCCGTACATATCTGCTGTTACATCCTTTCTGTGAGCAAGGAGGCTTTGGAACATTACAGTCTTGTCTTGGGGAGATGAAATGACACTGTGCGTTTCAGTTCTGTTTCCAATGCTGTTATCTGTTGGAAAATGAAGCTTTCCTACCCATTTTGTCAGCATAAAACTGGTAGGAGCTGTTGCAATCTCATTGTCTTCTGATCAGCCCCTCCTTGGCAGCAGTCAGAGTGGACGCCCCGTGAAACACACTCTGGCCAAACGGTTGTGGTGAGTTTCAAAATAAGAGATCCCAGCCTGGGCACACCATCACACTTCCCATCCCATAGAACCAGCATTGTTAACTGTGCCACATCTCTATTCTAAATTTAGGCATCTTTTTTTTTTTCCAGGCAAAGATTACTATGCAAACATTTAAGAGAAAAACTTTGTCCAAAGTAATTTTTTCCCCCAACTTCTATTTGGTTTCCTGCAATGTTTAGATGACTCATTCTCTTCCAAGAAATTTTAAAGAAAAGAGATGCAGGCTGTATGTTAGTACACAAAGACTGCTCTGTAAATTCTCTTTTTCTTCCCTGTCTAGAAACCCCTTGCCTTTTTATAGAGAACAGAAAAGCTCTACAGTCTTCATTGTCATGTACTCGGCCTCATCAGGTTTTGTTGTTCCCGGGAATAAATGTCCCCCTTGTCTTTGGGTGGGGCCCCCTTGTGGCTAACCAGCTCTGTCAACCCCACTGCAGTGGCCAGCACGGAAGCCCTTCCTGGGACCACGCTTTCCCCCAAAGGCACACAGTTAAGGTTTCTGAAACAGAGAACGAATAGCCTTTTATCATCTGTGAAAGGAGAGACACTGGCAATTTCCTGCCTCTGGCCTAGTGTCAGAATTTCTCCTGATTGCTAGAGGCTGTATTGTACATTTTAAGTGGGCTCGCTACACATGTATTCCCAGCCCAACCCTCAGCCAGAGGGAGTGGTAAGTCAGATCACTTCAGCAGCCTGTTCAAATAAACAGGGATAATCGCTGAGTGGTCCTCCCAACTAATCAGTACATGAAAGGAAACATCTGCCTGGGCTTAATTGCTGTTTTTTTGGTTACTCTTTTCCCTCCTCTTCTTCCCCCATCCCCCATTCTGGGGCTAGGTTATTTAAGTCATGGGTAAGCAACAGGGTAGAGGAATAGAAGCTTTCTCCTTTAACCTCTGCCATTCAAACAGAAGGAGGAGTTAAGAAACGATAAGAGGCTAGCAGGGGGAGCTGGCCCGGAGGCAGGAGGGCAGGGCAGTGGGAAGTGATACTCATGGTCACTTCCTGACCCTGTTGCTGACTCTGGGGCTCGGAGTGAGTCATGTTGCCTCACTTCACCTCCTTGGGCCTCTTGCTTCAGTGGAGCTCAGCTTTTCTCTCAATGGAAAGGAGAGGCTGGTATGTGAGATCACAGATGAAAGTCACTCTTGTGACTTCTTCCAGCAGTTGAGGTCATTGGATGAGAGACCCTGGGAATGGTAAATTTAAGACTGGCAAGATGCCCCTGAACCCGTCCATTTTGTAGAGCATCTGGGTCGCCTAGGAGAACTTGCTCATTATCTTCTAAGCCAACCAGAGGTACACTAAAGGGAGTGATGTTTGAAGATAATATGGACTCTAGAAGCCAGGCAGAAGATCATGTAGAATCATAGAATGGCAGAGGTTGGAAAAGACCTTAGAAATGTTTTAGCTGAAGCTTTTCATTTTATAGAAGGGAAAACAGAGGGCCAAAGAGGTTAACCAGGTTGTCCAGAGTTATCTCTTTGGTAATGCAGGAGCCAGGAATAGAAAGAGAATCTTATGATTGCAAATTTAGGGCTCCTTCCACCCCTTTCCCCACTATCAGATGTAAAAATTCATGCCTACTCATGACAGAGGCCACACATAGGTTATATTCCATAATGAATACCTTAATAGAAAAAATGGTCAGAGAACACCTTAATAGGAAAATGACAGATTATAAAAGAAAAATGAAAATGACTGATAAACATTTTTTAAAATGATCAGGCTCACTAGAATCAAAGGACTGCAAATTACAGGAGGATACCACATCAAATTGTCAAGACAATAAAATGTGAAATAAACATTCATATATGCTATTGGTGTTATTTTAAATTGGTACCGTTTTTCTCAAAGGCATTTTAGTGGTATAAATGGTAGTCTTTGACCCAGCAATGTTATTTCTAGGAGAAAATAATGAAAGGTGTGTGCATTAGATCATATACAAAGTAATGTGATATGGCATTTTTTATCACAAAAATTTAGAAGCAAAGTACATGTCCAAGAATGGGAGCTGCATCAATATAATGTATTATAATGCTATAGAAGAATAATACATGTGGAAATGTTTACAACATATGTTTAAGCGAATAAGTTACAAAACAGGATTTATAATGCAATCCCAATTTTGTAAAAATAGAGAAGATTAGAAAAGTACATAACAACCCTCAGAGTGATGATTTCTTAGTGGTAGGCATTTAAGAGTTACTTTTGTTTTCTTTTTTGAGGTTTCCTAGTTTCCTTATTATAATAAACATACATTACTTTTGTAATCAGAAAAAAAGTATTTTTTAAGTAGAGATATATGTATCTTGAAAAAAAGCAAGATTTTAAATGGTTGGGTATCTGACATGAAAGACCTTCCTTTTTTTGTCTGGGAGCTAGCAGCCATGGTGGGAGGGATGGGAGACAATATTATAACTTCTGTTAGGATGGCATTTTGATATCCAAATTTCTAGTAGGGAAGATCTAGAAGGAGCTGGCAAAAGATAAAACAAGGGGTTTCCCTCTCAATGACCCATGCTGCCAATCAGTGTTAACCCTCTTAGGTTTGGCATATAACACTTAGTATAGGAGGTGTGACAGTTTCCTTCCTGCTTCCTCATTCTTTCTTTTCTTTTCTTTTCTTTTTTTTTTTTTTTTTGAGACCGTCCCACTCTTGTCGCCCAGGCTGGAGTGCAATGGCGCAATCTTAGCTCCTTGCAACCTCCGCCTCCTGAGTTCAAGTGATTCCCCTGCCTCAGCCTCCTGAGTAGCTGGGATTACAGGCATGTGCCATCACGCCTGGCTAATTTTTTTATTTTTAGTAGAGACGGGGTTTCACTATGTTGGCCAGGCCGGTCTCAAATTCCCGACCTCAGGTGATCCACCCACCTCGGCCTCTCAAAGTGCTGGGATTACAGGTGTGAGCCACCGTGCCCAGCCCTGTTCTTTATTTCTACTGCTCTATGTAGTTAGATGTCAGCCCTGGGTGTCAACAGCAAAGAACCCAGGAGCCATCACTGCTCAAGATTAACTAGTTGGAGACCCCTTAACATAGATTTTCAGCATCTAGTAACAGCTAATCTCGCAGGCAGTCAGTATTGAGATATCGCTGCCTTGTGAGTTTCGGGTAGAAATAAAGCAAGTAAGAAATATAGTTCCATCCTGTTTGGAGTTTTGTATTTAGTTAGGGACTTTGAAGTCCCTGGATGTTTATATACTTTTTCCTATTTCATCCCGTTGCACATCTTATTTTCCTTTGAAATCTTCTGGAATGCTTGACTGCAAGTATCTGAGAAACCGTGTTCCACCTAACAACAGTTGCTAGGTAGGATGTGGCTTTCAGTCCTGCTCTTTGGGGACCAATAGAAAAATCAAAGGCTACCACCCTTTTTCCCTCCATGCAATTGCCTTTGCTGGGCTATAGAAAGGGCACATTTCATTTTATTAAAACTCTTTGAGTAATCTGACCATAATTGGGTCTGATTGGAGTGGTTATCTGATTTGCTGGGTTAAATAATGGGCCTTAATTGAGTCTGGGTTATTTGTAGAGCCAGTGCGGCTTTTGCCTTCATTGCTCCCTCCTCTCTCTTCTGTTTCCCAATTAACCTTCATTCCTCTTTCCTTGCAGAGTAAAGAAGTCGGCCAGCAGCTCCAAGATGATTTGATGAAGGTCTTGAACGAGCTCTACTCGGTAAATCAGATGGGTTGCTTGCCTCTTTAATAAGCAGAGGGAAGCAGCATTTGGCAGCTTGCAGCCATAGTACGTCAGCAACAGAACTGAACTGAGGTTGAGGACAAGTGCATGGTCCCCACTGGGGGTGACCCCACCCATCTCTTTTTTCACACTCGTCTTTTCAAAACAGAATGAGTCAAAAAATACTTCCTCAAAATAAGTTTTCTCCTCAGCTGTGCAAGCTCACCCTGGCTTTATTTGGGGCATAATTGCTAGAGACCAGCCAGAGTCTAGGTCATTGGCACAATGGACCCCATTAGCAGCAAACAGAACCTAACGGCAAGGAACGTAGCCTGCATTGCACTATTAATATGTGCCTGTTGGAAAGGCTTTATTGTTCTAGGTTTTACATCAGATCTTGGATTGATCTACAGATTTGAGACTAGAACAAATGCTCTAGAGGGCAGCACAGAGTCCTAAATTCCCCCAACAAGAGGGACCAGTTTGGGCAGAGAGAGCTTTGCACTGGCTTCCTGGAGTTTTATAAAGCCAAACCTCAGTGACGAGGCAGGCTGCGGGCTTAGAGAAGAGAACACAATCTGTTCTGAGATGACTGGCGCTTCAGGCACATGATGCCTGTGGCTGGTGCGTGTTAATTCATGCGCAGAGAGGTGGTGGTGGTGGTGGTGGTGGTTGTTCCCCAGCCATGTTTTTCTAATTATAATGAAAACAAACACACACTCACACACATACACACCAAGGAAATTCATGTTGTTATACAGGGAATACTTAAGTTGTACAGCTAATGCCTTTCAGGGGCCCCTTCTCCAGCTTGGATGTGCCAGCCTACTGTGTCATTCTCCAGTGTTTCTCCATCCTATTTGAAGGTGATCCTGATTTCTAATGTTTACTTGCTTATTTGCTGCATTTTTCTTTTCTTTTCGTTTCTTCCTTTCCTTTCTTCTTTTTTTTTTTTTTTATTCACAGAACAGGCAGTGGTGACATGCATGACAGGCATTTGGGATCAGATGTTGCTGATCCAGAAACCTAGGTGTGACCATTTTGTCATAGCAACTGTTAAGCAAGTAAATAGGGTAGAGTAGTCATCTGACTTATCTCCAGTGATGTTCAGTTTGTTTTGAATTTCTACTCTGTGACTCTTCTGCTGTGAGGCCAAGCATAGATAGATGGTACCTTTGGTTCAGCTCCCAACTTTTCATTTCTCTCAAATGAAGTTGAGAGTTTTTAAAAATAGAAACACATCGATGTGAACCATTTTCAGACTGGATGGGTTTCCTGAACCTTGTCTTTTTAATGCTTTACTTCTGCTCTTTTAGAGCATTTTCTAAGCACCAAGAAGAGCTATCACTCCTTTCTCTTGGCAGAGAATTCCCTACGATAGAAAACGACACATGTAGTCACTATATAAATTCTTTTATTTTCCTGTAAGCATTTTGACCCTCTACTATTTGCAGCTGTTTCTGGGAAGGAGTGGTTTGGATAACCAACAAACCTTGCCACTTCTTTAGTGGGACTCAAGGCAGCAGAAGAAGACTAATGTCTAAGGATCTATTAGCTTTTACCCAGGGTCCTATATCTCTTCATATGTTGTGCTTTAAGAAAAAAATAAGTGAAAGGGCGTAAGCTGTGTTCGAGTGATGAAGAAAACCTTGAAACTTATTTCTCTGGTCTGCAGAGGGCTGAGCTGCTACCTCTGACTGCAGACTTAAGACAGCCCAATATTGGCCAACTACTTTACCGGCCATTGTGAGGCCACAGTCAACGTAGAGCATAACATCTTCCCATTGATGTTCAAACTGAGAATTGCCTGAGTGTGGTATCCCCTGTCATAAGGTGAGCTGGAATATACCTTCATAATCTGTCAAAGGCCAAAATTAAAATGTGATGTTTTCCTCTAGTAGGCAATGGAAAGAGGGAAAAAAGAGTAGAGGCACTAGAAAGCTTCAGAGAAGTCAAAACATTCTGGTCCAAATGGAGTTTTAAGCAGAGGGAGTTTTACCCCAAGGGGACATTTGGCAATGTCTGCAGACATTTTTGATTGTTACAACTGGAGGAGTAGAAGGTGCTATTGGCATCTAATGATCTAGAGGCCAGGGATGCAGCTGAAATCCTACAGTGTACAGGGCAGCCCCCACAAAAAAGAATTATCTGACCCACAATGTCAATATACCAAGATTGAGAAATGCTGGTCTAGTGACTAGAGTCTCCTTAATTAAGCAAGCTAGATTCTACCCTGTCTTGACTACTAGCTGTATGAACTTGAGGGATACCCCAAACCTCTATGACCTTGGTGTCTGCATACTCTCCATGCACTGGTATTTCTATGTCCTAGGGGGTGGAGTAGTTGGGTGAGTTATACTTCCTGAAATATTAGACTATAGCTAAGGATCAAATAGGTTTCCAGATTCTGTAGGCCATTAGAAAGTTCAGTGAACCGGGCTTGTGCCTGTAATCCCAGCACTTTAGGAGGCCGAGGCAGGTGGATCACGAGGTCAGGAGATCGAGACCATCCTGGCTAACATGGTGAAACCCCATCTCTACTAAAAATACAAAAAAAATTAGCCAGGCGTGGTGGCGGGCACCTGTAGTCCCAGCTACTGGGGAGGCTGAGGCAGGAGAATGGCGTGAACCTGGGAGGCGGAGCTTGCAGTGAGCCAAGATTGCACCACTGCCCTCCAGCCTGGGGGACAGAGTGAGACTCTGTCTCAAAAAAAAAAAAAGAAAAAGAAAGAAAGAAAGAAAAAAGAAAGTTCAGAGAATAGAATTTTTTCTTCTGGAGATTAAGATTTAAGTTTAGGACTGGTCTGAATAAGGCACCATGGGATTACGGTGACTAACTGTCCCTCTTTGCCTAGTACTGAAGAGTTTCCTGGGACATAAAATTGTCAGTACTGAAACTGGAAAAGTTCTAGGTTAAAAAAGGTTAATTGGTCACCTTGCATGGGAGAGTGGTTTTATCAGGTGGGAAGCTGGGACCATTACATGCTAGCTTTGGGAAGCTGCTTGCTGTGTGCACACTCTTGAGGAGTCAAGAAAAGAACAACGGAGAGTTTCTTGTAAGGAGCTTTCCCATTATTTTCTTGTCAGGAAGGCAGGGAAGGGCCTCTTGTTTCAATGACATTGTAGGTAATGGAACTTATTTGGGATCCTTGGAAAAAGGAAACCAAGCATATAAGAAACCCATCCAGTTTTTTCAGTGCTCTTCACATCTGCCCCTAATACCCGTTAATACCCTTTTTTAGGGGACTAGTTATCCAAGGGTTGGTAATTTTAGTAACTTTGTACCTTGATGATCCAAGGAGCAGGACCCAGGTGTTCCCAAAGAAAGATGCCTTTGGGCAGGGGGCCCAGAATACCACTGTAAGTGGCCAGCTGCCCCTCTGCACCTTCCTGTTTTCTGCTTGAAGGGCCTTTGATTTCCCTGACTTGGCATTCTGTGCCGGGGCCTGCTTCCCACAGCTGCTATTCAGAGAGCAATCCTAGCAAACATTCTTCTCCACGTGTTTTTCCCCTGATAATGAGCTGGCTAGTATATAAACCATGGCATAAATGGTTTTCATTTTCTGACGGATGCACTGGGAATGCCTTTGAAGTCAGAACACACTGCTTCCCAAAGAACTCTGGGATTCTTTGCCTCAGTTGTACTCAGAGGTCGTGTCTGGAAAAACCCAGCAAACCCCCACAGGAAGGAGCATACATGGAGACACTGAAGCCAGTGTGGATTGGCTCAGTATGAAGAGTCAAGGAGGCTCTAGAATTGAGAAAGAAGAGGCTTTAGGACACTCTGGGGCTGTTATTATCCCAGAGGCCTTATGCTTCTATACTCCCCCTAAATATATATCCCCTTGGCTTGGAGCAGCAGCTGTGTGCTGGCAGAGCTACCTCAGACTGGTATTTAGCACCTGTTCCCTTGAAACATGGCACTTAATAGTCCCTCAACTCTGCTTGCCTATTTGACCCTGGCAGTAGGCACCAGGGAGACAAGAACAAATAAGATGTTTCTAACCTCAAGGCGTTTAGTTTTAATTGGGAGAGACAGAAAAGTAAAGCATCAGGTGGAAAATGAAGTGACAAGAACTCATTTACATGTCTTCACAGAGGACAGGGATGAAGTCAGGCTCCTTGAAGAGATACTTGAGTTGAATCTTAATTGCCAAGAACTCTTTTCTTGTTCTCTACATGTTCCCTTTTTTGTTGCATCCAACTTTTGTTTCATGATGCAGTATCATTTTATTTCTCATTTATCTCTCCAGGGCTATTATGGATATATTGTTTTCAAACTTTTCTTCTTGTTGTATAATATTTCTTCTAAATTGCTAGTTTTGGTCTTGGTCTTTCATATTAGACATTTCCTTTAAATGCCTGGTTATCCTTAGCTGCCTGTTCACACTTTAAAGTGAGGTACTAAAAGATTCTGTGTCAGCTGTGGCCTTCACAGTAGGGTGTTCTAACTGGGCTGTGTCCTCGTGGAAGCCCCAACTTTAGTATTTCTAGGTCTCTTATCTTGGATGGTCAGATTGCCAAGAGATCACACTTTTGATCTCCTACTCATGTCTGGGGACTGAGTTGTGAAGAGGCCTGGACCATCTCAAAATTTAACATAGACTTCAGCTAATCCTCCTGTTGAAGTTCAGTATCCCGCTATCACCGCTGAACCTTGTATCCCCTAGTCCATGGACCCTCTCTAACAGAATAAACCTCTCATCTAGTATTCCGCTACAGTGGGAGAGGGGATCTTGGGATCTCACTGTTCTCAGATTTTCAATAGCTTATTTTGTGTTTAGCTCTACCTTCATCCCACTGCTACTTATTTCTCTTCGGGCTTCTGTGATATCAATCTGGCTGCTTTCTGGTTTACTCTAGTTTTGGTTTAGGACTCAAGTAGATCAGTTACTGCTTGCCTGCCTGTTTTTCAGCTTCTGCTTCCATTCTTTTTGTTTTTCTCAATTTATACCTAAATGATAATAATTTTAGAACCTTTTTTTCCCTATTATTTTAGTGTGGCTGTCAGAGGGAGCAGAGCTAAATACATGACTTCAGTGTTTAGTTTTTCAAAGTAAAGTAGAATGTTCCTCACAGAACTGAGAATGTAGACTTTTCAATTTTTTGCTATAGTTTGTATCTGCCTCACTATATATAGATAGAAGTATGTATATCTATATGTATACATATCTATATATACATATATGTGTAGCTGTATGTCTAAGACATAGATATATAGATATACATATATTTACATATGTATATGTATATAGCTATATATAAGTCCTATCTTGACTTTCTCTAAGTCCTATGTTGACTATAAATATATATTTATAAACATATATTTAATATGTATATGTATATCTATATCTATATAAATTTCTAAGTCCTGTCTTGACTTTCCTATTTTTTCAGTTGTTTTGGCTTCAGCTTCTGGGTACCTCAGTTTTCTCTTGAGTTGAAAGGCACTAATAAAGCTTCTCCAGTATTTACCCAGAAGAGAGACTGTGTCATGCAGTCATTTGGGCAACCACTTTGTAAAACCACCATTGTGTATATGACATATTTCTCCACTGTGAGAAGAAAACACAAAAGAAGTAGAGCTTACCCTGAAGAATGTATAGTTTCTTAGGCAAAGTAGTGTTTTACTCTCTTTTAACACGAAAGTTCTTTAAGTTTTTTAGGGTAAAGGAACATTGTAAATTGTTGATTTTTATTACTTCATTTGTTGACTTGGTAGCGCTATTCTTTGACCTCTTTTTTATCTCATGTTTATTCTTAGCGTTTTCTCTTTATCGTGCACCTTCATGAAATAGGAAATCACTTTAAAAAAGAAAAAAAGCACTCACTTTTGTAACTGCTCACTAAGCTTTTGAATCCCATGGTCAGATTCAGGTGGAAAAAGAGAAAAAAAAAAGGAGCCTCCTATCTACACTTCTTCATCTGGGATAACAGATGCCTCTTTTCCACTTCTTAGTTAACCTGGAAAGCTGGGGGTCTGTTTGAATTACTTAGAAAGGCTTTTAAATGCCATTGGTTGTTAAATATTATTTCTTCTGTATAGAAAATATGAAGAGTATTATCCTGGTAAAATTTATGGGAAGTAGTGTTAGGTTCAGAAAAAGGTGAAGCTAATTTAAAACATTCTGCATTCAAAATGAGACATAATTTAGACTCTAATGTACTTTGACTTTGTCAGTATCCCAATATTCTTTATTCCTTTGTTTGCCTCCAGCTGATCGTAGGGGCTAGATTAGTCTACTCACAAAGTCTTTCTAAGCTAGGTTTTCTCAACCTCAGCACCATTGACATTTGGGCCAGATAATTAGTTGTTGTGGGGGCTGTCCTGTGCATGGGATGTTCAGCGGCATCCCTGACCTCTACCTAGTAGATGCCAGTAGTAATCCCCAAGTTGTGACAATCAAAAATATTTCCAGACACTGCCACATTTCCCCTGGAGGCCAAAATAGCCCCAAGTTGAGATACTGTTCTAACTCAAGTTCATAAATGGAACCAATTTCTCTTTTCAAGAATATCTTGACCATACTTAACCTTTCCTCCCAACCGGTTCAGGTCCAGTCCTATCCAGAGGAGAGTCAGTGTTGCTTAGTGGCTAAGAATGTGGTCTTTGGAGTCTGACAGACCTGAGTTTGAATCCTGATTCCGACATTTTCTCTTTGTATGACCTTGGGTGTGACAGTTAATCTCTTTGAGCCTTATTTCCTTATCTTTAGAAATAGAAATAATAACATTTTCTTTCACAGAGTTATTGTAAGGATTAAATGAGGTAATGTACCTAAAGCCCATGGCACACAATGTTTATTAAGTGGTAGATATTAATAATAATATTGTACCTTGGCACTCCTCTGTTACACACACACATGCGCGCGCGCACACACACACACACACATATACACACATCCACCAACTTCTACTCTAATTCTCCCTCTCAAAGAAATCTTAGGGCATCACACTTTCAACACTGTTGAACTCCCTGTATGGAAACAGAAAGCTCCCCACAGAGTACAGCAGGCACCGGGTGGCTGAAAGTAGTATGTTTAGTAGGATTGGAAACAAGCTTGAGTTCTAGGCTTCCTGGCTTCCCTGTTAAGAGAAAGGATTGAACTCCTAAATGGTTGCCTTGATGGAAAATCATCCTTCACCTTTTATACTACTTCCTTCCTGTGGCAATTCCAGTTATACTTCATATGGATTTTATTCTTTCCCAGACTCTTACCTGAATTGCTATGAAGGCTTACAGTCTTCATAGGGTTGTTGTCTAGATTGTGGAATTGCCCTAAGGATGAGATGAGAAAATGTGTGTGTGGTACTTGGCATAAAGCCAGGAATATACTAAGTGTTCAGTAAATGATAACTGGCATTGTAATTGCTGCTGCTGCTCTAGTTGCTGTGAGAGGGTGTTTGATCTGGATAAAGCAGAACAGACAGATCCCCAGAATGCCAGGCCAGTAGAAAGAGCTTTTGGAAGCTTTTCCTCTTCCCTATTTTATATCTGAAAGGTAACAGAAAGCATAGGCAGTACTCCATAGGCTGCACTGCCCTCTTCAGGGTTCCTGACCAGCCCAGGAAGGCTTTGCCCTTGGGGCCTGAGAGGGGTGGTGGTGTTTCCCATCTACTTGGTATTACGAGGTGACTAAGTGATAGAAATCACCTGGCCAATATTAAAGAGAAATGATTACAAATGATAATGAATCGAAGTAAATAATACATGATGGATAGACATGAAGTTATTTCAACGAGAGGAAATGTTGGCTCATTTCGCATACTGCTTTCCTGTGCTTTGGAGTGGTCTTTAATCTGTGTTTGCTGAACCAAACACTTCTGAATTTTTCCCTTAGGGGTGTGAGGATATTACTTCATGGGGGAGAGCTCGAGCTGCGTCGCTGAGTCTGTAAAGCAGAGTATTGACCCCCTTGGCTTGACCTCGGGGGTGGGGGTGGGCGATGTCTTGCAGGTCATGAAGACATATCACATGTACAATGCCGACAGCATCAGTGCTCAGAGCAAACTAAAGGAGGCGGAGAAGCAGGAGGAGAAGCAAATTGGTAAATCGGTAAAGCAGGAGGACCGGCAGACCCCACGCTCCCCTGACTCCACGGCCAACGTTCGCATTGAGGAGAAACATGTCCGGAGGAGCTCAGTGAAGAAGATTGAGAAGATGAAGGAGAAGGTACGTATGCTCCCACAGCTATAGATGCTGGGAAGCAACATTCGGTAAGGCATGGATGGTAGGAATTTCCAAATAGGCTCTGGGAAGAGCAGACAAGGAAGCTCTGGGTTCTTTTAGTGCCTAGTGACTAAAAATGAGGCCTTGCTCTGTGCCCTGGAGGGAATACTAGGTATTGGGAGAACTGGGCACGTGGGCTCCAAGTTTTTAGCCTCTAGCAGCAAGAAACAGTAGTCACCTTTCCCAATCCATTTTCCAAATAGAGCTCAATATCCTATTGCTTTGGAGGGGTTGGGGGTGACTAGATCCAGGATTTGGTTTCAGGTATCAGGTGTTCAGGGGCAAGAGTAGTGGTACCTTCTTCAGAGTGGCATTGCAAGAATGAAGAATGATATTTGAAGATAGAATCAAAGTGGAGCACGCATCTTAAGTAGGGAACCTCATTAACCTTTCCTGAATTGATCTACATTGTGCCCTTGAATCTCATTAAACAGAATTAGAACCCAATTTAAGGCAGATGCGCATAGGGAGTAGCAGCACAATTGTAGTTCTTGAGTACACTGTACTTTTATCTTTTAGAGAACAATCCCCCCTTAAAAAAAAAAAAAAGTGAACTTCTGTTTCCTTTTCAGCGCCAAGCCAAGTACACGGAAAATAAGCTGAAGGCCATCAAAGCCCGGAATGAGTACTTACTGGCTTTGGAAGCGACCAATGCATCTGTCTTCAAGTACTACATCCATGACCTATCTGACCTTATTGATGTAAGTGCTTAAAGCTGAGGGCCTGAGGGCACCTCTTTTCTGGTTTCAGAATCCTCGTCAGACATTCCCTGATACTATTGTTCAGGAATCTGGTGCATTTTGAGAACAATTATGAAGACAGCAGCCATTATCCATCAGGGTGCTTGCCAAGCACCAAGTGAAATACTTCACACTTATCTCATTCAATCCTAACTGGAATTCTGGGAGGAAGGCATTATTATCTGTATTTTTACAGATTAACAGAGAGTTTAGATGACTTACTCAGAGTCAGTTAACAAATGACAGAGGCAAAATTTGCACCTAGGCCTGATGACTCAACCCAGGGTCATAACCACTACGCTCGTCTATCTGCCAGGAAATACTTTCTTTTTTTTTTTTTTTTTTTTGAGATAGAGTCTTGCTCCCCCAGGCTGGAGCGCAGTGGCCCAATCTTGGCTCACCGCAACCTCCGCCTCCCAGGTTCAAGCTATTCTCCTACCTCAGCCTCCCCAATAACTGGGACTACAGGCATGCATCACCATGCCCAGCTAATTTTTGTATTTTTAGTAGAGACAGGATTTCACCATGTTGGCGAGGCTGATCTTGAACTCCTCACCTCAGGTGACCTGACCTCAGGTAATCCACCTGTCTCAGCTTCCCAAAGTGCTGGGATTACAGCTGTGAGCCACTGCACCCGGCCTAGGAAATACTTTCTTACATCAGCTTCTCTTGCACAGAAGTGAGTGGCAAGAACTTAACTAAAGAGTTACAATGCCGTACCTTACGTTCGTATAGCATTTAAGATTTCTCAGTGTTATCTCATTTGATTGTCACATCACCATTATGGGTAAGCATTGCTGTCTCCAGTTGCTGGATAGGGAAGCTCAGGGTCCAGAGGACTACGAGACTCACCTGTCCAAGGTTATGCTGCAAATTAGGGTCCTGTCAGAAAGGTACCCAGCTCCCCCTGACATCTGGCAAATTTTTTCAAAGGTGATTGAGGAAAGTGGTTAATAGGCACATGTGTTTTGCAAGGGGCAAGCCCAGGGATAAGCTTTTTGTTTTTTGCCTGTGAGGTATTCTTGGCCTTGTTTTTCTTGCTGCTTCCCCTTACAGTTGAGTCTTACAAACCTTCTCACCTACAGACTCCAATCTGGCCCAGGTCCTGAGCCACACCTAAGTGAAGCTCTGTAATTACACCCTTTCTCACCTCTCCTTCCAGTCATCAAAGTGAGGCATCTGGAGCCAGCCAATTTAGCAACCCAGTCTCTGGGGCTTCAAGTGTATCTCGTCTCTGAGGCCTGCCATTTATTTCAGGGTCTTGGTGGCAGCAGTTGGGCTTTGCAAAACTTTGGCCAGACCACTCATGCTTTCCTGCCTTGGTTTCTCCACAAGCAAACCTGCCACACCTCATAGCATTATATGGGGTTTGGGTCCAAGTCTTGCTGTTATATCACTACCTGGGTCATCTAGGCTTGTCACTGAATTGTTGTGGAACCCAGCTTTGTTTCCTACCCGACTCCCAACCTCCTCTAGCCAACTGAAGAACTGGACTAATTCCCTGGTATTGAAATCTGGCCTCACGTAAGAGTTGCTCGGGGAACTTCTCTGAAATACAGATTCCTGTCTCCCTTTAGCTGAGGATTTTTGGTTCAGTAGATTTCAGCCACTTAATGCCCTAGGTGTCATTGTCTTGCTGGGTTAGTGGAGCCTTGCTCCCTGTTCTGGTACCTCTTTGCTCTCTCTGCTTGTTGATGACAATCTGAACACTGTCCTTCAATGGAGGTCAAAGCCCTAAACAAGATCCTTTCTTCTCCTCAGGGTTGGAGCTTCTCATTGTTGGGAGAGAGGCCTGTTCTCAGCATGAGGAAGAGAATCTATTCTTTCTTGTGCACAATTTCTGCTATTTATCTTGCATTTGGTAAAAATTCAGACTGTGTTGTCTGCCACACCTCTACTGTTGGTTAGCCCTCTTCTCTTTTTTTGTACTCAAGGCAACTTCCCTACCTTTTTCACCAAAATGCTGATCTCAGGGGAAGGGAGGGGCTACTGCTGTATCAGCCACAACCTTTGCAATCCATAGATTCTCCATCAGGTATAAGCAAGTGTTTTAAAATCAGTCCAAGAAGCAAGGTATTTTGTACCTTGTTTTCATCATTAAAAAAAAAAAAAGTCTGTTAAGAGCCTGATTTCACAGGATGTGGTGTGACATGCCATTGAAAAAGAGGCTGCCTTAGTACTTGGCAGGGTGTGGGTCTATCACCGGGATCAAGAGGCTACATAGGTAGTAATAAAGTTTCTCATGTTTCTTTGCTGCTGTTTTGGTTGTGTCTTGTTTTATTTTGTTGGTTGGTTGGGTTTTTGTTGTTTTTCCTGGGATGAGGACACATTCATTATTTTTTTTAAAGTTGTATTGTTCTGCTCTATAAACGTTCAGTAAATATTTATTTAGGGAGAAGGCACGTGCTCAGTATCAGGGGTAAAAATGGAATATAGTAGTTCTTGCACTAGAGTATTCATAGACTGTAAGACAGCATTTTTCAAACCATCAGTGAGATCCCTTAGGGAAATCAGGAAATCACTTTTATTGGTTTGATCTGTGGTTTCAAATGAATAGATGAGACTAGAATAAGAAAGAAAATATTAGAGTACATCACATTGGTAAGATTATGTGAAACTTTTATGTTAGATGTATATGTACACACTTGTACATCCTATGGGGGGGTGTGACAATAGACGATGTGTTTCTTATTGTGAGTTGGGAGTCAAAAACGTGCTTGTGAGCCGTTGTACTATGAGCAGAGAAAGATCTCAGTCTCCTCTGTTAAGTTCTGTGAGAGCAGGAACCAAGAGTTTTCTTTACCTTAGTAGCCTCCAGTGCTTAATATATAGCTGAGCACATAGTGTGTTTACTGAAGGAAGAAAGGAATAGAAAGAGGAGGATGATCATCTAAGCTAAGATTGGTTTTTCTTTTTGTACCTTTCAATATTGTTTTGAAGTATAATTTACATACAGTAACTAAACGTAAGTGTTACGGTTTCAAGAGTTTTGACAAATTTGTACATCTTTGTGACCTACATCAAGATATAGAATAAATATTTTGATAATAGATATATTTTCATTGCCTCAGAAGGTTTCTCTTGTCTCTTCCCAGTCAGTCCCCCACCCCAAGGCAACCACTGTTACGATTTCTTTCACCATAAATTAGTTTTGCCCATTGTAGAACTTCATAAAGATGGGATTATCCTTTTTTGTGTCTGGCATCTTTTGCCCAGCATGATTAATTTCATCCATGTTTTTGCATGTATCAGTAGTTTCTTACTTTTTCTTGCTGATCTATGCAATAAAAAGGGCCAAAAGGATGCAGTTAGAGCAGGACTAAGTGAGGAGCCTGGGATATTGGCATCCTGATCTTAACATTATCCATTACTTGCTTTAAGACATGGGATGAATCCTGTTTCAGTCTGTTGCCATCTGTGTCATGTACACCCTTCTGCCTCCTTCCTAGTCGTTTTGAAGCCAAATATGTGCATAAGGCATTGAGGATAAGTGAAAAGAAGTTATTTTTGTCGATGCCATTACATTGACCAAGGACTAGCCTCCGAATTCTTTTTATAGTATAGTGTAAGATTTAAACTTCAGACTGTAGGAATCCAGTTGAGGCTTCTGCCACACTAGGGAAACCTTGACTTCAAGCCAAAAAGACGTTCTGAGCTCAATTGATAGCATTTAAGAATGGTAGGCTCACTGGTATGTACTTTTGCTCCCCCATATTCTTCTGGCTCTCTCAACCCAAGAGCAGATGGATGAATGAAGAACAGGGCATTGTCTTCATGCATAGCTGGAGTGTTGTAAGTGCCGTGTACATGTATAGAAGGTCTGTGACACCATGTGCACCCAAATCAGACATGAGGGAACTTGGCTGTTTCAGTAAGAAATGTCATTAAGGACAGTTCTTTTTCTCTTCTGTGGGAACTTGAAGTGGGTGTTGTGAAACAGCCATTTTTCCTTTCCAGACCTTCTGGAGTCTCTGGGTGAGGATATCAGTTGGGAAAGGGTTAATGAGCTATCAACTCAAGTCATCATACATCTGGATGGGCTGTCATTAAATTCTTACAAAAATTTGATTTCCCCTGAGAGATTATTCATCAAACATTTATATAACCCAGAAATGGCCAGGGGAGCCCAGCATGGCCACAGAACTCATCAGAAGCCATGGAAAGCCTGCTTTGTCCCCATTGTGAGCAAAATAATGTGCTTCCTCTACTTACTGGTATTCTCCTTGGAAAAGGATGAAATATTCAAATCTCATTTTCCTAACTTTGCCAGATATTGCTTCTTCGCTAACTGCTTGGTTTCTGGCTGTTCCCCTACAGGTATGTAGATAGTCAAGACTCTGGAAAACCTCTTCTGAATCTGCCTGGTTGGCTAGAGGTGTAGAGGAGCCAGGGGCATATTGTGACTCAGACCCTCACTCATTGGCACAAAGAACCTACAGAACAGTTATATAAATAGAGACAGTGCACCAGCCTGAGAAAACTCCCAGCCTCCCTTTGGCCATAGAGTGAGCAAAACAAAAGGCTTCACTGGCCTCATCTACCCACTTGACTTAGGTCAGTATTCAGCCTAAGTGCTTTATTTCCTGAGAGGCTGGAATCTGTACTTGTGGCATCAGTCAGTCAACTGAAATTTAAGTGCCTACTGTGAGCAAGGCCTAATGCTGAGGGATGTAAAGAAGGGTGAGAAGGTAGTCTGGTTGGGGTGATATGACATGGCAAGTCATAGAATGAAGAAGTGTATTCCTTGTCATATGAAAGCTGCAGATTAGTGTGGTTCTAAGTAGAGGCTAGGGTCATTAGAGTCCAGGATTGCAGGGTTGGCTGGCTTCCCAGAGGCTGATAATTTAATTTGGATCTTGAAGATCTGGTCCAATTCCAACAGGTGAGAGGCATAGGAAACATTTAAGGAAGAGACATTCTGGGAGCTGAAGGGCAGAGGTCAGTGGATTTGGAGCTATATTAGTATTTTTTTAAAGTGTCTACATGGTACTAAATATATGTAAATATATTGCCTGTTAGCCTACAACAACCTGTGAGGCTGGTGTTATCCTCATTTGAGGCCCAGAGGGATTAAGTAGCTTGCTTATGGCCATATAGCTGATTTGAAGCTTAATACTATACCCTAAACAGAGAGTATTTCGTTGGATTAGAGCAGATGAATCTGAAGAAGAAAATAAAGGGAGTTGATGTTGGATGGATAGATTGAAGACAGATTACAATTTGTTCTGGCTGTTGGACCTTGCTTAAATTATTTAACTTCACTGAGCCTCAGCTTTTGAGCCTGGAAAATTAAGATAATACCAACCTCATTGGGGTTATTATGAGGATTAAAATGTAGAGTGTATATAAAGGACTTAGCACATGGACTGACGTATAGTAAGCATACTTAGTGAAATAGAAGCATTTTTTAAATTTCAAAACTGAGGAAGGTGGATTTTACCTTGGGGAAAAAAATGAGAGGTATTTTAGGTTCTTCAACAGGTAAGTGCCATAATTAAAGTCACATTTTAGGACAGTGAAGCAGACAGCACTGGTGTAACACAGTAAGGGTATGAATAGGGGTAGAGGTAGTGAGAATGGAGAGGAAAGGGAAATTACCAAAAATGGTTTTTTGAAGGGTAACTTTTCTCTCCCACATTTACCCCCTGCCCACACCCCCTCCACCCACACACATACACTCTGTGGGCCGTGTTACTTCTGTTCATTAGACTTATAGGCACAGAGCTCATCAACAGGGTCTACATAGAGCTAGTCAGGAATGTTTACAGGTTCAAGGGCAGCCTGGTGAGACCAGCAGCATCTCCCAGAGGGCCTGTGCACGTGCAGCGTCCTAATCAGCCGCTTTTGTCTAGCTTCCATTTGCTCTTCCCTCCCAACTGAATTTAATGTCTTTCCATCCTCTGCCTCTAGTTAAGCTGTAACTGCTGTTATTCCACTGTAGCCAGGCAGCTGCCAGGGCCTGTTGGCACTGAACCCAGAGCCCAGCCCAACTGATGCTCTCACTGAGCTTCTTGTCAGATGCCGGGAAAGAGGAAGCACATCATAGGCCTTTTCTTCCCCAATAGTAGCTGCTTCCAATGCGATCATGATGAGAGGAAAAGGCTGTGGGGAGAGTTAATTTGATGCTTGCTTGTGCAATGAAATGGCAATCAGGCAGATGGCCTTACTCTATGCATGGATTCTTCTCTGATGTTTCTTCTCAGGACCTGGACCTCAAAGTTGCTTAAGCAATAGGGAGGATGATGGATGACCAAGGGATTGGGATCTCTGGGTCCTTGGGGAGGGATGGGGAATATTATCACAGAGTTACAGAATGCCATTGCTGAAGAGGGCCTTAGGGATTACATTTGGTCCAAGGATTTTCAGACTTTTCTCTAACAGAAGAATTATTTCTTCAAAGCAGACCTTACATAGAATCCCTAAATATTAAATAGAAAAAAGAGCAGAGTTCGCTTGGTTGAAGGAGGAATGGAAGACTCCAAGTCCTAGTAGTTGGGTTGTCTTTTTACCCACTTCTCAAGGGCAGCTTCAGTGCCGGCTCTGGTCTACTGCTTGAAAGCCACTGGCCTGGCCAAATCTGTTCATTTTACTATGGAAGAAACAGGTTTAGAGAAGGGGAGTGGCTTTTCCAAGGTTGCTTGATTCTGCGCCAGTGCTTTTTTTATACAGTTGCCTCTTTCATACCATTTTCGTTTTGCATTTTGTTGTAAAAAATCAGAATCCTTTACATGGCATGAATTTTTCCAGTAACACTTATGCGTAGAGCTTTTTAGTCTTGTAAATGCTATTTCTGTAGTGCAGGGGCATCTGTTGTCAGATGCCAGGAAGGAGGAGGCATGTTAGTAAACCTTAGTCTACAGCTAAGGCCTATCCTAGAATGTTGGGAGTTGGTGGGAATGATGACCCACAGAGTCAGCTCCCTATTCTGTCCTTCTCCCATCTAGAGTTGAGCTTGCATACATTAGCTGCTGTTGCAATACTCTGCTTTCAGAACCCTGAAATGGCCTGGCTTGGTTGCTGTATAGTGATTTAACCACAGTAACCCTCAGTGAGTGGCAGGTTGTATTTTTATTGTTGAATTTTGTTATAATGGCAACCCCAGATAAACCTAAAAATGAAAGAGGATTCTCTTTAACTCTCAATTCTTCTCATGTTTATGAAATAGCACTTAATTAAATAATGTCATTTAATCTTATGAATCTTCTTCCTCCCAACCACCTCACAGCCCTCTAGGGTGTGTTTAACCATTGAATTGGGAATCAAGAACTGAGAACTCTCACCCAGGCCTTGGAAGTCAGAATGTCAGCCCTCTTCCCACTGCACAGCCAGGCTTATTGATGTGGTCAGATCTGCCCTCAGGACCACCCTCCGTTTCCACCAAGCCTTGGGGCTGTCCATGGTGTGCTCATGTGCCTTCTCCTTCCCACAGCAGTGTTGTGACTTAGGCTACCATGCAAGTCTGAACCGGGCTCTACGCACCTTCCTCTCTGCTGAGTTAAACTTGGAACAGTCGAAGCATGAGGGTCTGGATGCCATCGAGAATGCAGTAGAAAACCTGGATGCCACCAGTGACAAGCAGCGCCTCATGGAGATGTACAACAACGTCTTCTGTCCCCCTATGAAGTTTGAGTTTCAGCCCCACATGGGGGATATGGTGAGGCCCTCTCCCTATACCTCCACCCTCAAGGGGCTTGAGTGGACTTGTCTAGATTCATTACACAGAAGCCACATTATTTTGGGGTGGGAGAGGCCTGGGCCCAGCTTCTTGTCAGGTGGGTGAGGCATATTCCACTTACTGAGCAAACACTTAGTGAGTGCATGCTGTCAGACACTCGGGCTTGGCTGCAGACATGGGAGATTAAAGCCCTTGGGGAGCTTACAGTCTGGGGAATAAGGTCGCTAAGGGGAGAGTTAGAACTATGCACAGAGAGGGGCATCCAAAGGGGCCCAGCAGGATCAAAGAAGGTGAAAAACAGCAGGTGTATTCTAAAAACGACCAACAGTTCAGGATGGTGAAAGGAAAGTGAGGGAGGGGAGCGCTCCCAGTGGTGAGGCTAGAAGAAATGAGAGCTGAAGTGGGGCCACATCCTAGAGGCTTTAGTGGAGAAGCGACAGCTAGGCAGGGAATGTTGTGATCTTTTGGCATTTGGCAGAGTTCTGAATAATCTTATTTTCCTGAACTTAGAAGACTGTGATGAAGTGTATAGTTTTGCTTGGGTATTGAACAAAAAAGAATGGGTACCTGCAGGAAGGAAAGGAGCTAAGATGCCATCCCAAAGGCCTGATGCTGGTTGCCCAGACAGGGGAGCATGAACATGGGGGCCTTCTTTTGGACTCTTCACCTCCAGTGACTAGAATAAGAAGGGCCTAAATACACTAAAGTGAGAGGCAAGAGAAGCTCCTGGGTTTTCATCGTTCTGAATCTTTTGGTTCCACTTGTGTTGTTGTGTGTACGAGCCAGAGTGAACCTCATTCCTGTGGGTAGGAGCCACCATTTCACCTATTGGTGAAATCAGAAGGAGGTTGTATAGGCTTATGTGATAGAAAAGATCAAGATGGACCTTTGAGTATAGTTGGCTTTAGGAGGAGGAATTTTACCAAGACACTGTTTTGCTGTCTCTGCACTACTTCCTGTGTGTTAGCTCCATTCTCAGACAGGTCATTCTCCCATGGAGGCAAGGTGACTGCATTTCCAGCCTTCCCTGGTAGGTTGAAATCTAGTGGAAAGAGTCTCTGCCTCCCTCCTCAAAGCCCCCACAAAGTTTCATGTGTCTCTGGTTTTGATTGGGTGAAGTGCTTATGCCTGGGTCCATGCAAAGCACATGGCCTGAGCTGTGGAGTGGGAGGTTCCCCTCGCTAAGGGTAGTCAGACCAAAGCTACCAAAAGAAGGAGGAGTGGACGCCAGGGGACCAAATAACAGCAACTGTGTGCTCATCAGGAATGTTGCTTCTCTCAAGATTAGCATCCAGACTCTAGAAATCTCCGCTCCAGAATGACAGCTGTGGCAGTGGAACCAGAGGATTTGCTGTCGTCAGTCGGCCTCTATGGAGAGTGAGACACTGTCCTAGAGACAGAAATGTGGAGTTGATTTCCTTTCTTCCCTTCTTGGGGAAAATCAAACCATTTACAGTTCATTTCCATTGCTGTGACTTAGGAAATGTCAGTGTCTGAACAGATGGAGAAGTGAGATGATAGCATGTGCAATTAGAATTGGGGGAAGGGGTGTCACCAAGCCTCAGGAAGTTCCATTCTTCACCTGCCCTGGCTTCTGGTCAAACTTGCCTTCCAAGCCCCTTCTCCGGCTGTCACTGAGATTCCTTCCCAGGGATCAGTGGAACTTGGGGACCAGCTGAGTGGAATGATACATTTTCTGGTGTTAGTGACTGAGTTGCCTTCTGAGCCAAACAGCTTGTCTCCATAAAGGAGGATTCCAGATACTGGGTGCTCAGGCCCCCACCTCCCCCTGTCAGTGTCTTATTTCCATACTCCAGAGCGCAGCTGAAGTGTATTACCTTGCACCCCGGTAGCGGACCACTGCCAAAGCATGCATCATCATCAGCTCTGCTACTTCTTAAAGGGACAGGCTTGAAGGTGGTTTTTCCTTCCCTGATTCCTCTCTGCTAGGTCTGGGTTACTTTAAAAATCAATAGCTCACTCTTCTGCTGGGGCGCTCTCTTTATGTGATATAGCTGATCAGTGACTGAGCCAGGCAGGGGCCAGGACCAGTTCAGGAGCTTGTGAAGGTTCCGCATTCTAGCCTAGCCTTCGTATGAGTGAAAATAAAAAGAGATGAGAGGGTGGGTCATTCTTGGCCTCTGCAGCCAGTCTGTCCCCATCAGTGTGGGTTGTCTGCAGATTGTGGAGGCAACAGGAGGGAGCTGCCTGCAAGTCGTTGGATTAGGGCCAAAGATCGGGTGGCATTTTGATCGGAAGCCTTGAAATTGGCCAAGGCCCCACACTAACTGGTGTTCTGGGGTGCGCAGCATATGAATTGATGCCAAGTGCTCTCAGATGTACTAGGAGGAGGTACTTGGCTCCATTTTTGGTGCCCTCAGAGGCTGTGGGACTCTGGATGCCTGACTGGTGACATCAGGCAGCCAGAGAATTTCACTCTTGGCACTAACCGGTTCTGGCCACTGAGCTTTCTCCATTGTGTCTGCTTATCCAAGAGTTAGAGTGAAGTCAGCTCTCTTCAGATCTGAGAGCTGGCTCAGACCAGCCTCTCAGCTGGGGGAGGAGGTCAAGTCAGTTGGGAGCTTAAAAGCCAATGGAGGAAAAGGTCAAGTCCCAGCCCCCTCCATTTGAAGAGAGGTTTTGTCTTTTCAAGCAAGGGAATGGTCTGTGGGCATGTGAATGTGCCCACTCGTTGCTGAGGAGGAAGGAGGCCATTTCTATCCAGATGTCTCTCTGCAGACAAGAGGCTAAAGGACGAACGGTAACAAGGTGACAGGAGCTGTCTCCACATGAGTCCTGCCTCCCAACTCTCTCAGCCTTCTGCTCCTCATCTGTCATCCAGGGGACTGTGGATGACCTCATCCCATAACCACATCCCCAACAGGAGACAGTGGAGCAGCCATTCCTTCACACAGGGGAAAGCTAATTGGCAATAATCCTTGTGGGAAAGGCAGACTCCTCTCTTACAGCTCTAGGGAAGGCCTGGGGTAAAATGATGGCTCTTTGGAAAATGCCAAGCTCCTTCAGATTCCATACCCTCTCGGGCCCTCTAGCATAGGCGACCAACTTGTTTCTGGTTTCACGCTTTCTCATTGAATCAGAGCTGTCATGCATGGCCTGGATTTATAAACACATGCTGGCTGCCAGCAGCGGCAAGTTAGCCTCCTGACCCACTTCTCTCCTGCTTTCACTCTGATGTATGAAGGGGATGAGGGAGGGGCCAGAGAGGTGGCCACTTGGACTTTCGGCAGGAAATATTCGCTGTGCCAAAGCATTGTGTTTCTGGAGCTGGGGCTGCCTGAGGCACTCTTCTCCAGCCTCCTCAGCCTTCCATGGAGCTGCAGACCGTACATAGACCTACCCCTGCCGGGCTCCAAACAGATCCCCCTACCCATTCCTTTCATGTACTGTTTGGTCCTGGAAGAGGCTCACACAAGTTGGCTTTGGATTTTGCTTCAACATAGAAACCACGAGCCTTATACCTTGAATATGGGTAGTTTCATTGCCAGTAATGGGAACTCTGGAACTGCCAAGGGGACTGTATCCTCTTTCTGACCTGGTGTTGCTTTCTTTTGTTAGGCTTCCCAGCTCTGTGCCCAGCAGCCTGTCCAGAGTGAGCTGGTCCAGAGATGCCAACAACTGCAGTCTCGCTTATCCACTCTAAAGATTGAAAACGAAGAGGTGAGTTTCCTCCTTAGGAGGCTCAAAGCCACACTCTGAGTTTCCCTGTTGAAACTTTTGCTGCTGCCCGTCTGGGAGCAGGTGGAAGGAGCATGCAGAGAATGTCCGGGCGGCCGCAAACATTTCCTAGCCAAATGTAGGCTTGGACTTTCCCCCTCTGCTACATCCTGCCCTTGAACTCCAGGAAGTTGCTCTTGCATTGCCAAAGGTTGTGCTCTATTTTGAGCTTTTGCGAAATGCTTTTTTTTCCCCTCTACACATTTAATCAAAATGGCACTTGGCAGCTGTGTGAACAATATTGTGTCTCTGAAACCACCTCCTCATGCCTAGCTTTGTCTAGCATGTTCAAACAAACAGAGGCCTTTGACTTTGACACTTCAAACATCTCCATCCTCTTAGGAAAGGGTGAGTTTCTTCTGGGCTCAGTGTATTTGCTTTCAAAAAGCAGTTCAAAAGGGCAGGTGATCCAGCTTTCTGTTGAGCTCAGATGGCTTCTTACCTTGTGTCTCAGTAAGTCTTACTTTCCGCAGGAAGATCAGGAAGAAGTAGGGATAGGTCACTTAGTTTGCAAATGAGCAAACAAATTCATCAGTTTATTGAAGGTCATGAAACAGAACCTCGGGCTTTGCAGTGCTAGGCCCATCACACATTTTAATTAGCTGTTTGTATGAGGGGGTTGGTTTAGATATATTTTATCCTCTTTCCCTTAACACTTCTTTTATAATATTGCTATATAATATTATAATAATGCTAATGTTAAATTGTAAAAGTAAACATTAAAATATAATATGTAATCTTGCTATATGATATAAAAATGCTAATATTAAATTTTAAAAGTAAACATTAAAAGATCTGGGTCAAGTACATAGCATGAAGAGTTGTAGTGGCTTTTAGGTTTTCACTGTAGAGAGTATCATGCTGTAGCAGAGTCCATGTGATGTTTACCTCTCACTTAGCACTGTCCAGTGGAAAGCAGAGCTGCACATTCTGATGGTATCCTCTGGCCTTCCCCAGCCCACTCCCTTCAAGCTTCTCCATCACCTGCTGTTTTACAACCCACCCTTCATGCATCCTGTTGACCCTTGTCGTGGCAGGTAAAGAAGACAATGGAGGCCACCCTGCAAACCATCCAGGACATTGTGACTGTGGAGGACTTTGATGTGTCTGACTGCTTCCAGTACAGCAACTCCATGGAGTCTGTCAAGTCCACAGTGTCTGAAACCTTCATGAGCAAGCCCAGCATTGCTAAGAGGAGAGCCAACCAGCAAGAGACAGAGCAGTTTTATTTCACAGTAAGGGAGCACTATGGCTTTTAAAGAGCGTCAGCATGCAGTGCAGCACTCAGGGAGATTTGGAACTCAGAGTCCTTGTTAAGTGTCTGAAGGACAGGCGTTGAATATCTTAGATATGAATGTGGGCATACTCAGAGACCATCCCTACACTTAAAGGTGCAAGCATTTATAAGTTGTGTATGTCTAACAGGGATCCTCCCAAGAAAAAGGATGCTCCCAAGTATACTACTCAGAAGATTTTCTTTTTTAAGAAATTTTTAACTAGCTAGTAGGCTTTCACTGGAAAGTTTCCTTCTCAGGCACAGGGGATCCTGAAAGGGGAACTTCATCTTTTAGTTCTTGGAAAGTACAGACAAATATTCATGATAACACATGTTTTGTTTTTAAAAATCTGTAATCTTTTCTAGGCAATATGATGACATTATTTTATAACTTTCAATGTTGGGAAACTATTTTTTCTAATTATTGCTAAAACTTAAAGGATGGGTTATATGCAGCATTACTATTTTGCACATAATTCCAAAACATCGTATTTTCTTATTCATGTATCTCTAGTCTTCTTTTAGACAGTTGGAGCCTTTTATTCCTTTTTTTTTTTTAAGTATTGTTAACAGTCCTTTGGAAGTCCGCTACTGGTCTTTGGTGCTGCTTTTTAATAAGTGAGTTATTTTGAGCTTGCCAAGTAGGATCTATTGCCTGGGCTAAAATTTATTTCCTAATCTTCTGATGACCAAGAAAGGAAAAATTAAGTTTGCAGATGTGAGATGAAATATAGCCAGTGAATATGCATACTGATTCTGAATGAAAGGAATTAACTTTTCAGTCAAGAAACAGTCTGCATGCAGTAAATTGAATTTTTCCTGCAACTGGAGTGATTTGTTTAATTATTCTTTGAACACTGCCTTTTCTGCATTAAGAACACTGAAGATTTGCTAACTTTTTTTTAAAGAAATCTGTTTTTTTAATTAAGCTCAGACTTCCTCATATTTTTTATCCTAGAGAAAACTGCTAAAAGGGAATGATGTATCAGTACTATTCTTCTAAAGCAACTTTTATAAAATGATTATACAAAGCCACATATGCTTATTATATAAAATTTAGAAGCAAAAGAAAGGAAATAAAAATTGTCCGTAATTCTACCAGCTAGAGATAATGGTGTTAGAATATATTCCTTTCTAATCTGTTTTCTATACGTGTACAAACACATATGTGAGCACATATTTATAATTTTATTCTAAAAAATAGGATACTGCTGTACATATTGTTTTACAATCTAAGTCATATAATTATAATATTCTTTAAGCATACTTCTGAGTAAAATATTAAAACCAATACAAAAAAATAATAGAATGGCATTTTAGCTCATTCATTGATTTTTGTAAAATATTTAATACACTCCGTGGTTTGTAGTTTGCGTTCAATAAATGCTAAAACTTTATCTTCACCATCATCATTAATTTATTTATTAATCATTATTAAATTATTCATTGATCAGTTTTTGAGGATTTACTATTGCCAGACGCTGTGCTACAAGCTGGGAATGCTGAGAGTATAAGATAAAGAGGGAAATGATGGGGGATGGGTCACGTAAAGGGAGAACTTCCATTTTTACTTCATATATATCTGAACAGTTAAAATAGGTTGATTTTTGTAGTTTAAAAAATGTAAAAATGCATACATGCACTAGTGCATGAATGGCAGCCAGGATGAGTGGAGTTGGGGAAGCATCACACACAAAGTGACTTTTGTGTTTGATCTTGAAGAATAAGCGAACCAGGCAGGGAGTCGGGGAGGAGAATTGCATTCCTTGAGGAAAGAGCAGCATGTGGGAAAACAAATGCACACAATAACCTGGCTCACACGTTAAGATAACTTTCTGACTATAATGAGGGATGTGTCGCTGCCCCAAGCTTCATTATCTAAGGAGCTTGTTGAACACTCTGTAGAGGCTTTTAATAATAGGATTGTTTAGCTGGTCTGTCTGGACTGCTTAGATATAACACTATTTAAATGACCCAATCTCATTATATTGTGAAGATTTCCATTTTTTAGGTTAAGTAAGAAATTTTGGACCTAAAAATCTTGAATTTTAAGACAGTCGTCAGAATTGCTTTTTGGCTTTAAATGAATTCTGTAACGTTTGTATTCTAAGTTGACCTTTAGTAAAAGCAGGAATGGCCGTATTCAAACTGGTGACCTCGCAAATTCTGCCCACCCTTTCACTTTCTGTCTCAATACACTGATGTCCTCTAATCTATTTCCTGTCTTATGTGGTGGCCCTAGTGCCACTTATCAAAATTGTGTGCAAATTTCCTTGGCTAACAGGAACAGTTTTTGTCTGGGCTTGTGTAGCAGTGGGATTCTGTGCAAGTTCATCATTTTTGTGACTGGTACTTTGCATCAGATGATTTAATTTCATGATAAAAGGAGCTTTTTGGGGTGGTGAAATAGACATTTATGGAAAATGGGATACCCACATTAAGCAGAGTGACTACCTGTTTACCATACAACCCACACAAAGCCAATACAACTACAGATGTGCTTTCTTTAGTCTGTTGCCTCTGCAAACATTGCCCGTGTGTTTCCCTATGCCCTTCAAAAACATCAGAGCAGCACATCCTGGAAGATCCTATCTTTTGGAAGGTTAGGAAGCAGTCTCTTGTCACCGCTTGACTCCTGGGTGGTGTGCCTAGTGACCAAGAGGGCTGCTAAGAAAGCTTTCTGACCACTTACGGCTCTCATTGGACTGATTTGCCCAGATGACATCAATTGGGAATGTGAGGCATGACCTGTAAAGATGAGTTGCTTGCAGGAGTCTCAGGAAAATAATTGTGGAGTGAAGAAACTTGAAGCGATTTTTTAAAATTACCTAACCCAACCTTCTTATTTGAAAAATTAGAAAAATAAATAGGCCAGGCATGGTGGCTCATGCCTGTAATCCCAGCACTGTGGGAGCCTGAGGCAGGTGGGTCTCTTGAGGTCAGGAGTTCAAGACCAGCCTGGACAACATAGTGAAACCCTGTCTCTACTAAAAATACAAAAATTAGCCAGGTGTGGTCATGGGCGCGTATCACAGGACAGTATCACAGCTACTCAGGAGGCTAAGGTGGGAGGACCACTTGAACCCAGGAGGCAGAGGTTGCAGTGAGTCAAGATTGTATGTACTGCACTCCAACCTGGGTGACAGAGTAAGACTCTGCCTTAAAAGAAAGGGGGGGGGGGAGGGTAGGGAGGGAGGAGAGAGAGAAGAGAGAAGAGAGAGAGAGAGAGAAAGAAAGAAAGAAAGATTAAAAAATAAATAAATCTGGCTGGGTGCGGTGGCTCAAGCCTGTAATCCCAGCACTTTGGGAGCCGAGACGGGCAGATCACGAAGTCAAGAGATCAGGACCATCCTGGCTAACACGGTGAAACCCTGTCTCTACTAAAAAATACAAAAAACTAGCCAGGTGAGGGTGGCAGGCGCCTGTAGCCCACTACCTGGGAGGCTGAGGCAGGGAGAATGGCGTAAACCTGGGAGGCGGAGCTTGCAATGAGCTGAGATCCGGCCACTACACTCCAGCCTGGCGACAGAGCGAGACTCTATCTCAAAAAAAATAAATAAAAATAATAAATAAATCTGCCGGGCTGTGGTGGCTCACGGCCTGTAATCCCAGCACTTTGGTGAGGCCTAAGTGTAGGCGGATCACCTGAGGTTGGGAGTTTAAGACCAGCCTGATCAACATGGAAAAACCCTGTCTCTACTAAAAATACACAAAATTAGCTGGGCATGGTGGGACATGCCTGTAATCCCAGCTACATGGGAGGCTGAGGCAGGAGAATCGCTTGAACCCGGGAAGCGGAGGTTGCAGTGAGCCAAGATCACGCCATTACACTCCAGCCTGGGCAACAAGAGCGGAACTCCATCTCCATCAATCAGTCAATCAATCAATAAATCCAGAGAGAATGGGTAGCTCACAAAAGCTGGACCCACTGCTCTGATTACTGGGTCTCTGGCCACAGGCTGCTTCTCTACACGCTGTGGAAGAAGCAGAGGTGAAGGGAAGGGCTCAGGAACAGCTCAGCAACTTTCGCCTCTTATTTGCCCTCAGTGGTGACATGTTTCCTGATTTTCTTGGCTTTGTGTTTATTGCTTATCTTCTATAACACATAGTTCAGCAATGTCTACTCTTTACCCGTTGCCTTTTTTATTGTGATTGTTAAAAATCAGTATTTTTAAAGGATGCAAATATTTAAAAGGGTATACAGGAAAACCTACTATAAAGTTTCTTTTCATTCCTGACTCCTCTTTCCCCTCCCCTCTGCTGGTGGTTGAAACCAGTTTCTTCTGTGTCCTTCCAGAGATACTCTGCATGGACAACAACTGACGTATCTGTAAATACCCTTTAATGCAATAAATTACATTAGAAATGTAATGAAAGAAAATGGAAGTAGATATAGAAGTATACCACTTATACCATTCTTCACTTTTTTAACATTATTTGTCTTGGATCTTATTTTTATGTTAGTCCAAAAAGATCTGCCTCCTTTTTAAATAGCTGGACAGAATTCCACGGTATGAATATGCCATCATTTGTTTAGCAAATTCCCTCCTCACAGGCAGTGATGCTCGCTGTTTAGCCAAGGTTTACCAAAGCTTTATAAGGCTGGCATTTTCCTAAGTATTTCCTTTGTTTTTTGGAGCCCGAGCCTCGCTCTTGTTGCCCAAGAGCCCAAGGCTGGAGTGCAGTGGCGCAATCTGAGCTCGCTGCAACCTCCGCCTCTCAGGTTCAAGCGATTCTCCTGCCTCAGCCTCCCAAGTAGCTGGGATTGTAGGCACCCACCCCCACCCCCAGCTAATTTTTTGTATTTTTAGTAGAGACGAGGTTTCACTATGTTGGCCAGGCTGGTCTCGAACTCCTGACCTCGTGATCCGCCCTCCGCAGCCTCCCAAAGTGCTGGAATTACAAGCATGAGCCACCACACCCAGCCTAAGTATTTCCTTTTATAGGGAGTTGGAGAATTAGGTTATTGTATGGGGATAGAGCAGTGAAGGGGTTAAGGATCATGGCTGATAAGGTAACAAAGCTAAACAGTCTGAATTCTTAGGGACAGGTTTAGGGAAGGTAATAGAAGAGGAGGCAATGCCTTGGCCACTGGGGCAATGAGCGACCACTAGACTTGGAACTTGTGGTCTGAGATCTTTTTATCTTGGTATTTTCTTGCAGGCCCTTGGTAAACGTGTGCTGGCGAGTACAAATGAGTGAATGCCCCTGTGCTGTCAATTAAACTGGGGAGACATGCTCCATTTAAGGTTTACTTCATTATGTATTCTATCTGACAGCTGTTTCCTATTTTAAAAACTGACAGGGAGAAGGGGAAATGTCAGCATGCCTGCATGGTGGGGAAACAGCCACTATAATGACATCTGTATATCTCTGAGCATGGGCTGGGTAGGTGTACTAACTTTTCCTGCCTTGCTGCAGTGGATACTTAGGGTCTTAGGTTCACGCAGATTAAATCCAAGGCATAAGCAACATCCAGTGAGTTTTATACCCCCATGGTAAGAGTGTATTTAAAGGGAAGAGGTTTTTAAAAATGAAATTTGAAAAGCATTCTAGTGCCTCTTACTACTTTTTTAAGGCCCAAAACCTTCTGCTTTCATTCTGCTTTTATTTTAGCACAAAGCAAAGACACTTAGGGAAGGGATGCTTTTAGGCTCACTGAGGAGGTGATTCAGGTATAAGGAAGCCAGGCCCTGTGCTAATCACAGTAATGCTTATTATCCAATTTCATTCTCACCAACCTTGTGAAAAAAATATTCTCATTTTTCAGATGGAAAAACTAAGACTCGGGGTTAAATGATTTGCCCAAGGTTAGAAGAGTTAGTAAGTGGTAGGACTAGAATATTCCAACTCATGCTTTTTCATTGTAATGTAACTAAAGCATCTATCAAGGAGGGAAAGTGCAGAAAGAAAAGTTATTATATTAATACTTTTCAATAAACAAAACTCACTGCTGACAGTTAATATCCAATTAGGAATTATTAGGAAATGAATTAATGAGTCATAAAAACTGAGTTGAAGTTTTACAATGGCACTAAACAAAATGCCCAATAGACTCTTTGCCGCCCTTCCTACTTTTTGAAGAAATTCTCAGTTTTGATAAAGTGTGAAAGTTGTTGGGGGTGGGCACTGGTCAGACTGTGTTTTAGGAACTTGATTTTATTTTGGTGATACCTAGAATAAAATATTACCCGTTCTTTTGCTCCTTCATTGAGGAAAACCCCAGGTAGCCACTTTGATTTTGGGTGTTTGGTGAAGGAACGAAAAAGAATTACCTAATATTGGAACATGCCCTAAGTAAGGAAAGTGATCCTCGTTGCCCAAGGAAGGAATTTTGAGATTGGAGATTATAAGCATCCCTTTTCCTGGCCCCCCTCATCTCCAGAAATCATTAAAAACCACCTATTCTTCCCTTGCCTTCTTCAGCGGTCTCAGCTCCTTTCTCTGTGTATCTGTCGAGCAGCAATAGAAGCCTTCTAACTCACTTCCACCAATTAAAGACAAGGTCACTTATCCCCAGCGAGTCTCTCATATGGATAAATGCTGACTTATGGGTGGTATGGATAAATAAATAAATAAAATAAATAAAATAAATAAAATAACATGCCTGCAGACTCTGAGATGCCTTTACCTTTCCATACCTGGCTTACCTGGATGGAAACCTCCAACCATGGTTTCCACACCAGTATTAGGGATGCAGTTCATACCTTGACACAGTTATGATCCTTCAGGATTTAATGGAACCCGAAGAGGTAATCCGTCATACATCTTGATGAGATTGTTATTTATTTTAATGGTTCATCAAGTGACAGCCAGAGTTAACTAATGAATTGTGAACATGAATTTAAAAAATTGATTTCCGGAATCACAAGTAGTGAGAAGAAGGAATTTGCATCCATCTCCTTTGAGAACTGTAGCTGTTTTCTGAGCAGTCTGGTCTTGTTTTGAGGGTTACAGTTTCTTGGTGAATTTTCCTTATTAGGAAACCTTTAGCGTCTCCTGGGATAACCTTCCAAAGAGAGAGGCTTTTGAGGCTTGCATTGTTGGCAATTGATATTTCCTGAAGGCTTTCCACCTCTGGGCCCTAAAGTACTGTTTCAAATCCACAATTAGGCATTGGTTGGGGATTCGGATATTACCCCGGGAAGAATGACAGCAGGTGAGCTGGCATCTGGAACAGATGGAAAAGGGAAGGTGACAACAGAGCCTCTTTCCTTGCAGATGTTCTTGTGCAAAAGCATAAAGGCACAGAGAGAACAGATCATGAATAAGGCAGTAGAAATGATTTGGAGTAAGATTTGGTTTTGGCTTGTTTTATTTTTAATTCAGTGAGTACGGGCACACTAGGGGCTTGGTTTGTGACTGCTGAGGAAAGGTCTACCCAGAGGAGAGTGAGACTGCTCATTCATTTATTCATCATGCATTTATTGAGTATCTGCTATCTGCTAGGTGTGGTACTATCAGGGGTGCAAAGAATAATAAATGGTCTCTGACCATAGAGAGGAAGCAGTCTGGAGAAAAAGACACATGAGTAATAAACCCTCTGTGACCGGGCTGTATGAGAAGTGCTGTCATGGAGATTTGCATGGTACCCACAGGACCATCTGGGTGACCATGGGAGGGCTAGGCACTGCGTCCTAGAGAAAGCAGATTTTTCTTTTGTTTTTAAACAAGAGAAAGAATCAGATGCAAGCTCTTAGTTAAAAGTTCACATTGTACAGAAAAGTATAGAGTAAAAGTAACTCACATTTGTTCACTTTTCTTTTTTTGTTTGTTTTTTGTTTTTTGAGACGGAGTCTTGCTCTGTTGCTCAGGCTGGAGTGCAGTGGTGCAATCTTGGCTCACTGCAAGCTCCGCCTCCCAGGTTCAAGCAATTCTCCCGCCTCAGCCTCTCAAGTAGCTGGGATTACAGGCACTCACCACCACGCCCGGCTAATTTTTGTGTTTTTTGTTAGGGATGGAGTTTCACCATGTTGGCCAGGCTGGTCTCAAACTCCTGTCCTGAAGTGATCCATCTGCCTCAGCCTCCAAAAGTGCTGCGATGATAGGCCTGAGCCACCGCACCTGGCCCTGTTCACCTTTTCTTTCTATCACTCTTAATCCTAAGTGAAATCAAAGGTTTGATGTATAATTATATGTTTTACTTAATATACATTAAAAGACAGACAGAACTATTACCATTTAAAATGGTACATCCACCTAACTACCTCAGTGATCTCACATGTCACCAGTAATTCACGGATCACACTTTGGGAAACCTGGCCATTTGACTTCTGAGTTCAGATGTAGGCAGATAGCCCCTGATCTGGAGGATAAACCACTGCAGCAGGAGGCGATCAAGGCAAACTAAGACCCCAAGAATGGCTGTGGAGGAGAGCAGAAAAGATACTTTAAAAATCCAAAAGCCTTGGGTTGGGCCTGACACTACCACTTGCTAGCTTGCAACTCTCAGCAGTTTATTTGATACCTCACCTCCCCTGAGATCATCTTGTCTGTAATAAGGAAGTAATATTTTCCCTATATGCTGTGCAGTTATTTATTGTAAGAGTCAAATGAGAGAATATGTGGTAAAGTGCTCTAAAACCTGCTATGTTGCTGCATGTATAGAGCGTTAATACTATGAAGTTTAGTTCTGCTTCTCTCCTTCTCCTGCTCTGTACCATGATGGATGGGACATTTTGTCATAATGGTTAAGAGCACACGCTGTATTGTCAAACTGCCTGTATTTGGATACTGACTTTACCACTCACTAACTGTTAGACCTTGAGCAACTTAATTAAACTCTCGAAACCTCAGTGCTCTCATGTGTAAAATGGAGGTGATGATGATGATGATGATGATGATAGTTCCTAGGGTTGTTTTGAAGATTCAGTGAATTGTCTGGGGACATACGGTCTCTCACTGGGCAGACGAGGGTTGAGAGAGAACAAATCTGAAAGTGCAGCACAGCAGTCATATTTTGACTGTGAGAGCAGGTGGGATCACATTTGTGTTTGGACCTGGATTTGTGTATGCAAGTGGGGGATGGCAGCCCCTTCCACTGAGTGCTCAGAAATCCAAAGCTTTCCATAAAGACTTCATGCAGAATAGAGAAGGAAGCTGTTGAGGATATGGCTCAAAGATGCTCCACATCCCAGGCTTACAGCTGAGGCAGGGACTGAGCCTGCCATTGGCACTGCTCCTAGTGTGATGGAATGCCCTCCCCCTCCTGCCAAGAGGCCAGGGCAGGGCAGAATGTCAGTAGAGGTGACAGATAGCAGGTGTGTGTCCTCACACCAAGAAGACCAGGGCTCAATGAGTTCATCCACCCTCCCTGCTCTTCCTCAGTGAAACTGCGGGAGAGGGGCTCTAGGAAACAGTTTCTTTATACTGGCCATCATGGAACTCCCAGAAAAAACATGGAGAAGGATATTAATCCACCATGAAAATCAACAGCTGCCCATATGATCAGTGCCTTAAAGAAATTAAAAAATGGACTGGTAGAAATTGGGTCAGAAACCAAATGACCTCTGTGAAGGGGAATTGTTCAGCTGAGCATCTGTGATTTTTTTTTTTTCTTCTTCAGTAGTCTGATTGCTCTTTTTCCTCCTCCTCTCTTACAGAAAATGAAAGAGTACCTGGAGGGCAGGAACCTCATCACCAAGTTACAAGCCAAGCATGACCTTCTGCAGAAAACCCTGGGAGAAAGTGAGTGTGGGAACCCTCTGCTGGAGGCTTGACAGTGAGGCCAGCTGGAGCTTTCTTGCTGAGCACACGCCTCCATCCTCAGCCAAGTGGACCCGGTCTTGTTATATGAATGCCTTTCTTTTCCCGGCTTGTTTGATGTGGAAGCACACGCCCCAAATGACTGCTTGAGTAATGGGAAAAGGCCAATGCTTAATGAAGCACTAACGTGTATCATCTATTTGTTTAAATGGAGCGTGCCTGCTCTCCACCAGTCCCCCCACCCTTGCCTCCTCTGCCACTTCAGGGTAGAGAGGCTGAGGGGTTATTTATTCTCCAGACACTTTGTTAAAACTTCTAGCTCCTCTGTGGCAGCACTGAGACTGGAGCAAGAAGGTAGGGAGCTATGAGATGAGATACGCAGCTGCTCTAAGAGGAGAGAATTCTCAAATGCAGGAGATGGACAGACTGCTGCTTTCTATAGCTTCCAGAAAGAGCGTTAGTTTCTTTCTGCTTTGAAAGCTCTTAATGCTGTTTAAGTGGCAGCCCTCTCTCCTGTGGCTATGCTGAGGCCATGGTGCTGAATGGACTGTCTTGTCTCATAGAATGATTTTAACCAGACCCTGGAAAGTAGCAAGGCAGAGAACTGGACTGGCACTCTGGACTTTCTCTCCTCAACTGTCAAACAGAAGGTGGAGGTTGAAAGGGAAGCTTCCCCAGGGTTTTTTGGCACCCTGCCCAGATTTCCTGCCTAGCTCTCAGCATCCTATGATTAATGGGATTCCCAAGTTGGGGATGCCTCTGAATGCCCCACCCCTCCTCCCTGTCCCACTAATCTCCTCACTTAAAGATAAGGGGTAGAGGAAGGGAGAAGCTGCAGGGAATATGGCTAACTTCAGTTACAGGCAAGCCTGTACTTACACAGAGATCTGACATTTTAAAATAAATTATTGAGCACTCTTTAGACAAACTGCAAAGTTTAGGAAAGTGTGCAGTACTCCTTGGCTTATTGGCCCCAGGAATTGGAGCCTCACTTCTTATTATACCAGAGCCTCCTACCCACCTTTTTTGCCCTGTCCTTTTCCTGCCTTGGATGGTTTCCCAGATGATTAGTCTTTTTTCTCTAATCTTTTATCTAATGACTTTTTTTTTTTTTTTTGAGATGGTGTCTCGCTGTGTCACCCAGGCTGGAGTGGAGTGGCACCATCTCGGCTCACTGCCAACTCCACCTCCTGGATTAAAGCGATTCTCCCACCTCAGCCTCCTAAGTAGCTGGGATTATAGGCGTGTGCCACCACGCCTGGGTAAGTTTTGTATTTTTAGTAGAGACGGAATTTTGCCATGTTGGCCGGGCTGGTCTCAAACTCCTGACCTCAGGTGATCCACCTACTTCAGCCTCCCAAAGTGCTGGGACTACAGGCATGAGCCACCATGCATGGCTGATCTTACGACTTTTTTTTTTTTTTTTTTGAGGTGGAGTCTTCCTCTGTCGCCCAGGCTGGAGTGCAGTGGTGTGATCTCGGCTCACTGCAAACTCCGCCTCCCAGGTTCAAGCAATTCTTCCCCCTCAGCCTCCCAAATAGCTGGGATTACAGGTGCCCACCACCATGCCTGGCTAATTTTTTTGTATTCTTAGTAGAGACGGGGTTCCATGTTGGCCAGGCTGGTCTCAAACTCCTCACCTCAGGTGATCTGCCTGCCTCAGCCTCCCAAAGTGCTGGGATTACAGGTGTAAGCCACCGTGCCCAGCCTGATCTTACGACTTTTAAGGCATTTTCTTTTATGTGAAGAAAGCCTGTTAGATAATTTCTGTTCTCTCTTCCTCACCACCAAAAGGACTCAGACTAAACAAGTTCGGGCACTGAGGACCAAACTTTGCTTATAGAAAATCCTTACTCTAGGGTTATCAGATTGCTCCACGGAGAATCAAGACAGTCTAAGCATAGTCCATAAGTAAGACAGAGAGCAGGGCCTTGGGGTCATACAAATGCATATGCACTCACACTTGTGTGTGTGAGTGAATGGGTTTACTCACACATTTATGCACTAAATGTGCTACTATGGAGGAACGAAGGCTGACCATTCATTAGTGCTGCAAATTGCCTTAATCTAAAGATGACAAGTTCTAGCAATAAAGAAAAAAACAAAACTATAAATCTTTATGTGTGCAAGTCATCACATCCCTGCCTTCTGAATGTATTTGTCACCATAATGCAGGAGTCCCTTGTTCTTGCCATAGAGGGATAATTGATGTGTATGAATATTCCAGAATGGAAATGGAACAGATGTTGAAAATAATGGCTCAGAGTAATATTTTTGCACATAAGAGCTGAGCCTTTGGTAACGAGAGACAGTTAGGGGTGGGTGATGGCATTGCTCAAGAAGAGCTGAACTATAAGCAACAATTACCAACCTTTAACGGCAAGGAAAGGCCCTGCCCTCCCTCCCCCAGCCCTTGGAGTTTCCTTTGCAAGAGCTTGGATGGGGAGGAATGTGGGAGCTGATTTTTACTTCCCCGGCTCAGCACCTGCTAGGGTTTGCCCCTGGTTTAAATAATGCAGGTCTAAAACAGATCAAGCTTCATTAACTGTGGACCCAAAGAAAGCAATATGTATCACATCGTTTCCCATGTAGACATGCACGTATATTTTTTTAAAACATGAGAATACTTCTCATGAACTTGAAGATTTTCAGTTTCATTTTTTTAAAAGCTAGCAATGACCCATTGAACTCCTAAGGCCCACTATTGGATTGAGAACCATGATTTACTAGTAGTATCAACATTGTATCTCCCATCTCCCTTGCCACCTCAGTCAAACCTAACAGGAGAATTTACTATGAATCTCAAGCTAGAATATCCATATCTTCTCTGTTCTGTCCTGCAAACAGCTCCTCTTGTTCTCCCAACCTCCAACTCTGTGTGTGTGTGTGTGTGTGTGTGTGTACGTACACTCAGGAGCAAGTAAACTTGGCCTTCCACCCCACCACACACACATCCAACATAAGAGAAGCTGAATTTCATCCCTGGGAGGGCTTCTAATAATTTATTCTATTAAGTATGATCTGTGTTGCTATTGTTCCACTACACCCATCCGTATGTTCCCATTGGGAAGCAGAGTTGGCTCTAAGGTTTAGGGAGACCGACCTGGACTGGGAATCAGCATCAGAAACAGTTCTTGCCCAGAAAGAGGGTCTTGGTGCTTTCTCTTCTTTCTCTCTGTCTCTCTGTCTGTCTGTCTCTCTGTCTGTCTGTCTCTCTGTCTCTCTGTCTCTCTCTCTCTCTCTCTCTCCTCTTTTGCTACACACTGTTATACTGTGGCTTCTAGGGGAGATACGCATGGTAGTTACTAGGAGTGGGTCTCCCTCCCTCCCTTCTCCTTTAACATAATGCTTTTTGCCTTTGTCTTTCCAACAGGTCAGCGGACAGATTGCAGTCTAGCCAGGTGAGTGTGGCCTGGGACAGGCCTGGGAAGGGATAGAGGCCTGGGGGGTAGAGCAATCTTAGTCTGGGAGAGAGCCAAGGAGTTGAGTTGTAAAGGCATTGAATGACTTTACAGAGCAATGGCCTGGGGTGGGGTTTGTTTACTTCTCTTTGCCTTGCTGACCCCATCTGATCTCAGATAGAAATGGGGTTTTCAGGGACTTCAAGAAGGAGCTAAACAGAACTGAGTGAAAGGGGTTGTCATTTGCTGAAACTGTACCAGAGACCCCCAGACGCCACTGAATTGCAAGGAACATAAACATTCAACTCTAGAGGATTCCGGTAACCTAACCTTAGCTGCCAGACTTCAACATAGGGGCTCTGGAGAGTCTTTGACCCAGAGAAAGATCAGGAGATGGCATTTGATTTTTTTTTTTATGCCCAGAAAAGAAGGCAGCCCCTAAGTAGTAGTGACTGTTGCTGGATAATGAAATATTACATTGCATTGGCTTGCCAAAGAGCATTGGTAGAAATATTTGTCTGATGTACAAGTATGTACCCCTCCCAATCTTTCCCCACCTTCCCCTTCCTCCTCCACCCCAGCCAAATATTTTCCCTCAGTCACAGTGCTGCTATGAGAAAATTTGTGAGCTGTTGGAGAGCAAGGTATTCATTCATCCAACAGTTCTCAGATGCCTAGAAATGTGCTTATTTAACTAGAGAAGGGGCTTTAATGGGTTGGACTCCTTAGAGACCCTGGGTTAACCCATTATATCAACCACTTATATCTGCCAAAACACATAATAATCATGAGGCCATTTACAATTATAGGCTCATTATTTAGAGATAGCTTCATTTGACTTTCATTGTTTTGTCATTGTGAATTACAATAAAGATCCCACTAATAAACCGGTCTTGATGACTGGAGGGAACCAGGATAATGGGATTCTCTGGAACACATCTTTTTGGTGTTAAGAGTCTTTAAGTTCACCTGAGCTCCTGAGTCTGTGGAAAGCTCTGTAGGACTGAAAAGAGCTGAATTGAATTTCCTGGTGCTGAGTTATTTTGCTCTGAGACCTTGGGCCATGCTTTTCCCCTCTCTGAATTCTGGTTTCCTCTTCTATAAGACCAGAGCACTCCACTAGATTCAAGGAGCTCTAGTGGCCTGGTGGCAGGAACAGAGCAGTGACCAGCAACCAGGCTCTGGTCCCATCCTTCACTCAGAGCAGGACAGCCCTGCCTCCTTGGTTTGGGTGTTGTGCCTCTGAGTCAGATTCCCTTTGAGAAAAGGCTTCTGAGGCTAAACACAGATTGGAAAACATTGACTGAGAGGATCCTCAAGGTTCTTCCGAAACTAGATGTTCTGCACTCTAAATCCGGAAAAATTGTTCCCTGTAAAGATAGCAATCTTTAAAGATTTCCTAGAGAAACAAAACAAAACAAAAATTGTAGCATCCTTTGGTGTTTCCTAGTGTCTCCTAGCACACAAAAAAATCTTGTTATTGTCTAACCCAAATATATTTTACTACAAATTGAACCAGTTCTCTCCTATTCTAATTTTGAGTAGTGCTAGATATTAAAAGCAGGGACGTCTGTGCTTTTGTGAAAAAAAGAGCTTTAGTAGGCTTTATTGTGGAAGTTATTTATCAAGTCTCTTAGCCATTTCTGGGACTGAACTGAGTGATGCCACATGTTTCATTAGCCACCACACAGATTGTTTTTAATTATTAAAAACTTTACTTCTGGGTTTAAGACTGGTTGTTTATCTCATTCGTCCCAATTTTCTCTTTTTCTTCCTTGTTGCTGGATTGGTCCACTCTGATTTGGCGGGATTGGTCACAGGCGCAGCTCAACTGTGAGGAAGCAGGTAAGGGCCCAACCAGGGCCAGGCTGGTCTGGCCTGAAAATATAGTCCATCCCACAGGCATTTATTGAACCCCACTGTGTGCAGGACTGACACCTCTGACTTCATGCCTGCATTTGGAATGTATCATTTAGTCATAGTATGTTTAATATTGTGGCAATATCATTGATTTAACTAGTTGGAGTGCCCATAGTCTTTTTGACTTGTTCCTCTCCTTTTCTAGTCATTTATCGTCTTGCATACTAGGGGTTTGGTTTGATTGGTGCAGACTGTTCCAGAACTGCCCATGGCATCCTTTTCCAAGACCGCAAAAGAGGCTTGACACTTCCTGCGTATGTGCTAGCATATCAGTAACTCACAGCACCTAATTAGCTAGACCAGACAATCTCGCTTTAAGTTGGCAGATTTTGTTTGATTGTTTCTGGTGGCGTAGTCATTCTAGATGGATTCCTAAGACATGCTAACAATGCAAAGATTAAGTCTGGTCTGGGAATGATAGGCAAGAGCCATTCGACTCTGCAATTTGGTGCATGATCTTCAGTGTTGTATTAAAATCTGCCACTGGGCAGCCAACTCTCATTACCCATATTAGGAGGGATCTTAGAGAGCAGTGGCATGGATAATCCACATCAATGGATAATCTAAACAGCACTTGTGCTTGTTTAAAAAAAATTAATTGAAATATTTTTCGCAGTAGCAAAATTGACTCCTAATTATACTTTATGGCAAATACTGAAATGATTTTATGTCCCCTAAGCTCATACCAGCTATGCAGTAGACAGCAGGGAGGGCGGGTGGAGAGAGCTCAGAAATATCTTTGTGTCTGCTCAGGGGAAAGCTAATCCAGGCTTTAAAAAATTATTTTGGGTAATTCTCAGTGGCTCTAGCCACAAGGAGATAATCGAATAAAGAGGGCGCGTGGTTTCTATGGTGTTGGCAGCCCCGGCATTTCTTCAGCTCATCTGACTGCTCTGACGGGGTGGACCATTAAGCTGGGGAACTTGGATAATACAGGCCTCGCTTATCTTAGCTTTGCTGTCACTGTTTTTCCCTTCTCTACTTGGGATCTCATCTTAATGAGAATGCCATCAGATGCAATTACACATTTTTTTAATTATAAAAATTTAATTGCAACTCTCCTCTCTCCTTTTCCTCTATTTCTTTCTTCCTCCTCTTTCTTCCATAATTTCATTTAAAACTGGAGAGGAATGGAGTGACTCCTAGGGATAATTCAGTGCATTTAAAATTAATAGTGCATATCTTGCAGAGGGAGCAAGCCATTTTCTCTTTAAGAAAAGGAATGAACTTGAAGTTTGTTCTTTTCAGTTCCTGGTTTGAAACCAGGCATCTTGCTTATAGCTGGAGCATGTTTGCAAGGGATTTGCAACCTCCACTGTGGCTACAGGAGTGCCAGACACATCAGTTTGGCAGGTGATCTGTGCCCTTGGTTGGGCTCACCGTTGGAGGGGAACAGCACCCCTCTGGTTTGCATCCTGCTGCACCTAAGTAGTTGCAGGCAAAGTGTGTTTGCCTGGTGCTAGATTTGCATAGGAGTTACAGGATATACCAAAATCCCCAATCAAATAAAGATCTTATTTTCATTTGGCTGCCCCAGTTTCTAGCAGTTCAAATCTACTAGTGGATCAGCAAAAAGTTTTCCTAAGATGGTCAGAAAGGTAAAATAGATAGTAAGTTACTTGGAAGGTGAGTAATCTTGTATAAGTAACAAGGAAGTAATTATTTGTTTATGGCAAATCAGGCAAACAAGAGGAAGAAGCTAGTAGTTTTTGTTTTTGAGGGTCCCTAATGTGTTCCAGTTATTTTTGACCCTGTCAAAGACTAGGTTTAAACCATCCCAGACCTTTTTTAAAAAGGAGACAGTCCCACTGCTGCTTCCAGGCCTTCCCTGCTCCCTGTAAGCTCAGCATTATTTCTCTCCTGGCCATGACTTCATATCTTCTTTGTTGGCCTTTCTCCATTCCTCTAAATTGAGGCATTTCTCCAGGGCTCTGTCCTCTCACGATGTCTCTCTATATTCTTTCCTTTGTCACTCTTATTCCCTTAGATGAATCTTTCTCTTCTTCCCTAAGCATATTTTTGTTCTATAATGCTGTCCTTTTGAGTCTTTGGGTGTAACTCCTCAGTGATCGACTAGACATTTATGCTTGAAAGATGTGATAGCACCTTCTACCTTCAGCATCAGTCTCACCCTCCCCCATCACATTGTGATTTGCATAGCCCCTCCCCTCACTTCTCTGTTTGTGTTCAGGGGGACTCCATTCTTCACAGTCTCTGAGGCCTGAAATCTTATCTTTGATGCTTTTTTCCCTCATTACTCACATATAATCTGTTGTAAAGATTTGTATTTTCTCCCTTGGTAAAAATGAAAATTAACAAATGTAGTACAAATAAGTACCTAACAAAAACTCTAACCCTCTTACTCATGTGAAATTATGCCAGATAATACATATTCACAGATTTTCTGGCCATCTTTCTGATTTTTTTTTTTTTGAGACAGGATCTGGCTTTGTCACCCAGGCTGGAGTGCAGTGGCACAATCTTGTCTCCCTGCAACCTCCACCTCCTGGGCTCAAGCAGTTCTCCCACCACAGCCTCCTAAGTAGCTAGGACTACAGGTGCACACCACCACGCCTGGCTAATTTATGTATTTTTTTTTTTTTAATAGAGACCAGGTTTCACCATGTTGCCCAGACTGGTCTCAAATTCCTGAGCTCAAGTGATCCACCTGCCTCGGCCTCCCAAAGTGCTGGGATTATAGGCATGAGCCACTGTACCCGTCCCTTTCTGATTGTTTTCTCCTGCAAATCACTGGACCACTGCTTTACTATGTTTTCCAACTTAGGCCCTACCTTTCTCCCTCTGCTTTTGGTTTAAAGTTCCCTTAATCTGATTAGATGAGAATTTGGCCTGATTCCTTAAAGGCCCCTTCTAACCCTAAGATTTCATGACCAAAAAAAAAAAGTGTATGAGGGAATTAAAGTGACAAGGGTTTCTAACATCGGAGGAGGGAAGAAGAGAAGGAGAAAGGAGGAGACAAATAGTGCATAAAAACGTAGAAACTGCTCAGTCAGGGCTCACACCTATAATCCCAGCATTCTGGGAGGCTGAGATGGGTGGATCACCTGAGGTCAGGAGTTCGAGACTGGCCTGGCCAACATGGTAAAACATTGTCTCTACTAAAAATACAAAAATTAGCCAGCCTTGGTGGTGGGCACCTGTAATCCCAGCTACTCGTGAGGCTGAGGCAGGAGAATCACTTGAACCTGGGAAGCGGAGGTTGCAGTGAGCCGAGATCGTGCCATTGCACTCCAACCTGGGTGACAAGAGTGAGACTCTGTCTCAAAATAAAATAAAATAAAATAAACTCAGTCAACTCTATACAAAGGCAATGGTGAAGTGCTGGTCATTGTGGCACCACAGGAGCGCACAGGCACGTCCCAGGGAAATTAATTTACTCATTGCTCAGAAACACTCTAAGGAGAGAGAAGGATGGCGGGAGTGTTCAAAGCCTTTGTGACTTTGTCCATTTTGTGCTCCTACTGGACTCTTAGACTCCACTGGAGCAGTGGGGACTAGAAGATGCTTGTGCAGTAGGACAGGTCATCTGTAGCCCACCCTTGTCTGCCACAGATTATCCACTGGGGACTGCATGTGAGTGCTGCTGGTAACCACAGACATGCAGGTTAATATTTTTCTTGCCCTGTTTCCTGCCAACCCTTCATACTTACCTTTACCACTGATACTCCGTTTCCTGCATATGCCGGCCAAATTTTGTACTCACACAATTTGTTGAAGCCAGTAGCCTGTAAGCTTTCCAGCTTTTCTCTCTCTAGGTCATATTTAACATAGGACCAACAAAACTATGCAAACACTCATATCACTATCTTCATTATCTCTGCTGCTAGTATTTTAAAATAATTTTTATTAATACATAATTGTACATACTTATGGGGTACATGTAATATTTTGATACATGCATACAATTTATGATAACCAAATCAGGGTAATTAGGGTATCTATCACCTCACATATTTATCATTTTTTGGTGTGTGTGTGTTGGGAGCATTCCAAATCTTCTGTCTATTTTGAAATATCCAATAAATTATTGTTACCTATTATCATCCTACTGTGCTATCAAACATTAGAACTTATTTATTGTCACTATTTTTATACCCATTAACCTCACTTTTTTTTTTTTTTTGAGACAGGATCTCGTTCTGTTGCCCAGGCTGGACTGTAGTGGTGCAATCTCAGCTCACTGCAACCTCTGCCTCCCCGATTCAAGCGATTCTCGTGCCTTGAAAATCCCAAGTAGCTGGGATTACAGGCATGCGCCACAACACCTGGCTAATTTTTGTATTTTTAGTAGAGACAGGGTTTCTCCATGTTGGTCTCGAACTCCTGACCTCAGGTGAACCGCCTGCCTCAGCCTCCCAAAGTGCTGGGATTACAGGCGTGAACCACTGTGCCCTGCCCAACCTCACTTCTTTTTTCTTTTTTTTTTTTTGTGATGGAGTTTCGCTCTTGTTGCCCAGGCTGGAGTACAATGGCACAATCTTGGCTCACTGCAACCTCCACCTCCCGGGTTTAAGCAATTCTCCTGCCTCAGCCTCCCAAGTAGCTGGGATTACAGGCACCTGCTGCCGTGCCCAGCTAATTTTTGTATTTTCAGTAGAGACAAGGTTTTACCATGTTGGCCAGGCTGGTCTTGAACTCCTGACCTCAGGTGATCCGCCCACCTCAGTCTCCGAAAGTGCTAGGATTACAGGCATGAGCCACCTCACCTGGCCCAACCTCACCTCTTAACCCCGCACTCCCCGCTACCCTTCCCAGTCTCTGGAAACCATCGTTCTACTCTCTGCCTTCATGCAATCAACTTTTTTAGCTCATGCATACAAGTGAGAATATGCAGTATTTATCTTTCTGTGCCTGACTTATTTTACTTAACACAATGTCCTCCAGTTCCATCTATGTTGCTGCAAGTGACAGAATTTTATTCTTTTTTATGACTGAATAATATTTCATTGTGTGTATATACCACATTTTACCCATTCATCCATTGATGGACACTTATGCTGCTTCCATATCTTGGCTATTGTGAATAATGCCACAATAAACGTGAGAGTACAGTTATACTGATGCTTCAATATACTGATTTCTTTTCTTTTGGATATATAACCAGCAGTGGGCCTACTGGATCATATGGTAGATCTATTTTTAGTTTCTCAAGGAGCTTCCATACTGTTTTCCGTGGTGGCTGTACTAATTTATATTCCTGCCAGCAGTGTACAAGCATTCCCTTTTCTCTGCATCCTTGCCAGCATTTGTTATTTTTTGGCTTTTTGATAATTGCCATTTTAATTGGGGCGAGATTATTTAAAAATTTGCATTTCTCATGATTAGTGACATTGAGCATTTTTTCACATACCTGTTGGCCATGTGTATGTCTTCTTTTGAGAATGCCTATTCAAACCATTTGCCCATTTTTAAATCAAATAGTTTGTTTTTTTGCTATTGAGTTGTTTGAGTTCCTTATATATTCTGGTTATTAATCCCTTATCAGATGGATGGTTTGCAAATATTTTCTCCCATTCTTTAGGTTGTCTCTTCACTCTGTTAATCATTTCCTTTGCTATGCAAAAGCTTTGTAGCTTGAGATAATCCCATTTGTCTATTTTTGCTTTTGTTGCCTATGCTTTTGAGGTCTTACTCAAAAAATCTTTGCTCAGACCAGTATCCTTGAAGCATTGCCCCAGTGGTTTTTTTTAGTCATTTCATAGTTCAGGTCTTACATTTAAGTCTTTAATCCATTTTGATTTGTTTTTCTATATGGTGAGAGATAGGGCTCTAGTTTCATTCTTCTGCTGCTATTATGTATAAATGAGAAATGTAATAACAGAAGTCTGTAAACATAAAAAGACTTCCCCCAAATTGAGCTTTTTTTGGCATTTTTATAGTGGAACCCAGTTTCTTCCTTAGAATAAGGAAGAGAAGACAAGGATTCTTCCCCTGAGATCACGCTAGCCTAACTGACCAGTCAGTGATGCTGACAAGAGGGCAGACGCTGGCTGCTATAGTTGGAAAGCTGGAGGAAACAGATGGGTTTAGGGGTCATGAAGATGAGCATTTGGGTCGCTGAGACCATCCTGACACCAGCTCCACCTTGGCATATACAGTACTCCCTTTGGCATCATCTCTGGTTCCCAGAAAGCTTGAGAGCTAGAGGCTAAGTCAGCTCTTCTCTCAGCCTGACTTCTTTGTGAGACCCAGCTGCTTGCCTAATAGTGGCCAAACCCTATGGCTACAGTAGCAAATTCAGAGCCAGGGGAGGGATCCACGCAAACCTGTCAAACGGGCAGAAGCTACACAGAGCCATCCCACTTGACAGTCCAGTCTCTGTCCTGAACATCTAAAGCCCTTTCTAGTGAAGTTCGGGCCCCTCTCCCTGATCTCTTTCTTCCTCACAGCTGAATTATTGTACATTCAGCTGCATTATAAAACCCTACTGGTTTAGGCCAGGTACCATGGTTCATACCTGTAATCTCAGCGCTTTGGGAGGCCAAGGTAGGAGGATTACTTGAGGCTAGGAGTTTGAGACCATCCTGGGCAACATAGCGAGACCCTCTGAAAAAATAAAAATGTGCTGGGTGTGGTGTGGGTACCTGTAGTTCCAGCTACTCAGGAGGCTGAGGCGGGAAGATCACTTGAGACTATTTGCCCAAGGTTACATTGAGCTATGATCATACCACTGCACTCCAGCCTAGGCTACAGAGGGAACCCCTGTCTCTAAAAATAATAAAATCATTTAAAATATAAAATAAAACCCTACTAGTTTTGAGTAATACTTGGTATGTACACCTGGAATGTTTGCTGAACTGCTAGGGTGCAGTATGGGTAGTGGTAAAGTGTTAGGTCTCCAAGGGAGATTGCCTGGGTTTGAATCCTGGTTTTGCCACTTGCCAGCTATGTGACCATAGCAGCTACTTAACCTCACTAAGCCTTCATTTCTTCATTTTTCTTTTCTTTTTCTTTTTTGAGACAGGGTCCCGCTCTATCACCCAGGCTGGAGTGCAGTGGCTTGATCTTGGCTCACTGCAACCTCTGTCCTCTGGGATCAAGCAGTCCTCCCACCTCAGCCTCCCAAGTAGCTGGGACCACAGGTGTGCAACACCACGCCAGGCTATTTTTAGTAGAGACAGAGTCTGTTGCCCAGGCTGGTCTCACACTCCTGATCTCAAGTGATCTACTGGCCTCAGCCTCCCAAAGTGCTGGGATTACAGGTGTGAGCCACCGCACCTGGCCTCACTTTTTCATTTTAATGAGTATAATAATAATAATATGTACTCCATAGGATTGTTACCAGCACCAGTCCATCTAAAAGACTTAGTACATGGTCTCACACCTCTTTAAATTCCTCTATAAATGGTAGGCACTAATGTTCATGTGCTAATAGGAAATATTACTCTCCTTGCCTCCAGTCCCCTCCCCAGTCTGTAGAAGGCAAATTGAGGCCCAAAAAAGTTCAGTGACATGAGCCAGATTGTGAAGCCAAACAACAGAGCAAAGATTGACATCTGGGAGGCCTGCTTCTTTGCTTAGTACCTGTTAGTCCCCACTATTTAGAGGTAGTTTTTCTTTTCTTTCTTACCTTTATACCAAACAAACCATCTTTCTGAAGCTCCCATTGGTTCATTCTGCTACCTTCAACTGAGAATAATTGAGCACCTCTTATGTGAGAGCATCATGGCCAACCCTGGACACCCAGGAATTGACATAGAATCTGCCCTTGTGAAGTTTGAGCTGTAGTGGTGACAAGTGCCAACAAATATTCACATCCACACATTGGAGTCACAGTCAGGGTTAAGGAGAACATGCCCCCAGCAGGAGCAGCTCAGGCAAAGCCACGAGGCAAAGGAGGACTTTACAGAACAGAAACGTGGCCAGCATGACTGTAGCAGAAGCCAGGGGAAAGAACAAGCAGTGGAACTGGAGGCACAGGCAGGATTCCTGGCATGCAAGGCTGTGTAAGAGAGTAATGAGAGGTCTTTGAAAGAGTTTAAATAATGAAATGTGCACTTTTAAAGATTACCTAATCACTATGTGAAGGAAGAGAAATGCGGGTCAGAAGGTGGCAAGGATGGGAATTGAGGTATTGGTGGATTGAACTAGGTTGGTGGCAGTTGAGATAGAGAGAAGCAAATGGATTTGAGAGATATTTAGAAGGCAGACATGACAGAATGTATTGATTAATTAGGTGGTGGAGAAGGTGGTGAGAAACTGGTTTGGGATAAAAGATGATCAGTTTTATTTAGGACATGCTGACTTTAAGGCATCTGTGTAGCATTCTCTGTAGGTAGTTGTATTTTTGTGCTCTGGAACTTGGAGGACAGGCCAGGTGCTTCTTTGTAGACCGGCCACTGATCCACTAAGACAGTTCTGCACGATTTGGCCCATTTTCTCTGACCCTGGGCTATCCCTGTTTGAAGATTCTAATGTTGTGTTTCCCTTTGGCTTTTCAGGACTCCAGCCAGGCAATTCCTCTGGTGGTGGAAAGCTGTATCCGGTTTATCAGCAGACACGGTAAGCAGGATGACAGCCTTGTCCATATTTGTGCAAAGATTGGGAAGAACTTCCAGGAATTCTTTGCAGAGTAAGAATAGAGATTGACTTCCCATCCTGACATTCTCAGAAAAGGAATAAGTTCTTATTTGTCCACATAACTTTTGCGACCTCAGAATAGCCACACCTGGACATTGAAAGAAAGGCACCATGTATTTTGACGCAAAATGCCTCAGCCACTTATCACATAGCATTTTTTTAGCTTGAGAGTAAGTTTGAAATTGCAGCTGTTATGTAAATACAGCTGCTATTACGTGGTAACAGTAGTTTCACCATTACTCACAGTCTTTGCAAGTGTGGGTATCTCCCACTGTACAGCCTGACCATTTTGTCACTTTCTGTACCAGACTAGTTTGAAAACATCTCCTTTCCCAATGTTGCAGTGATTCCTTATAATCAGTTTTTGTTCTGGTTTGGTCTTGCTGGATACAGCATGGCCAAGAGCTGTGTTAGTAGCTGGTCTTAAAGCTGTATCCAACTTTTGAGAATCTGCAGAGGCAGGCTGCTTCTCAACCTAGGTGAAATCATACTCTCTTCTACTTGGATGAAGCTGAATCTTATAAACACCATTCCCCACCAGCTACTGGTCTCATTGGACGGAATTTAGCGATGGAAATAATTGCCAGAGAATTGATTTCCCAAGGATTAGAGTGTTTAGAAAGGACAGAACTAGTGCTATGAAAATTTCTAGGAACTGGGCATCAGAAATTGTTTTTAGATGCTGTTCTTTCTGTGATAGGAAAAGGGGCAGAGTGACCTTTCTGGAGCTAAGGAGGTAGATAAAATATTGCTTGTCTAAATTCAGAGGCAGCTATTCTCTCTCCCTCTCCTTGCCTTTTTCTCTCCCTATAAACTGGGGCATTGCTCAGGTTCGTTTTTGGGATAGTAATTATTATAGCATGGTTACAATTGATCTCATTCTAATCAGCTATAATTTTTAAATCTTATCCCTATTCATTTAAAGTAACAGCATTGTATATCAGTATTGAACAGTCAACAAATTTATCAAGTCCCTGATCAATGCTGGGTACCATGCATTGCCATGTAGGAAAGCAGAAACAGGAATAATATACTGTTCCTGTCTTTAAGTGGTTTTATTTTGCAGTTGGGAGAAATAAGTAAGCAAGTGATAAGTTAAATAAAAAGAGATAAGCTGTGGTAATTCAGAATAGGAGTATAAGAAATTTCACAAGATAGTAATGATTAATAGTCAAACAGTTTGCAAAGATAAGTCCAAACTGAGTTCAGGGGAGGATGAATTATTTGTGCCTAAGAGACAATAGGAGAAAGAAAGTCTGAGCCACTGCTCATTCAGCATACATTCATTCATTCAACAAATACATATTGGTTGCTTATTATATCCCAACAAAAAGATCCTGCCTTCATGAACCTTACATTCCACTGACAGGTGGATAAGCAAATGACCAATTGATCAGCCAGTAAATACAATATGTCAGGTATTGGTGAATGTCTTGAAGATAAGTAAAGCAAGGTGAGGGGATGGAGAAGGAAGAGGGGACACTGTTTGAAGCTGGTTCAGAGAAAAGACTTCTGCTAAAGTGACATTAGGGCAGAGTTGTGAGGGAGTAAGCCTTGTGGATATCTGGGGAAGAGTATCTTGGGGAGCGGGAACAAGTGCAGAGAACCTTGCCACATGCAGGAAGCCAGCGTAACTGGAGCAGAGTGAGTGAAGAAGAAAGCGGCAGGAGATGAAGCTGGAAGCCAGACTCTTAGGGCTTAATGTGCTAGGATTGGATTTTATTCTGAGGGAGATGGGAAGCCACTGGAGAATTTTGAACAGGGAGTCATCTTTTTAAAGGATCCTTGGCTGCTCTCTGGAGATAAGATTGTAAGAAGGAGACAGGAAGCAACTGCAGTAGCCTGAGGAAGACATAATGGTGGCCTAGACCAGGGTGTTAGCCGTGGTGTTTGCTGAAAAGTGGACAGGTTCCAGATATTGTGGCATGAATGTACCTGTTTCTACCCATTACAGGCACAGTGCATGAGGAGACAAAAATTTAGCACATTACTGTGGTGAGGCTCTGGGGAAACAGGCACATTTATATGTTGCTGATGGGAATGCAAACTGATACAACTCTTTTGGAAGGGAATTTGGCAGTATCTAACAAAACTTCATATGCACTTACGATCCAGCAGATTCTAGGAATTCTAGGAATTTACCGTGAAGTTACATCTCCAGCAATACAAAAATGCATGCGCACAAGGTTATTTGTGACAGCATTGTTTGTAATTGCAAAATACTAGAAAGAACCTAAATGCCCATACATAGAGGAGTGGTTGAAAAAATTATGGGACATTCATTCAGTGGAGTACTATACAAGAATGGGGAAGATTTACATGAACTGATATGGAGAGATTCCCAGGATATGTTGTTAAGTGAAAAAAACAAAATGTGAAAGAGTCTGTATCGTGTAGAATACCACAGATGCTCCTTGGCCTCTGATGGGGTTACATACAGATAAACCCATAAAAAGTTGAAAATGTACTCAATATACCTAGCCTAGGGAACATCAGAGCTTAGCCTCGCCTGCCTTAAGTATACTCAGAACACTTACATTGGCCTACAGTTGTGCAAAATCATCTGGCAACACTATATACTGTAGAGTACAGGTTGTCTACCTTGGTAATCACGTGGCTGACTGGGAGCTGTGGCTCTCTGTTGCTGCCCAGCATTATAAGAGAATATCATACTACATTTTGCTAGCCCAAGAGAAGATCAACATTGGAAGTATTTCTCCTGAATGCATATCATTTTTGTACCATCATAAAGTCAAGAAATCGTAAGTCAAACTTTTATAAGTCAGGGACTATACATATAGATATTCTTTTGCATTTCATTACCTTTTATGTAAGAGAGAAGAAGATGTAAGAATATCCGTGTATCTTCTCATTTCTGCAAAAAGAAATGCAGGAAGGATGAATCTAGGAACTAATATTTAATTGGCTACCTATAGGGGATGGATAGAAAAGAGGTGAAAAGAATGGGGCAATGGGAAATGGTAAGGAGTGGCGTTTCTCTTACCTTAGTGTAGTTTTGACTTTTAGAACAACATTAGTGTTTCCTGTACTCAAAAGATAAATAAGCCGGGCGCAGTGGCTCACACCTGTAATCCAGGCACGTTGGGAGGCTGAGGTGGGCAGATCACTTGAGGCCAGGAGTTTAAGACCAGCCTGGCCAACATGGCGAAACCCTGTCTCTACTAAAAATACAAAAATATTAGCTGGGTGTGGTGTTGGGCACCTGTAATCCCATCTACTCGGGAGGCTGAGGCCCGAGAATCACTCAAACCCAGGAGGTGGAGGTTGTGATGAGATCACGCCACTGCTCTCCAGCCTGAGTGATAGGGTAAGACCCTGTCTCAAAAAAATAAATAAATAAATAAATAAAGGCAGTGTGTGGGTACAACCCAAAATGGAATGCAGACAGTAACATATAAACCTAACTGTATTACAAGTGAATAACATAACCACAATGAAGAGAATAAGGAAAAAAATAACCTAAGTAATTTGTCTTGACTATAATATAAATCTAAAGATAAAAAGATCTCTAAACAAATATTTTACAGTAATTAGTAGTTTTTTTATCACACAGATATGGATTAGCAATTCTAAAAGTATATATATTCTAGGATCAAGCAAATAAATATATTGTGGATTTTTAAAAAATTGAGCACATAGTAGCTGCTCAAAAAACATCTGTTCCACTAAATTGATTTTTCCCAAATAGGGACCTAAGGTATTCATGAACTCCCTAAAAAAACCACGGTAAAAATTTTTGTGTGTAGGCATTTAATGAGGATAGAGCTCATAACCTGTGTCAGTCTTGAAAGAGTCTGTGGCCCACTGAATGCTGGGGATTTTCACATCCTAACTATCCTCAAATCCCTTGGGAGGTAGACATTATAGTCCCCATTATATAGATGAGAAAGCTCAGTGGTGGGTGAGGGTGGTTCAGGAAGGCTTAAAGGAAGAGAACGGATTTGAGGAACAATTGAAAGTGAATCATGATGGGGGAAAAAAAAACATTTTCATGAGGAAGGGAGCAACGTAACGTGAACATGAGATGGCTGCTGTAGAAATCATTTCAGGAATTCTCCAGGAGAACAACTTTTGGCAGTGGTTGGGTTCCATGCACAATGGAAGGTTTTGTGCCATTTCCAAATAACTTATCCAAGTCTGATGAGTTTTATACTTTCATGTTCGTGTGAACTGAGAAAAAATTTGAAAGATCATGGATGTGTCACTTTGGTTATGCAAGGATTCACCTGCAGTATAATAAAAAGCCAACTGGTTTTTCTCTTTACTTTCTGGAAACCAGCCACTTATTAATGTTTCTGCTTCCAGAATCTAGAGATTCTGTCTGTTGAGCAAGAACACATAGTAGTCCCTCCAAAACATAAGTTCTCAAGAGGAAACAGAGACCAGACCTAAAGAGAGCTCCGTGTGTTCCAGGCCTGCTGCCTGATTTCCAATGAGCTCTCCTCTCATTTCTTCTTGTCCTGGACCCCCAGGCCAAGGCTACTTTTCCTTGGTGTTCTAACCTACCAAAAAGTAACAAGATGATGACGCTGTTTCAGGAATTGTGCAATGGCTTCACCAACTAGAACATAGTGAGTAGCCCGGTTTCCGAGATGACATTTGCTTATACCATGTTGTGACATGTGGCTGTTTCTCTCAAAGCACTTGTTGTTTACATACTATATTTAAACAACATTATCTGGCTTTTACATCGCATTTGTAACTAGTATTATAGTCCTATTACACTGGTACTAATGAGGTTTTAACGTTGCCTGCCACTCTGTGAGGAATATTCTGGAGATTCCTTTACAGGAGCAGACAACTTAAGGCCTATTACAAGCCAGGTAACTACATTTCCTCTGGTTACTTCTTAATGTTGTTTCAGTTGGATTCAGAATCTGTGCTGGCCTATGTGGTTTACCTCCAGAGGTCTAGCTGATAGAATTCATCTGCTTTAGAGATAAAAGCAGATGAGGCACAAGAGGGTTTCTTAACTGAAGAAACCCTCTAACAGTGGGCAAAATGGAGCATTAGTCTATTTTGTTTTCCTAAAATAAAACTTGAGATTTCTCCAGCATGTCAAGGTTTTTGAAGGATTGTGCCATAACAGAGGGATTTTGACAAAATGCTTAAGATTGAGACCCAGGGATCCTGAGAAAAGCTGAGCGGTCCTGATGCAATCAGAGATGCTAGTCTAGTCCAACCACTGGGGCTGGCACTGATGACACACTTGCTGGATTTCTCACCGGTTTTGCAGTTGTGTGTGTGGTGCTGTCTGTAAGTCATGTCCATACTCAGACTGACCAATGTGGTTCCCAACCTTTGCACTTGCACTCCGATAGTCTCCACAAGCCTGGTGTTGAAGACTGAGTATGATTGCAGCCACAAGGCCTGAGTTTGAGTCCTGGCCCTGGTTCTTACTTCCTGTATAACTTAAGGCCGGCTGTCACTCATCAGTCCCCTCATCCAGAGAATGAGATTGTTGCCAACCTTTACCTTGTTGTGACATTATTACTTGTGAGGACCAAGTAATTTGTTTGTGTGAAAGCATTGATTAGCAGCAGTTACTATGCCAGCATTTTTTTTTCATGATTTGTTTTTCTCCTCTAACACCACCAAGAAGTTCTTGTGCACATTATCGTAGTATAACATTCATGCATGTTTGTCTTTAGAGTAAAGCTGTAGTCAGGAACCAGTGCCTAGCACAATGTCTGGCAATACTATCCGTTGACTGATCACTTAATAGCAAGCTTGTTCAACCTGTGGCCCATGGGCTGCAGCACAAATTTGTAAACTTTCTTATAATATTACGGGATTTTGGGGGGATTTTTTTCTTTCTCATCAGCTATCGTTAGAGTATTTTCTCTGTGGCCCAAGACAGTTTTTCTTCCAATGTGGTCCAGGGAAGCCAAAAGATTGGACATTCCTGACTTATAGTTTCATGTCCACTCTTTTTCGTAAGTATTGAAAGCATTGCCTCATTGAACAATCAAACCATGTTAAAACAGCTAAAGCAATATTATAATCTCAGACCTTATGAAACTCCTGATGAGAACTAATGCCTTGACCCATTTCCCATTCTTTTTTTTTTTTTTCTTTGAGATAGGGTCCACTCTGTCATGCAGGCTGGAGGGCAGTGTATGATCATAGCTCATTGTAGCCTCTAACTGCCAAGTTCAAGTGAACCTCCTACCTCAGCCTCTTGAGTAGCTGGGACTACAGGCATGCTACAAGTACTGTGCCTGGCTACTTTCAAACATTTTTTAGAGACAGGGTCTCATTATGTTGCCCAGGCTAGTCTCAAACTCGCGGCCTCAAGCGGTCCTCCTGCCTCAGCTTCCTGAGTATATTTTTCTATTCTTGACCCTAGATGATTTTTAAAAAGTACCAATGGGTCACTTCCTTGCTTTACAGATGGGAACAGAGAGGCAAAGACAAGGAAAGGAATCTGCCTCATAGTCGCCCTGGAGTCAGAGGAGTCTCTAACTTGGTGCTTTCTAATGAAAACGAATGCCTCGAAATTATTCCAGTGACTTTTCCAACATCCTTGCACATGTTTTTCTCCTTTGGCCTAAAGAAGAGAGACAGCGTGCTTAAATACACACTGGTTGGGGGAGATAGGTATTCAGCTAAGCTTGTCACTGTGCTTGTGAATTTGCTTTTTCTTCTTGATCACTTTTCTGTGTATTGCCAGGACTACAGCATGAAGGAATTTTCCGGGTGTCAGGATCCCAGGTGGAAGTGAATGACATCAAAAATGCGTTTGAGAGAGGTAAGGAAACAGTCTTGAAGATAAAACCAAATATTTGCCAGCCCCCTGGGGTATTGGCTCCACCCTTTCTTCCCTAAGAGGTCCCCAGAGGTCAGGAAGCCAGCTTACCTGTCTCTTCAGAGGGTACCTGCTCTCTTGTACACATTCCCCTGTAGATATGCAGGGAAATACCAGGGCACATCCCAGTTTCCTTCTTCCTTCACAGCCCTACCCATCCTGCCTCTTTCATGCCGATGATCTGCCAAAACCCAAGAAGTTAACTATGATATCTGGGCGGTTTATGGCTTCATCTGGAACCCTTGGTGGCAGTTAATATCAAGGCTAATGCGCTTGTTCATTGTAGCCCATTTATTATTTTGTGGGCTATTAAGGTAATGGGCAAGCTTTGGCAATTTCCGTCACTGTAATGGATATATATAGTTTCAATTTGAGGTTGGCCCTATCATTAAATCTAATTACATCTGATATGAAATTTTCCATGGGGAGCTCTGGCATGATTGTGCTGTAAGTAGGTGTTCTTGGTTGCAGGCCAGGAGATGTGAGAGCCAGTCTCAGGAGCTGGCCTCCTTGGCCTCATTTTTCTCCCCTCAGGAGCTCAGTCCCAGCCTAGTTTCATGATTCTTGTGAGAGACAGTTGCTGTGTCCCATCCTCAGCCCATAGGGACCATGTCCCTGAGCCAGGCTGGCACAAGAGAGTTTATATTGATGGACTCGTCTGCCGTGCTTTCGTCCTGGAGCCCCTGAAGTGGAACAGTCTTTGCTTTATCTGTTCTCTGGTCTGTCCCACTCATGGCCACCATGCTGGGCAGAAAGCTGATGGATTGAGACCAGGACATACATGGTTCACCCCCTCCCCACCGCCTCTGTTCGTCCTGTGTGTTTTTGCCTCTCTCACTCTCTTTCCTTTTTGTGGGGGTTGCTTATCCTCAGGAGAGGACCCCCTGGCTGGGGACCAGAACGACCATGACATGGATTCCATAGCTGGTGTCCTGAAGCTTTACTTCCGGGGGCTGGAACACCCTCTCTTCCCCAAGGACATCTTTCATGACCTGATGGCCTGTGTCAGTAAGTACGATTCTGGCTTCAGATTGGCTTCTGGGGCACAGCACCGGTAGCAGGAGATAAAGTTTCCACAGGGTCTGTGTGTTCTCATAAGCTTTTCAATAAAGTTTTTCTTTTCCCCAGTGAAATTTCTCCTCATCCTCACTCCTTCATCCCCTGGTGGGAGGGGAGCGAGGAAAGACTTTTCAGTAAGAATCTAGGACCCTCAAGTCAGGACTCCTGGCTTTTTTTTTTTTCTTCTGATTCATCTCTGGACTTTATCTTCTTTTAGTAAAGTACCTTTACTTTCAGTTATGTATTTGAAGCTTATACATCAGTGCTTGTGCTTTTCATGGTACAAGGGGGAAAAGCATAAGCGTTGCAAATATTTCATGCTTGTTGCATTAAACAAGACGTGGCTTACCTGCTAAATGTATTAATATGTGTTCTAGGAACAAAAGCCCTCTGCACATTTAAAAGTAGTAATAGGATATTTTCCCAAAGAGAAAGATATATTCTCTGCTTTATCCTCTTAGGAGTTCTCTGCCTCTAACTCTAAAATTTGGGTCTTGAAAAGCTATTCCTAGTCATTTGGTTTAGCTTGTGGTACTGGAACACCCTCTCATTTGTTTGCCAGGGAAAACAATCAGTGGAAACTTGGATTAATACAGGTCAGCCTGGAAGCAGGCCCTGTCTGAGTGACGGCTGCAGAGGCTGGAGGGAGTGGTGCCTTTGAATGGAGAAAAGATCCTTCTTCCTAGGTTGACCAGATCTTCGTACCTACTGAGTTTCCAGTTTCACTCAGTATCTGCCCTGAGTACTTGTCCCTCTCTGTTATCCTGAGAAATTTCCAGGGCATTTGGGAAGCTGGCTCTCTGGTTGGTTTGTTGACTTCTGTTTATGGGTGTCTAGTGGAAGTGAGTTATGTGGGTGATTAAGAATGTGATTCCCTTGGGTCATGTCTTTGTGTCTTTTTCCGACTGGGCCTAGGTGAAGTATCTTGAGCTGAACTGGGATTGCCAAGATAGTAAAGATAGTTCAAGATCCTTTGGCTGCCCAGTTCTTCCCTGGAGATACACTCTTCCTCCTAATCCAGTGCTTCCCATCTCTTTTTCATATAAAGGCACCCATAGAAAATGGCAGTGTTTACATGGCACACTGTGGAAGTGAGAGGCTGCCTATGATGGAGGACCTGTAATTGACCTGTAATTAACCTCTCCACAGCGCAAGAAAGCCTTTCAGGTCTCCTTCCCCATATCACTACAAACCCAGGGGCCTGCCACCTCTTGCCTCAGACCACTTTTTACTCATTCGTAATGCAGATAAGGGAGGGGGAAGATAAGCCACACTTGTCAGAGGATGAGATGGCACGTGTGGAGTGAGCAGGACAGGACTTGCACAGCCTGTCCCACCAAGATGTAGGCCCTCCGAGGCTTTGTGTTGAGCAGTTATAGCAGGTTAGCGGCAGCTCTCTCTCTGTGGTTGTTTGAATAAGAGGGTGGACAAAGTGAAGTTTTGGCCGGGCGCGGTGGCTCAAGCCTGTAATCCCAGCACTTTGGGAGGCCGAGATGGGCGGATCACGAGGTCAGGAGATCGAGACCATCCTGGCTAACATGGTGAAACCCCGTCTCTACTAAGAAATACAAAAAATAGCCGGGCGAGGTGGCAGCGCCTGTAGTCCCAGCTACTCGGGAGGCTGAGGCCGGAGAATGGCGTGAACCCGGGAGGCGGAGCTTGCAGTGAGCTGAGATCCGGCCACTGCACTCCAGCCTGGGCGACAGCACGAGACTCCGTCTCAAAAAAAAAAAAAAAAAAAAAAGAGGGGGGGAGATGCTGGGGGGAACATTTCTAACCCCATTCTCTGTGCCCAAATCCAAATCCAAACTTGTTATTAATAACAAAATTACAACAACCCTAGTTCAGTTTAATTTTAATAATGTGTAATAATGAGTTTGGATTTGGATTTGGCATAGTTCCCCGTGCCCAAGAAGTATACACCTTACATCCTGCAATGGTAAATGCCTAGAGCCCAGCAAGTGCCCTCTTCTAACAGCCCTACCCCAAGGAGCAACAGGGATGACTTCCTGTCACTGCACCAGTGCTGTGTGTGGGCTTGGTCTGATGCTGTCCGTGTTGCCCCTGCTGGTAGTAGGTACTTCTGATCATTACTCCCTGGGATCCCAGTCATAGTGGAGGATAACACATGGCTTTCTTCTTTTCAGCAATGGACAACCTGCAGGAGAGAGCTCTGCACATCCGGAAAATCCTGCTGGTCCTGCCCAAAACCACTCTGATCATCATGAGATACCTCTTTGCCTTCCTCAATCAGTGAGTAACCTTCCCAGTGAACAGCCGGATCAGGCTTTGGCTTGGGCTACTAGAAGTTCCTCTATGGACCTATGCCTATTCACCCAACCCAACAAAATATTTGTTGAGCACCTACTGTGTGCTAGCCACAGTGCTAGACTTATTTAATACATTGTTAAATAAAAGATGAAAGCCTTGATGTCATTTAGCTCCTGTTCCAGGGAAGGAAACAGGCAATAACAGATATATCAGGTGGAATAAGTGCTTAGAAGAAAAATAAAAAAGAGTAAAGAAACGGGGGAGAGTGCAGGGGTCTGAATGAAAGGAGGGAGAAGCACTGTAGTTGAGGTGGACAGCAGAGACCTGTCTGAGAAGACAGTGTACAAGCAGCAACCCAGAGGAGGGGAAAGCGTGCCATGGGGCCATTTAAAACCCCAGAATCATGGTAGTAGCAAGTTTGGATTTAGATTTGGGAAGCAATTAGAATTTTTTTTTTTTTTTTTTTTTTTTGAGACAAAGTCTCGCTCCATCTCCAGACTGGAGTACAGTAGAGCGATCTTGGCTCGCTGCAACCTCCGCCTCTTGGGTTCAAGCGATTCTGCCTCAGCCTCCTGAGTAGCTGGGACCACAGGCGTGTGCCACCATGCCCAGCTAACTTTTGTATTTTTAGTAGACATGGGGTTTCACCATGTTGGCCAGGATGGTCTTGATCTCTTGACCTCGTGATCCACCCACCTCAGCCTCCCAAAGTGCTGGGATTACAGGCATGAGCCACCATGCCTGTCATGTTATTACCTGATTTGTGTATTTTATTTTTTTTTAACCTGCCAACTGCTTTGTGGAGAAGTTACTGGAAAGGGTCATGAAGAGAAACAGGGAGACCCTATTCCGAGGTTACCGTCTGGTCTGGCCAGAGGTGTTAGTGGCTTAGTCTGGAGACTAGTGAGAACGGGTCAGGTTTGTGATACATTTTGAGCATAGCATTAACAGGATTTGCCCATGGATTATACATAGAATATGAAGAGAGAAATCCTAAATTGTTGGCATGAGCGACAGGGACATAGGGAGGTTGTTTATGGAGTTGGAGAAGACAAGGTGTGGAGAAAGGGATCAAGACAATGTGTTGATGTGGTAATGGTCATTTGAGGCGCTTGTGAGATGTCCAAATGGAGATTTCGAACAATTGGACCTAGGAATCCAACCCTAAGGGAGAAACCAGGAGTGGAGCTGCCAGTGCGGGAGTTGCCCATGTACTGGTGGTATTTAGCTAATCACCCAGGGAACAGATGTGGCTACAACAAAGGTCTGAGGAGCAGAGGGACAGTGGGCATGGATGGGGCATTTCTTGTCCAAGCAGCATGTCCTTGTGTGGAGCAAGCTTTGGAGTCCCCACATGACAGGAAAGGCACCAAGCAAGGACGTGATTCTTCCCCTCTGAGGCACCTCTGTCTTTTCACTTTGCTTTTGCTGCAGTTTGGCCCTCAACAGCCTAGACCAAAGGTTATACATGGGCACCCTGAGAGCCAGATAAAGCCAAAAATGTGTTCCCTTCAGGTGTCTATTGTGTCTTGAAAACAATGAAATCATGCTTACATTTGGGGAAATTTCACTTTTTAAAGACACAGATTTCTAACTTCTTTTGAAAAATTATTAGATCTGGCGATACTGACTCTGCAGTCCCTGGTGGCAGCAATTCCCTGTGGAGTAAGGGCTGTGCCCCCTCAATGGGGCAGGCACTCCCCAATTCACCACAACCCCCAGCCCTCCCCGTTGCCCCCCAGTCCCAAGGCTGAATTCAGTTGCTATTTATCATCACTCTTGCTTTGTGGTTTTCATAGAGAACAAAAATGTTTCTCTGGATCCATGAATCTATCAAAGTGGGGGAAACAAAAGGTAAACCAAGGGGCCAAGGTGTTTTCGCATATATTTCTTTGTGAAAATGAAGAGCCTTCCTACAAAGTTAGTCTCTGCTTAAAAGGAGTACAACTTTAGAGACCATTTCATAAGTGTCAGCTTGCTTCCAAGTTTGTGGTCAACCTGGCCTTCTAGGTATCTGGGTTAGTGGCCCCAGCTTGAGACCTTTTCTGGGGCACCCACACTATCAGGGCCCTTGCTGGCCCTGCAGAGCTACAGAGGGTCCTTGTTCCCCAGCATCTCTTCGACGTGGTTGTGTCTGCTCCATTCATCGGCCAGGCCCGGACTCAGCACCACCACTGCCTTTGGGTTGAACACCCCAGTGAGTCACACAGCGTGTTCATGTGCAGCCTGGAAACTCTGCTAATTACTTTTGAGTTAGTCCCTTCAAGGCTACCAGTCACTGTCTCCCCTCGGAGACCAATACCTGCCCTCAACATGAGCCTAGTCTGTGCCCCCAGGGCGAGGAGCATGAGCTAGGTGAGCAAATGGTGATGAGGGGAAAACAGGGAGGGCTGGGGGACTGTGTGTGAAAGTACAATGGGGAGAAACAATAGAATAAGCATCCATGCAGAGTTGCTGCTTTCAGAGATGGCAGTCACTATTGAAGACAGCATAGGAATTGCACCAATTCAAATTAATTCATTTTGTTTTGCTTTTATTGGGGTTTTTTCCTGATTGAAACGAGATCAATTTGCTCATCAAAGTGTTAACATTTTAAAAATGCAGCATTAATAATGAAAGTGTTTTCTAAAATAATAAATAGAATGCAGGACACAAATGATAAAGCAGACCACCTCTACAGGAAGACAACAGCCGACAGGTGTGCACTTCCGGACAGGGATAGCAATAGTTGGCAGGTAGCTCCCGATGCAGACTCTGCCTGATGGCCCAGACCATCAGGACCCTTTTTCTTCATTGCTGTGAGTCCTGGATGTATGTGTACTTTATTTCTGGCTATGGTTTGTTCTTGGATTGGACACAACACTGTCAACCTCAAGGAACCAAAAAAACTAATATCTCAGTTTCTGTGGGTCTGGAATCCAAGTATAGCTTAGCAGGGGCCCTCTGGAGAGGTAATTGCATATCATAAAAGAGTTAAAAATCCAGAACAGTGCATGCTAAAAAGTAAGTTTCCCACACTAATCCTGGCACCCCCAAAAAGCCTCTGTTCCTAACCGCAATGCTGAACCTTTTTATGAAGCATAAAAGATGACTTCAAATCAATTAGGAGAATTCACTAATAATATGAACTGAAACTGTAGAAATACAGTAGAACTCTTTGAGGACATAACACGAGTGGATATAAGTCGACACCAAAAATTTTAAAGCAGGGAGTTGTTACTAATGTTATCCATTTTAGATATTTATTTTTGTTGTTGTTGTTGTTTGTTTGTTTGTTTTTGAGATGGAGTTTTGCTCTTGTCCCCCAAGCTGGAGTGCAATGGCGCAATCTCTGCTCGTGGCAACCTCTGCCTCCCGGGTTCAAGCAATTCTCCTGCCTCAGTCTCCTGAGTAGCTGGGATTACGGGCACACACCACCAAGCCCGACTAATTTTTTGTATTTTTAGTAGAGACAGGGTTTCTCCATGTTGGCCAAGCTGGTCTCAAACTCCTGACCTCAGATGATCCACCTGCCTCGGCCTCCCAAAGTGCTGGGATTACAGGCGTGAGCCTGTAATTACACCATGCCTGGCCTAGATATTTCTTTAAAAATAAAAATCCAGTTTTTTATACTCTTACACTAGACACAGCCTTCAGGGACTTCAAAGATTATTAACACCATGACATTTTACACAAAACTGTGTGCATTTATATGTGCACATATATGAATTTTTCTGGGGAGAGAATCCCTAGTTTTTGTCAAGTTATCAAAGGAACTTGTGTCCCCTAAATAGTTAAGAACCACTGCTTTAGGCCGGGCGCAGGAGCTCACACCTGTAATCCCAGCACATTGGGAGTTCAAGGTGGGTGGATCACCTGAGGTCAGGAGTTTGAGACCAGCCTGGCCAACATGGCGAAACCCTCTCTCTACTAAAAATACAAAAATTAGCCAGGCGCAGTGGCACACGCTGAGGCAGGAGAATCACTTGAACCCGGGAGTCGGAGGCTGCAGTGAGCCAAGATCGTGCCACCGCACTCCAGCCTGGCGACAGAGTGAGACTCTGTCTCAAAAAAAAAAAAACAAAAAACCCACTGCTTCAGCCCCTAAACTTAGAACCACTGTATATTGGAAAAGAAAAATGGATTTTAGTCTATATTTTGATGGGAGTAAGAAAATAGACCTAGATTCATGAGATCACAGTCCATGAAGATGTGTCTCCTCTTCAAGCTCCTGGTCATTGTAGCCACCTATGAATTGAACAGTCCTTACCTTAGCAGGCTTCCCAACATTTTTCATCTTTCACAGAGCTTTGACTCAGGACTCTCAGGACTAGAGTTTGTTTCCCTTTGACCACCAGGCTTCCCAGACACTACTGGTTTTCTTTTATGTTACCAAAACATTGTCAGATCACTCTAAAGGATCAAGGCCTTCCTCCTCTTTGTCCCTCCATGACACCAGGAACTGGCCAGGCTTGGATTAGCTACAGCTTAAGACTGTGGCACCTCACGCCTCAGTTGTGCGCACTGAGGTTACCAAGGTAATTATTGCTCCTGTCTCTCCCCAGTTTTAATTTGACTAGGAAATAGACTTAGAAACTTCCCCCAGTCTTTTCTAAATCTCTGCTCTCTTTGAACTCAGGATCCAGGGAAGGATTATACACTTTTAAGAACTCCTATGAAGCAGTCCAATGAAATTTGTAACCTCCCCCATTGCTGGCCTCTCCTGCATTTGATTCTAGGCCCTAGAAACAGTGATTCCCAACTCTCTTCCCATCACGTCCATAATGCCACTCTTCAAGTCCTTCAGTGATGCACAAATGGACAGGGGCTACATCTCCAGGAGGGGAGAGAACCATTGAGTCAGAGGAAATGGACTTTGTAATGTGAGACTGGATGAGGGGTACACTACAGAAACAAACTCTGCAATCAGTTCTGAAGAACAGCTACTCAGATGGAGACAGCTGAGTCTCAGGCCTCTAGTTTCCCAACAGAGGACCTTTGGTTCCTTCTCAGAATCAAATCCTGCCAATGCCCATACGGGAGACTCCTCAGCAGAGCTCACAACTCTGCAGACTGTGTTGGGGAGGCATCCAGAGCTGGCCCAGCCCTCAATGCCTGGATGGGCAAGACCCAATGGGACTCATCAGGTGCAATGGCTCATTGAAGACCTTGGGTCCTTGGCCAAGGTTGGAGGTGTGGCTGGAACAGCTGCTGGCTGAGAAGGGGAGAGTTCCCAGAATAAATAAATACCCGAGAATGAAGTCAGCCTGCATCCAGAGGAAGCCCAAGCAGAAGCCAAATGGCATGCTGACCTTTTCCTGAATAAATCCTGAATGTCATAATATAGAAGGAGATTATGAACATGAAAAACAGTTGCATTCGCTGTTCTAGGAAGAAATTCACTGGCTTGGTGGAATACAACAGCTAATCAGTTGGCTATTTTTTAGTAAGTCTAGAGGCTAGAAGGGAATATCCCTAATAATTTGATTATTTTGTTATGCAAGAAGGTACACAATGCACAGTGCCTGTGCCTCTGACCATATCTTTAGCAGGGCAGCCTGAGGGTCCCTATCTGCCCTGGTAGCTTAGTGTGTTGGTGTGTAGGAGCCATGTTCAGCTCTACAGAGTGACATGTTCTCAAGGTCATGTGGCTTTTTGTAGATAAGATCTGAAGATAGGGATGAGGATGGGGTGGTAAGTAGAATTTGAAATGGGAGCTGGAAAGAGAAAATGGGTCAGAGCTGCAAACTAGCTACCTCTAGTTTGCTTTTCCTGAACTCCTGAATGACCATTCTGGTGGTTACTCTTCTCCCCAGCTTGCTTTCTGGAAAGCCTCTGACACCCAGAAAGGCAGGTGGCAATTTGTGGACCTTCTGCTTTTGCTCTTGGCAGCGCCTCCTGTGATTGTGTTTTCTGGGCATTCATGCGAGAGCTTTCCAGCTTACCCCCTTTCCCTTCTCCTCCAGTTTATCACAGTTCAGTGAAGAGAACATGATGGACCCCTACAACCTCGCCATCTGCTTCGGGCCCTCGCTGATGTCAGTGCCGGAGGGCCACGACCAGGTGTCCTGCCAAGCCCACGTGAATGAGCTGATCAAAACCATCATCATCCAGCATGAGAACATCTTCCCAAGCCCCAGGGAGCTGGAGGGCCCTGTCTACAGCAGAGGAGGAAGCATGGAGGATTACTGGTAGGGGGCTTAGGACGGGAGGAGGGGAGGGATTCACTAGCACACACTGGCATGGGAGCCAGATGGCCACACGAAAACCAAAGGGAAACACCCAGATCCTCCCAACTCCTCACTCCCAGGCTGCCAGGGTCTGGGGATGGTATAGGCAGCCCCAACCTCGGCCCCACCTGCAGACTAAATGCCACTTCTTGCCACCTCCCTTTTTGATGAGTTCTGAGTGGCAAGGGACTATTTTGAAAGATACTGACAACATTAATTGTGATACTAATCTCTAAGAAAGGACTTTTTGTAAAGTTGCATCTTTATTAATCAACAGTGTCTCTCGGGCTTCTATTCTGCTCTGTATTGTGAGAAAAACCATCCTAGGTCCCAGGGAATTGCCTTCTTATTGGGAAGAGTTTAGATAAAAGGCATATATTCCTGACTGAGTTTTGTAAGCTGGCACTTCAGAATGATTTTAGAAATCTGTGAAGAGAAAGAAGGATCAGCCTTGTTTTTGGCAGGTTAGGGATGGTCCTCCCCTGAAGCAGCATTCCATTCTGTGGGGCCAGGTTTTCCATGACCTAGCTTCGGAACAGAGATCTAAGAGGAATCCCTGGGATATATCTTTGCTAGACCCCTCTGTTAGACAAAGAACAAATCACTATTTCCATTTTATGGATGAAGTCGCTGCAACCCAGAAAGCCCAGTGACAGTATTTTAGGCCACTCTAGTGATGGGAATTTAACCCCAATCTCATCTCTTAGTACAGGATACAGTCCGTTACCCCATGCCACCTGCCATGGTACCATTTACAGTGTCATTTTTTTACTAAACACAAAGACAACTGCCTCTCTCTTTTAATCCCTAATGTCCCTACCTCCTCCCTCCTCCTCCCCCTCCCTTCTTCCCCTAAATAGTGTTTCAGCCTGAGCTGAAAGCACAAGCCAGCCCAAATCGGATTCCGTCTGAATTCAACATCTGGAACCAATTCGGCCAGCCCCATTGCTATCGACTGAGGTAGGGGAGGACAGGGGAGGTTGTTTACTTAATGAGAGGCCAATTGGGCCACACTTCTCCCTGACCCCCACAGAACATCCTCTTGCCCAAAGAGTGAAGAACGTGGCATTTGTGTTATGTGAACATAGTAATATCAGTGACATCCCTGGGTTCATCCCTCTCTGCTGTACTACAGATTTCAGTGTCTGGGTCCAAGCTGGAGGAACCTATGCTGGCCAGCTGGGAGAGAAAGCTTTTTGTCACCGACAGATGGTTGGTGGTGACTGGGGGGGTTGTTGGTCACTTTAGGTCTCAGCCTACTGGATGATGAGCTCCAGGGAGCTGTCCTTGTGCATGTGACTTAGAGCTTTGGTTTTTCCCCTTGCATGAGTGGTGGAAAGCTGTAGAATAGCATTTCCTTCCTTCTAAAATCAGGCAGAACCTCCTCCCTCACTTCTCAAACATCAAACCACTGCAGGCTGTGTTCCAGTGCCCAGGGCACAGAGACCCCTACAGCCCTGGCCCCTGAGTCCCAGCCCAGTGAGACAGAGTCCTGGAGGGGTGTGGCTCACGGGCACAGACAGGCGGGTGCCTTCCTCTAGTTTCCTCCAAGTTATTCTCCCAACCTACCCACCTGTTTCTTGTGCACTCAACATTTATTAGCAGCCTCTGGAAAAACCACAAGATTAGTCAGGGAACATTACTACCACAGACTGGGTGGGAGGCCAGAAGCACCTGAGGAACAAGAGTCGGCGACCTTGGGTTGAGAGGGACCTGTGAAACCACTGGATTCACACCCACCTGGAAGGCTCATGGCCTCTCCTCTCCCTTCTTTGGGAAGTGAGAGAAGTGCCAGCCCTGGGAGCTAAGGCGGTGAAGGAGGCGAGTGAGGGTGGTAGAAGGGGAGATAGAGCACTGAGAAGAGAATGGAGAATGGTCAGGAGACCCAAACAGCCACGGAAAGGAGAGCACCAGGCCACATGGCCTCCCCACAGCTGTGGAGAGGAGAGACAAATCCATTTCACCACGCTTTCCGATCCTGAAACTGGAACCCAGTTTTCTAGGACTACCTGTTGGGTGGCATGGTGGGCTGCTCCTGAGACCTCAGGTATTTTTGGGCCTGGGTGGGTGCACAAGGGCAAAGGCTGGGGATGAGGTGTGTTTCGAGAGAAGCATAGGATTTTAGGGCTAGAAGAGACCTCAGAAAGCATCCTCTTGCCTTTCTCATAAAGCAGTGGTTTTCCAAGTGAGGTCCCTGGACCAACAGCGTCTGTGTCACAAAGGACTGGTTAGAAATGCACATTATTTGGCTCCACGAAGACCCAGGGACACAGAAACTCTGAGGGTGGGGCAGTGTTTTTTAACAAGCCTTGCATGGCTCCCTGAAGTTTAGAACTATTGCCTTACTGGCTGGCCATGTAAATAAACTTGAAGCCCTGAGGGAAGGTTTGCCTTTGAACCTCTCCCCCGCCACGCCTAGCACCTCACGGGTTTCCAGAACATCACAAAATTCATCAGATTCATCAGATGGTTTTTAGCCCTAGAAAACAGTGAGAAATTGTGCCTACATTTTTTGACAAAGAGGAATCGCCATTTATATTCTAGAATGTTCTCTGGAGCCTGGGAAACCTCCTTAGAAGTGACTTGCTCTACACAGGACGAGTTCTGAACTGGTCACCCAGTCTGTGAGGAACTTCCCAGGAGTGTAGGATCCATCTCATGGGGAATGAGGCTGGAGGGTTCCAAGGTGGAAACTGTGCGGCCAGGCTGCCGGGCTGAATGAGTGATGGTGCTTTCACACAACTGCCTGGAAAGCCTCACCTGTTACTGCCTACTACCAGAGGAAGAACTTTAGAAATGAACAGTTTCTGTACTTTTCAGGAAGTAAGAACTTCCTGGTGCCCATCCTCATGAATTCTGAAGTCCGCGAGCCAGGAGATCAGGAATAGAAATGACTTTCCTAGTAACCTGCCTATCCTTTCTCGATTCCTTACACTGGATGATTTTTTTTCTTTTTAAGACAAGATCTTGCTCTGTCACCCAGGCCAGAGTGCAGTGGCACGATCATGGCTCACTGCAGCCTCGACCTCCCAGACTCAAGCAATCCTCCCACCTCAGCCTCCAGAGTAGCTAGAACCACAGCATGCACACTGACTTTTTTTTTTTTCTTCTTTTTTTGTAGAGACAGGATCTCACTAAGTTGCCCAGACTGGTCCCAAACTCCTAGACTCAAATGATCCTCCCAAAGTGGTGGGATTACAAGCGTGAGCCACTGTGCCTGACCTACCCTGAATGATTTTAAATTTCATGACTTATTTCAAGAACTTGACCCAGCTTCTATCCCCTGCCCTCTAGTCCATAGCAAACTCCTGCCCTCTAGCCCACAGCAGATTCTTCCTCCCCTACTTTTGTTTCCCACCCACTCCTATGACTCGCCTTCCACTTTTTCACCAGTTCACAGTCTAAACTACAAAGCAACCTAGAGCCACCAACCAAAATGAGAAAGAAGGGAAGCAAGTACTATTTATTAAGCACCCGCTCTGTGCCAAACTTGTTACTAAATTACTTTATTAAGTCCTCACACAGCTGAGGATATAGATCATTATCTTCAGTTTATAGATGAAGCAGCTGAGGCTTAAGGGGATTAAGTAACTTGCCCAGGATCACACAGCTACCAAGTATCAGAGCTGGTTTTCGGATCCAGTTTTATCTGATGCCGAAGCCCAGTGTTTCCCTTCCACCCTGCGTCCCCCTTGAAAACCAGGAATGAATTCACGTAGAGAATCAGCCCTTGAGGAGTTGAGTTGTTCTCTATTTTCTAAAGAATTTAGCTTATACCTTCGAAAGGGCTTCCCTTTGTCTTGAGATATTCTAAGTTCCAAGTAGTCTCAAGTGGTTTTTGTAGCAGGAGCTAGACTGGAAAAACTCTAGAGCTTTGTATTTCATTATAAGCATTTGTCTATTGTGTGTACTTAGAATATAGAGCGAGTAAGATGGATTCAGTGCCCTTGCGCCAGGGAGGCTGTATGAAGGGGAAGAGGAGAATTTTATAAGCAAATGTTAATGTCCCGGTCCCTCTTGCTTCTGTTGCAGTGATAGCCCTCATGGAGAGACTACCTCGGTTGAAGACTCAACCCAGGATGTGACTGCAGAGCACCACACGAGTGATGACGGTACGAGGCCCTGCTTCCTGGTCAGTGGGGACGCCAGGGGTGAAGCAGAAGGAAGTGATTATATATCCTGTGCATCTAATGAACCTGTATGCCCAGTGGTCCCCTGAGGACAGGCAGTGAGCTCCCTGTCTCAATTTCATTCTCTTCCTTCCTTGGAGAGATAGCCCACCTTCTCAAATAGAATTGCTCTGTATTAAACCAGAGGTGAAGAACTAGGCCTTCCATAGCCCTTCAGCCTTCTTGCCCCACCTCCCAGCTCCTTGTCTGGCCTGAGTGCAGCATGATGTTGGTCCCTTATAGCCTAGACTCCTGCCAGACAGCAGGAGAACAAAGTGAAGGAAATTTCATTTGAAAAACAGTAAACAATTGGGTGTGGTGGCTCACGCCTGTAATCCCAGCACTGGAAGGCCCAGGAGGGAGGATCACTTGAGTTCAAGAATTCAAGACCAGCCTGGGCAACATAGCCAGACCCTGTCTCTTAAAAAAAAAAAAAAAAAATAGTCTGGCATGGTGGTGTGCAGCATCCCTGTAGTGCCAGCTACTTGGGAGGCTGATGTAGGAAGATCCCTTAAGCCCAGGAGTTCAAGGCTGCAACAGGCTATGATTGTGCTACAGTATTCCAGCCTGGGTGAGACAGTGAGACCCTGTTTCAAAAAAAAAAAAGAAACAGTAAGCCTGGGGTGCGAAATAGCAGAGCTGAGTGCCCTGAACCCAACAGAAGCAAGCCAGAGAGAGTGGGAATGAGGATGTAGAAACCACATGCTTTCACGCCTACCGACTGGAAAAACTGACCCTTTCCAAAGTACAGACATGCAAGTGCCGAGCAGCCTGGTGGGCGTGCATCAAGGGGAGGAATGCTCAGCTGTCATCCTCAGGCCCCTCAGCAGTGCCCATGCTTTGTGAGGGTCTGTCCAGCCAGCACATTTCCCCTGCTTCCAACAGCTCCACACCTCCATTTCTGGATCACATGGGCTCTGGAAGTCTCAGCAGCTGACAAGGGGCCTCAGAATTTTCTGGGCACAAGAATGAAATGGCACAGTCTGTGGAGCTTTCCCTGTTCCTGCCTTGCTGGGAATTCTGCAATTCTTGGCCAGCTTTTAAAGGAGAAAAAAAAATAGGACTGCTTATTTAGATCCTGATGTCGTAAGGATCCATATGATCATTTGCTACATTTGAGGAGGGGAGTAGGTGAACTAGGAAAATTAGTAGTGGGTTAGAGCCTACCTCGTGGCCAGCTCTGCTAGAGGCTTTCTGTATGTTATCCCTTAATCCCTAGTGAAATTGATATGGCTGCTATTTTACAGCTGAGAAAATGCAGGTCAGGGAGGTCGAGTAACGTTCCCAAGGCTATAGAGAACTGAGATGGGTATATTTAGACAGGCCTTCTCTGACCAGCCTCCTATAGTGAAATCTCCAACCCCTCCTGTTCAGGAGCAGACCCACCAGCTAGGGCCGTCTAGGCATGGTCTTATTTTTAAGCAGCCTTTCTCTCTACTTCCCAGAATAGCTGACTTTCATCTCAGGTTCCAGCTTTCTGGGAGCCTTCTCTTTGCTCTTTGATCTCTACCGCAGCCTAGCACAGATGAAGATAATGATAACAATAAGTCATGCACACATACCACTTACTGTGGGCCGGACACTGTTCTAAGCACTTTTACAAATTGTAATTCATTGACCTTCATAACAACTTCATGAAAAAGACACTATCATTATCTCCATGTTACAGATGAGGAGACAGAAGCCCATACAAAAATGAAGATACATTGCATTTGTAAACCCCTTTTACTTTTTCAGATTACTTTCCTGTGTATTTTTTTCATAGATTGGTCACAAAATATATTTCCATATATTTTGCTCCTTGAAAAGTTGATTTAGAGACAAAAAGTTCACATTCTACTTACTAGGGGGAATGGATAACATAAAATATTTAGAATACAGTATGATACATTTTCTACAATTATTGGAATTATATAATCAGAAAAGGAATAATGCTTAAAAATATAGTATGGCAAGTTTGATGATAGACGTCAAAAGCATAAAGAGCTTTAAAAGAAGTTACTGTGGAAAGCAGGGGATGCGGCCGGGCACGGTGGCTCACGCCTGTAATCCCAGCACTTTGGGAGGCCGAGGCGGGCAGATCACGAGGTCAGGAGATCGAGGCCATCCTGGCTAACATGGTGAAACCCATCTCTATTAATAACACAAAAAATTAGCTGGGCGTGGTGGCACACGTCTGTAGTCCCAGCTACTCGGGAGGCTGAGGCAGGAGAATCACTTAAACCCGGGAGGCAGAGGTTGCGGTGAGCCAAGATCGAGCCACTGCACTCCAGCCTGAGTGACAGAGTAAGACTGTGTCTCAAAAAAAAAGAAAAAGCAGGGGATGTTGAGTTGTGTTTTGATGTGTTTCATCAGGCAGGTAAGAGAGAAGAAGATTCCTGGTAGAGGGAACAGTGTGAGCAAAGGCAGGTAAAAGATGATACCAGTGCTTTCAGGATAATGGTACAGTCTGCATGGGAGTTTCTTGCTTTATAGATCATCCATGGCTTCGTTTTCTAAGTTATCTTCCCACCACTGTAAGTTCAGCTAATTCAGCTTTTCCACCCAGTTTCCTGAGTCTGCAGGTCCCAAGAACGTGTGTTTACTTCTTTTCCACCCTTCTCAGAATGTGAGCCCATCGAGGCCATTGCCAAGTTTGACTACGTGGGCCGGACAGCCCGAGAGCTGTCCTTTAAGAAGGGAGCATCCCTGCTGCTTTACCAGCGGGCTTCCGACGACTGGTGGGAAGGCCGGCACAATGGCATCGACGGACTCATCCCCCATCAGTACATCGTGGTCCAAGACACGTACGTTGGGCCCATGGCATCTTTGCGGGTGGTCCCCAGCTGCTCTATGAGAGTGAGACTTCATTTCTGGAGCCATAGGACTATGAGGGAGGCCAAGCCCTGGGGGGTCCGGTGCAGTCCTGAGGCTCACACAGTTCTTTGAAGAGCCCCCCCACCCCACTCCCTGCACTCAGTGGAGAATTTTTTTAAATCTCTCCACTATCTGTGCCCCCTGCAAATCACCCCCTAATCCAGTCATTTTAGAAACCTGCCAGCCAGCCAGCACTCATCCATATTTATACCTGATGAGTGATAACAAGGGGTTTTTATTTGACCACCTATATTTCTTTTCTCGAAAGATCAGGCTGGGAAAACATTTTTGCCTCCCTTTTTTTTTTTTTTTTTTTTTTGACAACTATGCTCACCCCAACCTGTTGAGCCACTCTTCCACTTGCGAACTAAAATGACTAGTTTTCTAGGAGAAATCCGGCTTAAGCAGTCTTATGGAAGTGACCTAGTTCATTTAACCAAGATGAGGTTGATTTGGGGTAAGATGGGGGAAGGAGGGAAAAGGATGTCAAGGAACAAAGGAAACCTGAACTGGTCCCAGAGAGATCTCATCTGATAGGCTGTTGGTTGATTCTCACACTTTGAAGCAGTTGTCCCGTGGGCCCACCCAAGCCTGCCCCCTGTCCCTTTGCCCTGCCTCTGTCCCCAGCTCCCCTCCCTTGGATACGATGCTGTCAGTGTTTTTAGTCCTTCCCTTAATATTATTTTTTAAAGGTTGATATCCTGAGTGAGTCTGCACCCTCCCAGCCTCTTCCCGGCTCGTTCTGCAGGGAAATCCTCCCTCTGTTGATAGCATCGCAAACCTGGTGGCAATCTGTGCGTGGACAGGACCCTCCCAAATTTAGCATTATGACTTCACTACAGGATCAAGAGAAGATGAATTGTGGGGGAGAAGGGGCTTTCTTTGTCATCAGTAGCCAGAGGGGCCAGGAGAGCAGTGGAGAGACCTGGGACCAGCTTGGATGCTCTGAGCGGGCCTAGAGGCGCTACGACAGTGTGTGGCGGTGTCCTGCCACGACGCCGCCATCTCCAGAGCCACCACACAGTTGACTGTCCTTACCCGGCAGTGCTCAGGACCTCAGCCGATAAACCACAACCTGGACTTGCCGCCTCCTTCTCCAGGAGGCCGCCCCAGCACGGCCTCCCCAGGAAGCAGCATGGGGTAGAAGGCAGATGCCTCGAATCCAGGTGTCCCCTAGCCACGCTTTCCTGAGGAGCTGAGGAGCCCGCAGAACTCAGCGGATTATTTATTTTTATTTAAACGACCCTTCAAAGGCCCTTAGGTTTCCTTGCCTCTGCTCACAGAACTAGCCCAGCCAGGTGTCGCTGCTGCCTCAGAGCTGTGTGGGGTCGCGTGTGTGTTGGGGGGCCATCTTGCCGATTTAACACTGCTTTTTGTGTTGTTGTTGTTTTCCCTCCTCCCTGCCTGCCTGCCCCTTCTCCCCCAGCGAGGACGGTGTCGTGGAGAGGTCCAGCCCCAAGTCTGAGATTGAGGTCATTTCTGAGCCACCTGAAGAAAAGGTGACAGCCAGAGCGGGGGCCAGCTGTCCCAGTGGGGGTCATGTAGCCGATATTTATCTTGCAAACATCAACAAGTAAGCTCTGCTTTTCATTTTCTGCTCCCCTGAATGACTTGCAACACCCAGCCTCACCCTCTGGCCTAACACCCCATCTCCATTCCTGTGCTGCACGTAGGGCTCCCAGCTCCCCCAGCCTAACAGTATGCATGTGGTCACTGCTGCTGCAAGGCGGACAGGGCTGAGGATGCTGCTACAAGCCTCGGGGCAGGCCCACGTCTCCAGCTAGCTGCCCTCGTGCTGTGGAAGGGTGCTTTACTGTGTGTTCCCGCAGTGTCTATCCACCCAGACCTTTGTGGCAGTCTTACAGCTAAAACTTTGACCAAAGCTTTGGTCACTTTATGCAACCTGGTTTTGTACTGTTTCTCAGAGGTGCCTTCTTTTTTCCAATCCATACTCAAATAATAGTCTTTGATGTCTGTCTTCCTTGACCTGTGTTCGTGCAAAGATTCAAAGTCTGTGTGTGGCTTCTACTAGGCTGATGTTACACCAGGTGGGTTTATTGAGATATCATGTGTCTGTTCCTCCCCCTGTCCTGCATTCACTCCTGTGGAGGAAAGGAGGCCACAATGTCCCTAAAGAAAGCTTTGTCCTGAGCTCTTCATTCATTGGCTAACCCCTACCTAGCTCCCTTTTCTTCCGCCCTTTCACACCGGGAGAAATAATTTTCCATTTTGTTCCTATTGCTTTGGCCCTGTGTACTATTCTACCCCCTTAGTCCCTTTGCAGATCCCCACTCCTGCTCAGCAGGCTCTTACCTCTGACCCCCAGCTTTCATTGTGGCTGTTAGCAACATCCTGGGGTTTTAACTCCACCCACGCCCGATCTGGCTGTCTAGAGGGATTCTACGCCTGCGTGCTGCCGCCTCCCCAAGAGGCATTCGGGTTATTGGAGAACTAATCTCATCTCAAGGGGCCAGACACCAAGTCCCAAAGCCTACAGACCTCTTTCCGCCAGACCCTGAAACCTGGCCCCGTGCCAGCAGGATGACAAGCCCCAGGGCGCTCCTGATGAATATGGATTGGAGATGATGTACAGTTTTTATTCCCCTCTGGCTTTTGAGGAATGAAATGATTTGCACTTTGAAAACCTGTTAACCATAGCCTCTGGACACTGAGACTGGAAGGAGAATAAAGGATGCTTGTTGTTTTTAAACTATACCAGGTTTCCCAGATCTCTTGGCTTTTTTCCACCCAGACGGTAGCAGGGGGAGTGGTTGGGGCACGTGGCTCTTTTCCATCTCTTTCACCCTCAAGTTAGTAAAGTCATTTATTCAGATCACTTACTGAGTGTAGTTATAATTTAATTCAGACCAGTTAAAAAAAAATTGAGGAGTTTCTGTTTCCCTTCAGCACACTGCCCTGCTGGGAGGGCAAGCCAATATCAAGGAACTGTGGGCTAATCACATTTTTTTTCTTATTTACAATTCTATGTTAATTATAACCCTACAATCAAAAGGCCGTAATCCTATACTTAACCCGGAAACCAAGGCGGGGTTGGTGGAGGAAGAGTTAGATAATTAGTTAAGTACATATTTTTAAGCCATCATATATTTGATACCATTTGTGCATAGAAATTGTAGAGAGTAATAACTGAAATGGTAAACAAAAAAAGAAAGATAAAAAGAGTATCTGGTAGAAAGTTAAGGTGATTCCCTTGAACTCCTTGCTTGCTGGCGTCAGGAGTCTTGGGATGGGGTTCTTGGAGGACAAGCCTCATCACCTGGTGGGTGGGTGAGCGGCGGCCCCCGGGCATGTCTGGCCCTTAGAAGTGAGTTGGCCTTTCAGTCTTACCTCCTGTCCCCCACACCACTCCTCCTCCGAAGTTCCTTCAGTTTCCTGAGTGCCCAGGTTCTCTCTCACCCCTGGGCCCTCACACCTGATGTCTCCTCACCTGGTCACCTCCTCCTCTCCCTTCAAGACTCAGCCCAAAGACTTAGCTCTTTGGGAAAGCCCTTTTGACATCCCTGAGTTCCCCAGGCTGAGTGAGGTGCCCTTATGCTGTATTCCAAAGGCACTTTGAGTACCTTTTGGTACTCATGCTGCACTCAGATTCCCCAACAGATTGAGCTCCTTGAACCCAGGAACTGTATCTTCCTTTTCTTTACATCCCCAGGGCCTGGCCCGGGACATGGCACACCACAGCCACCCCATAAATCTGCCTTCTCAGCAGTTTTAGCCTGTGAGTCAGCCATCCTCAAGCGGAAAAAGGAAAACAGCAAAGAGCTATTAAGGTGTGGCACTTCCATTTAATTCTACACATTTATTAAGTAGCTACTGTTGTGCCAAGCACTGCTGGTGGTTATTCAGAGATAAAAAAGACAAGGTCCCTGACCTCAGAGCTCACAGTCTGGCAAGGTAAAGACCCTATGGACAGGTAACTGAAAGGTAGCATCAGGTGCTCTGAAGGTACAGAGGAGGGAGGGGTCCATTCTTCCTGCAACTGGAGTTAGTGGTGCCAGGGAAATCCTTGCAGAGAGGGGGGTCATTTCAGCAGGGCTTTAGAAGACTCGGAGAACATCCTTTTTCCACTCGAGAACGGCTGACTCACAAGCCTAAAACTGCCAAGTGGACAGATTCACGGAGTGGCTGATACATGCCAGGTCCTGGGCCAGGTGCTGCAGGCAAAAAGATGAGGAAGACCTCAGCAGTGAACAGGACTAGGACTGACTTAGAGCACTGTCCCTACCTCACAGACCAGCTCCTTATCTTCAGAGTCTGACCCCTTCCCTCCTTCCACCTCAACTCCTGCCTAGGCCCCCATCTCTCTTGGATTCAAGATCAGAGCTGTTCAGCGGCCATCCAAATCAGAAGTTTCATTGCCTCTTAGATTAGACCTTTTCAGATCTGATTCCAAGACAAAATGAAATTATCCAGCCGCAGGCAACACTAGGATTCTGCCAAGCCATTTTGTTTGAGAGCCCTAAGTGGTCTGAAACAAATTCGCCCAGATTCAGGATTCAGCCCAGTGCTCGGTGACTTGAGAGTCATGTATTTCCACACTAAGAAAATGCACAGACTGGGCCCTAACTCTGCAGTATTGCTGCCTCTTGAAAACTATTCTGTTCCATGCCTACAGAATAAGCAACAACAGCCTCTGGCCAGAGCCCAAAACAGTTACAGACTTTTTGGAAAAAGAGACATGCTAAAATTTAGAAAAGTTAACTATCCTCTTACCAACAATTCCCGACCTCTTTGGTGATGGTGAGACTTCTTCTCCTACCTGGGGCCTTAGGTTTCTGTTCATGGCAGGTCACAGAAGGGGCCTTTCCATGAATCTCTTTCCCATTAGAAACTTTCGCTTAATCAGACATTTTTTCTGACAGCAACTTACATCTTGACAACACAAAGCCCGTGACCACCAAGTAAGTATCCGTTTCTCCTTTGCCCAGCTTGGGGGTGGCAAGGGACTGAAGACATGGAGAATGCAAGAGAAGACAAAGCTGAGGACAGAATGTGTTCGTGTCCCTCTCCTTCCGAAGTCCCTGGGGGCCAACATCTGCCCCCTCCCACTTGTCCTAGCTTCCTTGGAGCCAGGGCTCCCTGATCACACTGCCCTTTCTGTTTGTGATTGAAGGCAAAGGAAGCGTCCAGAATCTGGGAGCATCCGGAAAACTTTTCGGAGTGACAGCCATGGGCTGAGCAGTTCCCTGACTGACTCCTCCTCCCCAGGGGTGGGGGCTAGCTGCCGCCCATCCTCCCAGCCCATCATGAGCCAGAGTCTCCCCAAGGAAGGGCCAGATAAGTGTTCCATCAGTGGGCACGGGAGCCTCAACTCCATCAGCCGCCACTCATCCCTGAAGAATCGACTGGACAGTCCACAGATCCGGAAGACTGCCACAGCAGGAAGGTCAAAAAGCTTCAATAACCATCGACCCATGGACCCTGAGGTCATTGCTCAGGTAACTGTGGGCTCCTGGACAGACAGCATGAGTCTACATTCATCACTACCACTTAGTGCCACCCGCCTAATTATGACAGAACTTGAAACAGAACGATTATTTTGTATGTCATATACTGAGTATATATCCACTCTGGACCTGTGGACCCGATAAGACAGCTTAATAAGCAGTCTGCCTGTCCCTCTCTCCCCAGGAAGAACCTAAAGACAGAATAAAATAAGCCTAGCTTCTTGCTCATACACTGACTATTAGGAAGGCTGTCGTAATTTTTAAAGCCAGTATTAAGAGTATTTTGATAGCCCAAGTTTTGGGTCTAAAGACCTTGGTAGACTTTAGTGAAACTGCCCAACTATTGAGGCTCAGGTGTAATCCTGAGGCTCAGGTGTAATCCTGGCCACATTTTTATATTGCTGTGCCCATCACCATCATCACGATTCCTAAGGCTAGTCTCTGGTACCGAGTGGGTATGATCAATTAACAACCTGCACCTGGTCTTAAAGACCTAAAAAATACTCTGGCTGCAGAGAGCTCTGGTAACCAAAAGGATTTGCAGCAGCCCAAGCCTCCAGAGGCTGTGGAGATGAGCTCCCTGGTTGCAGGGTCTTCCTTCTGTGTAAGCACCACACTGATGACTCTCTGTTTTCCATGAAATATTAGAGATCCAACCCCACTTCTAAAAATCCGACTACCGGGGCCACTCCAAGCAGTTCACTCAGACGTCTCTCCCAACTATATAATTTTCATTAGACCAGGTAGGAACTAAGGGCTCATTGTTGCCTTCTTATCTCACCTGAGTTGAGATTCTCCTTACCCCATCTTCCAGGGGGTGATAGAGGCTGGGCATGGCTTAATTGTGGTTCTCTGCTTACAGAGATGTACCTGGCAAGCCCAGTATTGAGCTACGGGCCTGAGATGTCTTGCTTTGCTAGCCTTCTATTCTGTGCCTCTATTTAAGCTCTTGGCTGCAATCTGCCTTGCACTACGGGTATCCTCCCAGCTCCCTCCTTGGCCAGGTGTTAATAGGAATGTCAGGAAAGGTAGACAGCTGGGACAGACTAGCTGTAGAGTGCGACTGAGGAGGGAGATGGAGTTCTTCCTGAGCATTTTAAAGGTTTGAGAATGTCACAGGGATGAGTGAAACTGAATCACTGTGAACACAAAGCATGCATCGCTCTGTAGGACAAAGAAACCTTAACTAGAGGCCTTCACTTGGAATGTGTGAAATCTTTCCATGTGAACCTAATCCCAGGAAGAAATCCTGTGGTAGTTTGGGGGTGCCAGACACAGGTTTATGGGGAGGGAGCGGGGAGCTGGGAAGTCTCGCTGGGAGGCAGCTGGCTTGCATACAAAGGTTCTTTGGTTCTGCCTTGAGACCCTGGGCTAGGACTGCTGTTGGCTAAGATCTAGAGTGTTCCATTGATTTGCAGGCAATTGATTCACCTACGTGGGCTTTGGCTCCCCCTCCTGGTCACTCTTTGGTCCCCCCTGTGGTGATGGCTGGAAGGAAATGGTTTCAAATTGGACGCTGCCCTGAGCTGGAGAGGAGGGGCGGGGGGAGGTGTCTTGGGCTCCTGAAATTTTCCTCAGCCCCTGAGGAGGAAGGACTAACCCTCTTCACCTTTGGCCTTGAAGTCCAAGAGAATAAAGATCATACATCATCTCTACCACTTTTTAAAAAAGTGTTTATTATGTACAATTTCAAACCTACCCAAAAGCAGAGAGAACTGGATAACAAATCCCCATGTACTCATCACCAAACTCCTGGCCCTTCTTACTTTGTCCATGTTTCTCCTCCCCGCTAGATTATATGTCACTTCATCAATAAGTATTTCAATATCTGTCTCTAAAATCCAGGGTCTCTAAAAAAACAATCAACTACTTTTTCTAAAGGAAAAAAAAAAAAAATCTCATGACAGTGAAAATCCCTCTGTCCCCCTTTCCCCACTTTCTGAGCATTCATATGTTGGAGGATTTGGGCCAAGTACAATAATCTGGACATCTTACGGTCGGTTTCTTCATGCCTTGGCCTGTGTTGTTGAAACCGGCTCCTTGGGGAATTCTCCCCTTATTTGCCTCACCTCCTCCTCTTTCCTGTTTTGCAGGATATTGAGGCAACAATGAACTCAGCCCTGAATGAGCTACGGGAGCTAGAACGGCAGAGCAGCGTCAAGCACACCCCCGACGTGGTTCTGGACACCTTGGAGCCCCTCAAAACCTCCCCAGTGGTGGCCCCCACGTCGGAACCTTCCAGCCCCATGCACACCCAGCTCCTCAAGGACCCCGAGCCCGCCTTCCAGCGCAGCGCCAGTACTGCTGGGGACATCGCCTGCGCCTTCCGGCCTGTCAAGTCTGTCAAGATGGCTGCCCCGGTTAAACCACCAGCTACACGGCCCAAGCCCACTGTCTTCCCCAAAACAAATGCCACTAGCCCTGGTGTCAACTCATCAACTTCCCCACAGTCCACTGACAAGTCTTGTACTGTCTGAGGGATATAATTTAATTGTTCTAGACAAAGGGATTATAGGGACTGACTGTTATTAAAATCTTCCTATTTAACTAGCTTGGGGACTTCAGTTGAAAATTAGGTTCTAAGTTGTTCTTGCAGGAATTAGCCTCCCCGTCTCCCAAAACCTTGAGAATGAAACCCTTGGCATCGCCTCTCCCTTCCCACTGCCCTCTGCTTCCCCCAGTCGTCGTAATTCAGCCAGCTGCAGTCTGTACCGTTCTTAGGTTAGCCAGAGACAGGTTTTCATTATCAGGTCACTGTGAAATCTGGTAAGGCAGTCCCGAGGACATGGGCTCAAGTCTCAGTCCCCTCAGACCACAGGGATGCCTTGACCAGTTGGTTGGCTACAGCCATCCAGCTTTCAGTGGCATCTTGTTTTGGGAACTGATTATAGAGAATCATATGTAGTCTAGTCTTCATTTTACACACACACACATATTTTACACACACACACATTTTACATACACACACACACACGTTTTTCTAGTCTCTGGCCTGTGTAGCCTCTCCTGGTCATAGACCAGTCTCTTTGTAAGTTATTGTGGCAGTTCACACAGTAGCCACCAGGGGTCTCTGTTTCCGTTACAAACTTCGTTCTGTCTGGGCCGGAGAACCTAGCCTTTGAAATTTCTCCATCATATGAAATATCACGGGATGGGACAATCCCGTAACCTGTTTCGGGTTGGGGGCTTTCTCTCTTTGTTCTTTCCATTGATGTGAATTGGTCATTGGTGTTTGCTCTTGCTCTCCTCCATCCCCTAGAAGTACACCCCAGTCTTATTAAGGAGCTTTTAAAGTTTTTCTGAATGTATAGACATTTCTCGGGTTCCTACCTTTGTCTCTGATGGACCATTTTCCATTTAAGACATTTTCCTATATAAGACAGTTTTATAGCTGGTTCGTTTTAGGGTAAAGAGTCTTAAGAGAGTTTTATTGTGTCTATGGCAGGTTTGGAAAAGGTAAGAAATGGGTCCTTTTTCCTCCTAATGTTTTTGGCACTTAAAACATAAAATTCATTATCCTATTAAAAAATTAAATTCAGCTTTGCTAATCCAGAAATTGTTCCCAAATGAAAACTTGTTTTAAGTACACCCCTTAGTTTGGTTATTTTACAAGGTCTCTCTTCAGGGACCAACAGGGGCTTAGAGAGCCTTAGTTAGATTAAAGGGAGACCCTGCCTCCTAAAACCAGTTTTCATTGATCCAAACAAGGACAATTAAGGGAACTCTGACCCCACGGGTTCTCAAGTCTTCCCAAGGCCGGAATCTAAAGAAAGTTAAAATTTGAATGCTGAATATTTTGGCTCTACTCTGGCCTTTTTTCTGGTTCCCTTCCAAAATGCACAAATATACCCTTGTCTGCTCCAATCCAGTCTCCAAACCTGGTGTCCGTGGTCCTGGCCGCCCTAGCATCTTGCTACCGCAGGAGTACCAGGACCGGAGACATCCACAGCCAGGCTCATGGTTCTCAGACAGCAACTTGAGTTAAAGCTGAAACTCATCCTTCTTCTCTGTGTTTTCTGGTTTAAAAGCTGCACTTCCATTTTGGCCTTATTATTTTCTGTAGTTCAGGAGAGATGGTGGGTTGCCATTCAGGTAGGAAAATCTGAGTTTTCTTATCTTTGACCTAGAAGAGATTATTTTTGGACGAACATGTGAAATTGGTGGTTACATCTATGGAAAGTGGTAGGATTTTTTTTTTTAATCCTGTGCAAAGGAAAAGAGGTGCTTTATGGGAAATCACTAATGAGAAGGCTAACCTGCAGCACCAGAGAAACCTTTCCAAGTGCTAGAAGGGAGAACTAAAGAACTGCAGTGAAGTGAGTCAGCCTGGAAGAGGCAACCCACAGTCTTGGTATTTGTTGCTGTTTCCTGACCTGTTCTTGCCTGTCACCTGGGCCTATACAGGTCCTGAGCCAACAGGGGGCTTTCATACCCAAGGATCTGTTTCCTTGCTGAAAATGAAACCCCATCTTTCACTTTACATTCCTTTCAGTCCAACTGATCAAAACTGGTACCCACACTTGCCGTTTCTCCCTCTCTCCAGCACACTCCCCTCTAAGAAAGTAAAAGCAAAGCTTTCTTAATGGCAACGCTTTGGGCCTGTTCTGTTGCTCCTGCCTTATTTCTCTTTCAACCCTGTATGTAACTCGTGTTCACCATCCCCTTGATCAGTGTCCATCCGCGCTAATTTGCATCATGAACTGAACAGTGTGTGAGTGGTCCCCTACTAAACCCAACTCTGGGGGCAGAGCTGTCTTCCCCATCTCTGGTGCTCCTGACACCTGTGAGATGGTCCTGTCGAGAGGACTAGGAACCGATAGGAGGAGAGTCCTTCTCGGCAGAGCTCACTGCAAACAACTGGAATTGAGGTTGCACACTGTGATTTTTACACCGAAAAGCCAAAAGGAGCTGGCCATCCAGGGCCTAGGGAGACCAGCCTTCCTCAGCTATGCTTGCCGAAACCAGCATGATGCTTCAAAGAGCCCTGCTCTGCCCCTCATGGCATGGATCCTTTTCCTGGTGTGGACTCTGAAGGGTCAGTCTTTGGGGAAGAGAGGTGGGGTGGGGCTACTAGCATCCCAATTTAGAAAATAGAGGAGTTTGTAGCCAGAAGCCTGTAAACTGGAAACACTGGTCTCAACCAACCTCCTCAGGGCGCCCTGGCTTCTCCCCAAGGAGATGAGGAGCAGTGATGCCAGCACCAGGATGCGCAGAGCACTGGAAGGGCTGGTGCAGATCTACTTCCCGTGCGGAAGAGAAGTCAGATCTTCCAGGGAATCGCAATGTGGTGGCGTCTGACTTGTATGTCACATTTGTGTAAAATGGTATATTCTTTAAAATAGTGTTGATAACTGGAATATTGTATGTATGCTTGGAGATGCTTTGTGTGAACCTAAGACTGTCACTCAACAGATGTTGGATTGGGGAAAATCCAAAGCACAACTTCAAAATAAAATACATTTTTAGGTTTCGATGCTGCAGTTCATATCCCTTCTCTCCTCTTTGAAATCTCTGATTCAGGACTCCAGCTGCCCAGGAGGGATTTTGATTCGTCTGTGCTAACAAGAGCCCTGCCTGGCAACAGAGAGAGCAACGAGATGACCTTACAGCCAGCCACCTTCTCCCTCCCCACCAAGGCATAGCACACTTGCATTTAGAATGGGAGGTTTTTCCCCCAGCATTTCCATTTAGCCTGTGTGTGGATTCTCATAGGTTTTGTGGAGAGTCTTCCAGCTCACCATTGGACCGCCTGTTGCCATGAGAACCATTGCCTTCGCAGAATCCACCTTCCTTGTTTTCTATCTCTAGTCAGATTTCCCCACTTCAGGGAGTGGGGCCTAAGAAGTTGCTTAGAAACTTGGCAAGCTACAACCAAGGGTGACTAGAGGTTCTCTTTCTTCCACAACCAAATCCCTGAGTCATTCTGCCCTTGACAGCCCCCTGCCTCTGGGAGAAAAGCTGACCAATTTGCTTGTGCTGTTGGTGGGAGTGGGGGATACAGGTGATAGATTGTGAGTCTAGCACAGCTTAAGTTCAAGGGTGAAGTTATTCAAAGGTAACAACTTGAAACAAATCCTAGAGCTCTTAGGGCCAATACTTACTTTTAACAGGCTTGTTCTAATACCAGATGCCCCTGGGGATGGATCACATCTCTCCAAGTGGGTACCCTGTGTTCAGTAGTAATGCAAGGAATCCTACCCTCAGCTCTAGACAGGACACTTTACAACCCCTTCTTAGGTTTGTCATCCCTTTCCGTTATTCATATGTCTTTTATTCAGCTTTGCTATGCCCTTCCAGCCTACTGTCTCTTCCCTTCCCCTGTTTTCAAGGAATAGCTACATCTTGAGCTTCTCTTGCTGGGCCCTTGGCCTCGGGTAAGTCAAGGCCAAGGCTACTGTGCCACTCTGGTAGGAATGAGTTCTCCCTGAGTGCAGGGAGAATGGGGATGGCCAGGAGCACCCCATAATAGCTGTGACATGGAGCCAGTTCGTAGGCCGTGAGCAGGGGACAAAAGAGCCCCTTTTCAGAGGGTCCCGAGGCAAAGGCAGGCTATGTTTTTTAGGTCCTCTTTATCCATATATGGTTCTTTTTATTTCATATGTCCTGATGGGGGCTGTATGGAAACTAGTGGCAATGAACACTGTCAAAACACAAGCCCGTTCCATCCAGATAGAAACCAAAAATGCAGACCAGATGTATGTTAACTCAGGAAACAGTCTTTTAAGACTATCTAACCTAAATGTTGATATCAAACTTGTCCAACCCACAGCTCAGGATGGCTTTGAATGCAGCCCAACACAAATTCGTAAACTTTCTTAAAACATTATGAGATTTTTTTGCAATTTTTTTTTAGTTCATCAGCTATCATTAGTGTTCGTGTATTTTATGTGTGGCCCAAGACAATTCTTCCAATGTGGCCTAGAGAAACCAAAAGATTGGAAACTCCTGATTTATGTTCATCGGTATATGACATTTCCTTTTACTCAGGAGTTAACAACCTTGGCATATTACATATACTAAAGACAGTCATTTAGTCAGTCAACAAACATTAAGCTTCTCTCTGCAAGCACTGTCCTATAGTACTGAACAGAAAAAAAAAACAGGTAATGGAGCTTTCTAGTCAGGGAGGACAGATGAAAAAGCAAAATGAGTATTACTCTGAAACGAAACTGTAATAAGATAGGAGTTGTTCAGGAAATGAAGGATTCTGCTTGACCTGGCAAGGCTGACATGACTAGTAGACATCTAAGTGGAAATACCAGGTAGACCCTTGGATGTACAAATTTGGAGATTTGGGGGTAGATAATACCTGAAAACCTATTAGGAACTGTTACATTATAGATGTATTCCAACAGAGATTCCCAGGAAGAGCGTGGAGATGGAAAAAAGAGAAGGTCCTGATCATTAGAAATGCAGCAGAAAGGCTGGGTGCAGTGGCTCACACCTGTAATCCCAGCACTTTGGGAGGCCTAGGCGGGTGCACCTGAGGTCAAGAATTCGAGACCAGCCTGACCAACATGGAGAAACCCCGCCTCTACTAAAAATACAAAAAAATTAGGCTGGTGTGGTGGCGCATGCCTGTAATCCCAGCTACTCGGGAGTCTGAGGCAGGAGAATCGCTTGAACCCGGGAGGTGGAGGTTGTGGTGAGCCGAGATTGCGCCATTGCACTCCAGCCTGGGCAACAAGAGTGCAACTCCATCTCAATAAAAAAAGAAAAAAGAAATGCGCTGAGGAAGGGGGGCAGCAAAGAAGGCAGAATGAGCAAGTGGCAGTGAGGTAGGTGGCTGGGAGAGCACAGGGTCACAGACAGCAGGAGAGGACAATGCTTCAGCAAAGGGGGAATCTGCTGTTGAATGCCAATGGGGTAAAGTGAGGCTGGCGTAGAAAGGGAATCATTGGTGACCTGGACAAGAGCATTTTCAGCAGAGGGGGAATGAGTCCAGCTGGAGTGGGTTAGGTGGCAAATGGGAAGGGAAGAGGCAGTAACTTGACGGCTCATTGAATGGGGAGCATCGGGAGACAAGGGTAAGATGGGCAGTGCAGAGGTGCATTTGTTTGATGGGGTGGGCAGGACGCAGTAGAACGGGAAGAATGAATGTGCAGGAGAGGAGAGGGTGAGCTGCAGGGCACAAGCGGGAGGGTTGGCCATGGCCACTAGAAGAGGCTCAAGAAGAGGCACTTCCTGCTGTCGCGTGGGAGGGAAGGCAGGTGAGTACAGACAGGGCAGGCAGTGGATGTGGGGGAGGAAATGAGGGAGTTCCCTTCTGATTGCTTCTTTTATCTAAGTGAAGTTTAAGGCAAGGTCCTTAGCTGACAGTGTAGGAGGGAATGGTGCGGAGGAGGTTTGAAGAGTGAAGACAATGAGAGAAACACTTGCTTTTCCTCGAAGAGAGATGACGCTGGCACCGGCGCCGATTTCCTTCAGTGGCCTGGATGCTGCCCCACAGCTTGTCCCACTGCTTGGGGCCATAGCAGCAGGCCTGACTGCAGTGTTTGTCCCTCCTTCCACACCCAAAGCTCCTGGCCAGAGCTAACCCCTGCAGGTGACAAGAAGCCGGGCTCCGAGACCTCGTCGTTCAGCCCTTCGCCCTTGTGACTGAGCATAGCAAATACACACTGCCTGGCAATGCCCCCCAGTCTCTTCCATATGCACCCCACCAGCACCCGAGCCCTTTCCGCTTCCCTTTAAGGCACTGGGCAGGTGAGTCCGCTGTGGGAAACTGACTCAGGCCCCTTAGGGGCGGAAAAAGAAATTAATATCTCTTCAGAGTGGACCAGGTGCCAGGAGCTTCATCTCATTTTACTTTCAAACCGGCCCTATGAGGAACGTCGAGTGACGTGCTAGGCTCACCCACAGTAGGTGGTAAGATCTGAACTCAAACCTCCATGGCAATGGAGCTAGCCCCTGCCTTTCCCGCTATACTTTCGGCCTCTTTGTAGAAGTCACATGAGATTTTCTTTCTGACAGCTGCTGTCAAGGGCCGTCCTCTTCCGCCTCTGGTCCTTGCACTACCCTTGGATTGCCACTTCTATTTCTAGGACTCCTCAGAGCCACTTGGGAACATGTGGCGGGGACTCTTACAGACTTCCTCTTCCCTTCTGGAGCCCGCCAGCCCCCTGCACCTTCCTGGATGCAACTGGCTGTGCTGCCCGACTGGGGCACAGGCAAGACATTGCTTCACTGTGTCCACACAGAGGATGTGACCTCACAGAGGATGCCCAAGGAAACTTGATCTGTCACGGCAAACATGGCTCTAGGCCACCTCTACCTCTCCCCCTTTTCTCAGCCTCAGTCCAGCTCTTCTCATGCTTCTGTACCTCTGCATGTGTGCCCACAGCCTGGAATTCCATTCCCCCAGCCCCCTCTCCTCTGCCTAACTCCCCTCTTCCTAAAGTCTGGCCGAGCAACCCTTCTGGAAAGCCCTTCTTGATCACCTTCCTCCCTGCTGCCTGCTTGCCACTCAGCATCTGCCATGCCGTCCTGGACCTCCAGGCTCCTGGTGGGATGCCCAGCCTTTACGCCCTCAGCACACAGTGCCTGCCTCATAGAAGGTGCTAGACACATGGTAGTTGCCTTTGAACGTGCTAAATACACTGGGAAAGAGATTGATGGAGAGAGGAAAGTAAGAGTGCTGCTGAAGACCCAGCAGGTTCATCAGGGTAAAAAGTGGGTAAACATTATGGATCGTCTAAGTTATGTAGCAAACCTTGGTGCCCTAAAGCAACAAAGGCTGATTTCTCACCAAAGCCAATGTCCCTTGTGAACCAGCAGGGGAACTCTGCTCAGGACAGTCACTCAAGGACCCAGACTAACAGAATCACACTGCCAGAAAGCAGAGCTCTGGGAGGGTCTTGCATCAGGAATTAAATGCTTTGGTGGGGAACTCACATGCTCCCCGCATCACAAGGTAACTAGGATGTGCAGTTCTCCCATGTGCCAGGCAGGCAGAAACCTGGGAAGACTAGGCTGGGCGCGGTGGCTCACGCCTGTAATCCCAGCACTTTGGGAGGCCGAGGCGGGTGGATCAGGAGATTGGGAGATTGAGACCAACCTGCTCAATCCACCTCACCAACCACACAGTGAAACCCCATCTCTTCTAAAAATACAAGAAATTAGCCAGGCGTGGTGGTGTGTGCCCGTAGTCCCAGCTACTCGGGAGGCTGAGGCAGAGGTTGCAGTGAGCCGAGATCGAGATTGTGCTGCTGCACTCCAGCCTGGGTGACAGAGCAAGACTCCATCTTAAAAAAAAAAAAAAAAAAAAGCAAGCTGGGAAGACTGGGTGGAACATGAGGATCTCAGGCACTCAGGCACATTCCTCCAGGTCCTGCCGTGAGAAGCTGCAGCAGCTCCTCCAGCTGGCAGTGTTATGGGGAGGTCTCTTTAACAAAGCACCAGGCAGTTCTCAGTGTTATGGGGAGGTCTCTTTAACAAAGCACCAGGCAGTTCTCAGCTCTGCTCCTGTTCTAGTGTCACTGTGGGAGGGGTGGCGCTGGCGGAGGAAACCACCAGGTGTGGCCATGGGAAAGTCCCTCCAACATTCTATAGAAACATGGAATTTCCTGGTTTTAACCATTTCACATCCAACTGCCATCTCAGAGCTGACCAGAGCAGCACAGACCCCTCCAGCCTCCTAGGACATTTGATGTGGGGCATCGAGTCCTGGCTGGGAAGTTGGCACCTGGGTTCCAGCCCCAGCAGTCTCTGAAGAGAATGGGTAAATTCCTGAAGTGTGTGGGCCTCCATACCTTCAAGACTTTCTGTAAAACACTTTCCAAGCTCCAAACAATTCCAAATATATCCATGTCATCCAATCAACCCATGGAGTAGCTGTTACTGTCCTCCTGCTGCAGGTGAGTGAGCTGGCTGGGAGGGGCTGCATGCTGTGCTCAGGTCACACTGGAGGGCATCAGCTGGGTCCTCGCACTTGCTCGGACCTCTGCAGGCCTCCTTGGAAGGTGACTCAGATCCAGCTTCTAGGACTGGGTCGGCATAACTCCTACATCTCCTTGGGGCTCCTGGGTGCAGAAGCGTGGACTTCCCAGGCAGCTTTCCACTTAGTTAACTTGCCCAACCTGCTCTGTTGACTCCGGGCAGAGTCCTGAACTTCCCTGCTCCAGTGAATTGTGCGAGATGCCAAAACAGCACCTAGCTGCCCACCACAATGACCAGAAGGGCCCCAGTTCCTGGCTTCTCTGTGGCTCAGACTCTGGTCCTATCGCCTACACTTGGGAACTCAGAGCATCCTCTTTCTCTTTGCTGAGCTGGTGGCTGCACCGAGTTGCCTCTGTCTCTTTAAGAGAGAAAGAGAGCGAGAGACGGAAATCAGGAAGTGTGAGAGAGCTGAGAGCCAGGACTCAGTGCTGAGCTTGGTGTCCCACCGCCACAAGGAGGCAGGGAAGAAACCCACTAGTCCCAGCTCCTGGGGTGGCACAGGCCATTGCAACTGGCCCTGCCTGTGGGTCCTAAGGGCCCTTGGTCACCAGGAGGCTGAGAACACTGCTCATGAATGACAGCAAGCCCTGAAAGTTCTGGGAGTGCCACCCAGTCCCACAAACCTGCATCCCCTGCAGTGGAGATGGGGTGAGTGTGCAGCGTGTGGAGGGGGGCGGGGGTGGAATGAGGGGGCCAGGCAAGGGGCAGCTGCAGGGCAGCTCAGCCGGGCACAGGGGTGCGGGCCTGTCGGTAGTGGTGCTCTCACATAGAGCGTTGTGTGTGGCATAGAGGTGAGCCACCATGGGCCAACCACAAGCCCTCCCTGGGCTCTGCTTACCAACACCCAAAGCCAGCGATCAGCTCCCAGCACCTGCCCTCACCTTTCCCGGGGTCTTTCTCCCTGGCCAGAGTCTCAGGAGTAGGAGATGCCGGGAAAGTCTCCCTGAACAGTTGGGGTATAGAACTGGAAACCCCCAGCCCAGCCCTCTGGGGGAAGGTGACAAACAGGAAAGGGTTAAAGGGCTAGAGCCGGTGGCCTTTGATGGAGGCTGAGAAGCAACTGCACCGAGGGGCGCCTCTCATCCGCCCTCCTCCTTCCGGTGTAGCTCAGCTCCTGGACCTGCCACAGACAGAAAGCATAACATACGCTCACCAGGAAGAGCCTTTGCCTGACTCAGGGCAGCTCAGAGTGTGGGGTAAGTGCATTTGACCACAGCAGAGCCCTGAGAAGGAAGGGGAGGGGAGAGATGGGTGGGCGGTGGCTCACATGCTTCACTGTCCACTGCTCATTCATCCAACCACTGGTTGAGAGCCGCTGAGCCCTTCTATGCACCAGGTGCTTGGGGTGGTGGGGGGAGGATCTGCAGAGCGTGCAGAGTTGAGCCAGATGTGCCACAACCAGAGCTCCTGGGCACAGAACCCAGGGGCACGCCACCTGTCTGGGGCTCTGTGCTTTGCACCTCACTGCCTATTATCCCAGAGTCTTCAGCTGTTCCTCGCCCCAGTATCAGAGCCTTTGGCCTTGATTTCAGCCTGCTCTGCTCCAGCCCCAGCCCCCAGACCTGCTGGCTGGCTCCAGCCTCAGCGGGGAAAACCAGACCCACTCATTCATGCTGAGCTACTGTGTTGTCTTCAGGAAGCCTCTCAGTACTTCAGTTGCTTCTGCGTAATGTCCACTCCTACCTGATCTGAAACTAGGAGTTTGATCTCTTCAAGGGGCCTCTGGCTCAATGAACTGACATTATCAAGGATTTGCGTTTTTAAAAAAGATTATACAGAGAAAAAGTTCAGAATGAAGGAACATAGGATTCTAGGCATGGCAACCCTCAGTTTGAGAACCTCTAAGATGTTAGAACATGAAGACACCTTTTCTAGTCTAGCGTTATTTAAAAGTATTTAAGTGGCCAGGCATGGTGGCTCACACTGTAATCCCAGTACTTTTGGTAGGAAGCCCATGTGGGTGGATTGCTTGAGCTCAGGAGTTCAAGACCAGCCTGGGCAACATGGCAAAAACCCATCTCTACTAAAAATACAAAAGACAGCCAGGTGTGGTGGTTCACACCTATGGTCCTAAGCTACTCAAGAGGCTGAGTTGGGAGGATTGCTTGAGCCCAGGGGGTGGAGGTTGCAGTGAGTCACGATTGCACCAGTGCACCCAAGACTGGATGACAAAGTGAGACCTCATGTCAAAAAAAAAAAGAAAGTATTTAAAGGATGGTGGCCCTTATAATGCTTCTGTCCCCAGGTATCCCAAAAAGGCCAGCCCTGGCCTTATTTTTCAGAGAGAAATTGAGTTTAACTTCTGAGGATACACTTTCTGGTACTAATTGCTTTAGGAGAACCAGGCTGTGGAGAAAAGATGAGGACAAAGATGGGAAACAGACTTGTAAGATGTTTCCGATTCTCCCAATGGCCAAATGATGAATTTTGCCTCCCCTATACCCTGCTCTCACACACACACTCACACGCTTCTCCCCAACCCCCTATACAAATACACACACACACACTCACACACACTCACACACTCTCTCACACACACACTCACACACACACTCACACACACACACACTCTCACACACACTCACACACTCTCACACACACACACACACTCACACACACACTCACACACACACTCACACACACTCACACACTCTCACACACACACACACACACACACACACTCTGAAGCAGCCCGGTCTCTCTTGGAGCAGCACTGACCCAGCTGTCAGCTCACAGCAGCAGGAAGTGGTGGGCCTGGCAGGCAGGCCAGCGGGGGCTGGGGGAGTGGCTCCAGGCTCATGTTGCAATCCTGGAGATTTGTGGTAGTGTGGGAGATGCTGCCTGACCCCAGGCCCTTCCTCCTATACTGTTTCTGCTTCCTGGGACAGTCTCAAGCCTGGATGCCAAAACCCAGAATCTTCAGTGCTGGGGAGAGGTGATAGAGACAAGAGGTTTGTCTCTGTTGAATGACCTGCCTGGGGAGGGGCTTCAAGGGGACTTGGGGAGCCAGGACAGGCAGAAGGCCAGGCCTCTTAGGTGGAACAGGTGCCGGCTGTGGGCTTAGGGCTCAGTGGGGGCCCTCTTGTTGTGCTGTGCGTCCTTTTGGGGAAGTTACTTAACCTTTCTGTGCTTCATACTTCCCCCACTCCCTTGCTTATGGAATGCCCACATGGAGCCCTTCTTAGGGTAGCCTTGGGGCACAGTTACAGGTCAGGCCACCAGTGGCCACCCCATGCCAGGAATGGAATCCTGGGCCCCCAGCATGCTCTTTTTCTAGGCAGCAGGTGACCAGCCAGCTCAGGGCAGGAGATGCAGAGCACAGCCAATTACCTGTGGCACACAGATGACCTGCTGGGGCAGGGGGCCACTGCCAGTGTGTACAAGGCCCGCAACAAGGTAGGAAGCAACCCTGGCCAGGCCTCTGGCCAGCCCAGCCTTGGCCTCCTCATGCCTTGCAAGCTGGCCCACTCAGCCCCCAGAGGGCATTGAGGGCGGTGGGACAGGGATCTCGGGACGTTGTGCAGCACACTCACACTGTGGGTTTGAGCAGAGGGATAGGGAGCTGAAAACGGCTCCTTGAGAGGATGCCTCCGTCAGGCACGAGTTGGGCAAGAGAACTATGAAGTCACAAGGCAAACATCTGAGGAAGGTAGCAGCAAATGGGATCTAGGAAGAGCAGAGGCAGGAATTAGGCCTTGTTTGGATTTATCCTGCAAGAATATACGAGATGATATCCACTCTGTTTTACTTAAGAGTGGTAGCCGGCTGGGCGCAGTGGCTCACACCTGTAATCCCAGTGCTTTGGGAGGCCGAGGTGGGCGGATCACGAGGTCAGGAGATCAAGACCATCCTGGTCAAGATGGTGAAACCCCATCTCTACTAAAAATACAAAAATTAGCCGGATGTGGTGGCGGGCGCCTGTAATCCCAGCTACTCGGGAGGCTGAGGCAGAGAATCGCTTGAACCCGGGAGGCGGAGATTCCAGTGAGCTGAGATCTTGACACTGCACTCCAGCCTAAAAAAAAAAAAAAAAAAAGGAATTGGAGCCAGCCAGACCAGGTTCCAGTCCCTTCCCTGCTGCTAACCCCAGGGAGTGTTAGCTGCCCTGTGGTGATTGTCAGTGGCAATTGTAATAATAACAACAAGCCATCCCTTGCAGGATATCAGAATTTCAGGCTCTTGTCACCTCCCATTGCGGGACTGTCTACCCCTTGAGAGGAAAAGGAGGTGTGGATGGGAGCCCCCATCCAACCAGGCTCATCTCTGGGTTGGGCTGGCGGGAGAGGCTGAATGGAGGCCCAGGAGAGGGTGGCTGCTCCCCCGCGGGAGTGGGACGTGTGCTAATCCCCATGCTGTCTCCCACTGCTCCCTCCCCAATGGCAGAAATCCGGGGAGCTGGTTGCTGTGAAGGTCTTCAACACCACCAGCTACCTGCGGCCCCGTGAGGTGCAGGTGAGGGAGTTTGAGGTCCTGCGGAAGCTGAACCACCAGAACATCATCAAGCTCTTTGCGGTGGAGGAGACGGTGGGTCTGGTGCTTGGTCAGAGGATGGTCTTGTCCTGGACCCTTGTCGTCTGGGGAGAGTCAGGCCACACAACAACAGAGACTTGGTCCCATGCTCATCAGCAGGTCAGACAGAGCAGGCAAATTGCAGAAGGGAGCAAAGGGTGCAAGGGGGTGGGAGCGGTACACGGGAAAGGAACAATGGACAGAATCGGTACCTAAGCAGAGAGGGCTTCCTGGAATAGGTGACTTTGGATTCCAGTGTTTGAGATCAGTGTGAGGACAAGGAGGGAAGGCCAGGCTGGAAGCTGGGACCTGGAGAATGGGGACTCTGGGCTCCATCCCCACTAAGATGGATGGTGTGATGATGGCACAGTGGCATGGGTGTGCTTAGTGCCAATGAAGTGTACACTTAAAATTGGTTAAAATGGGAAATTTTGTTATGGATATTTTACCACAATTGAACACCTAATCAAAAGAAGTAATACAAAGAGGGGTGC